TAGGTGCTTGAGTAAGAGGCCACTTACAAAACGCGGCACGATCCGCAACATCGCAAGCAGTGCGATTCTGAGACCCAATGACATCAGTACGCAATGATTGCGATGCAGCTCGTCAAGCTTCCTCATTGCAATCCCGAGGCACAAACCCATAATCACGACGTGAAAAGGTGTATTGGGTCGTGCCAAGCCGCGGTTTCGGTCCTCGTCATCAATATGACGACGCTGAGCAGCGTCAAGAGGGTTGAATACCCTTTCGTCGGCACCCTCACGAGAGGGAAGCGGTGGCGCTTGGTGCAATGCGTTTGTTCCCCTTAGAGAAGAGGATACGGAGTGGGATCGTTGTCCCTCGCTCGGTGAGCGTGTCGAACGTGAGGTACGATGACCCGACGGAGACTCGGCGTCGCTGCTCTGAGAGGCAACGTCACTGTCATCATCTCCAACGATGTCACGGTGCATTGCTTCATCCAATGATGGAGCAGCGCAATCAGATAGTGCTCAAAGAGCAAGTGTTAAGAACGCTGCAATGCTCTACAAGTAAGTGCTAGGCACTTGATGCTTTATTAGCAAGTGTTCGTAAACACTAAAGAGTTTAATACCAAGTGCAAGACACTTAACGCTTATAAGCAAGTGTCGTAACAACAAGGTGCTTTAACGTAAGTGCAATGCACTGTATGCTCAAGGAGCAAGTGTTGAAACACTAGAGTACTTAGAAGCGTGAGTGCAAAGCACTAGATGCTCAAAGAGCGAGTGTCGTAACGCAGAAGCTTTATACGCAAGTGCGAGGCACTTTATTGCGAGGCAAGCAAAGTGAGAAGAAAATGAAATCGACAGAGCTCCACATTAAGTTCGAAATCGTGGGTACGACGGGTCGCACGGTGTGGTGGGGGGAGGGTGTAACGAGTTACACAAAGGTGTGAATTTTACATACACACTTGCCACACCATTGTGGTGTGACTGTATCTTGGGTACATTGGTAGGTTGAGGTGACCGACCGTACGAATGGTTGCATCGTGGCAGAGAGCCACGTGGTCACTATACTTAGTTAAGTATAGTGACTATACATGTTTACATATTAGGTGGCTACAGAGCCGGATAAATAGTGACTAGCACTAAGTATAGAGTTGGTGTTTCTATATTCAGTGCTAGAAGATAAAGTTAAATAAATCAGTCTGAAACCTGCTCTGAATATCACACGTGCTAGACCGTTCTAATCCTTGCCTGAAAGGAAGTGTGTCGTTGATACTGGTCTCTTGGAGACGTGGTTATATATAACCAAAAGGCACAAGATTGTAAAGATAGCCTTGGGAGGGTTAAGAACTCTAAGACATACAGCTCTTGGAGCTAGTCTTCCTCTGAATTCAGTGCATAAGTAGCTTTGTTACAGGGGCTTGGCTACATCTGGTATGTGGTACTTGACGGATGTATTTCTGCTCCTTTAGCTCTTTCTCCTCCATCTGTAGCACCATCATCTTGGGTTGTCGTAACTCCTTCTTGATCGTGACAGACTTGTCTTGACGGACACTCTTGGTCACAACAGATTCTTCAGTCTGTTTCAGTCCATCATAGTATGTTGCCGGTCGAAGAACGTTGCTTCGTTCAGGCAATGATGATTTCAGCAATTGTTTCGATGTATCCACTCTTGCCGAAACGGCCATGGTTTCAAACATCTTAACAAGACTTTGTACGGTCATCACTGAACTAGACTGAGAGGGTGAACTGAGCTTGATGAACTGTGATGAAAAAACTACGTCCGACGTAATGATAGTGACACGTCGAGAGCTTTTTCAGAAATGAGAGTCTGTCCCTCGAATGTTTCTGGATGATAGTGTCAATAGATGGAATGACGCGGTTGGCTGTTTTTTTTCGAAGCACTTTGGCGCCAATCTTCATGGAATGATTCGACTGTTTCCATAAATACATGATTATGATTGGTTAAAAGGAATATGTTTTATTGTATGCATTTATTACGTTCACAGCGGCAATCTTCGCGATCCCGCCTTGGGCCAATCGACAAATCCAGCTTCTATACAAGCAGTTCTTCTACAACAATTCCACCGAGGCGGAGCCCGCTCGTCACAAGGTCAACCCAGGGTTGTTGTACGCAAACACGACGTGCAGGTGGGGTCGTCTTAGTCTCCGTCACGGTGGCATAAAAAACCCTCTCCGCTGAGTCCAAAACGGGTAAGGAGGTGCCCATATGCCTGCTGCAGGAGAGCTCAGGGATCCAGTGGAAATGTCACGGGGATATCCCTCAGCTTGAGGTGTAATTTGGAGCTCCACTGGACTCTTACTGTCAGCACTTGTGGGAAGTCGGACTAGCTTTCGACGCTCACCCGTATCCACGGATATCCGTGTACAGCGCCGAGACAGTCTCGAACAGCTATATGCTGGCTTACGTGGAACGGTTGGCCTATCGACACTGCAAAAGGGATTCCAACAAACCCTTGATGGCAATCACTAAGCGTCTTACCGCGAAGGCGAATGCGAACAGCTGGCAGTTTGACCTTCTGTATCTGGTTCCCAGGTCTGTTTGGGGGCATCAGCATTGCTCAACGGACTGTCAGGTCTGGACGGTGGTTCGGCTCGCGACACACCAACTCAATTTCTACTACGCCGGTCGACCCGCTGGAAATCCCTGTCTGGTAGAGACACAATGCGCAGGCTAGGTGGAATCGTACGATCACTGCTTCTGGAGTTGTCTCTTTTCTCAGCCGATCCGAGCGCAACTCATCAGACATTGAAAAGGGACCTGTACCGTCGGAATGTGTGCAGCCTTTGAAACGCGCCTATGTGACGAGAACGCCGCCACCCCTTTCGTCATGTTCGTCGGATGGTTGCTCAGCGGTACTTGGATGATCAGTGCTGCTTTGTGGCGGACTGGTATCGCTGCTGGTCGATCCTCTGTGCGGTAGCGACCATGCGTCTATGGATTCGTCGCGTACAGCGGGTATTCCGAGGTGAGCACATTACGGCTCGGGAAGGAGTGAGGGCATACTGGGTGGAAATGGTGAGGCAACTCGAAGTAGTGACCAGGCGAAAATCTTGCAAGGGAGGGGGGGGCACGGTAGTACAAGGAGCTAAAGTGCAGGCGTGTCTTGAGATCTTAACTCAAGCCCCAAGTAAGTCCGCGGTTCCACTCGTGGCTGTCCCTACCGAGACGTTACGGACAGCAATCCCTGCGTACTTGATATGGCTGCAGAGATTTCAGAAATCTTGTACTTAATTGTTAATAACCCATGTATTTATTACGTTGATAATGTGATATTACGTTGATAAAGTGATGGACTAACGATGAGTCACCACGATAACATGTGGAAAGTTCATAAGTGTATTATATATATTATATGTATTATGTGTATGTATGCATTTATGTATGTGATGTATGTATTTATGTGATGTATGTAATGTTTGTAACGTATGAAGTCTAATTGATACCACAAATTTTTGATAAATATGAATGGAATGACGCACTTGCAGAGAATATATTAAACCAAAAACCTTATTCTAAAAAAAACTAATCGCTTTGTGTCTCTTCTACATGTCCGCCTCTTTTTTTTGAACAGTCCACCCTTATTGTATTTCACCCTAACTGGCTTTTTGTATCATATCCCACTTTACAGCTTTGTAACCAATCGAATCATTCCATGAAGATTGGCGCCAAAATGCTTTAAACAACAAAACAGACGAGCGCATCATTCCATCCATTGACGCTATCATCCTAAAACATTCAAAGGACTGACTCTCATTTTTCAAAAAGCTCTCGTCGTGTCATCGTCACTTGCGTCGTAAGTATTTTTTTCGTCAAGCTCAGTTCGTTCTCTCTGTCTAGTTTAGTGATGACCGTGCAAAGTCTCGTTAAGATGTTTGAAACCATTGCCGTTTCGGCAAGGGTGGATACATCGAAACAATTGCTTGAATCATTACCTAACCGCAGTAACGTTCTTGAATTGGTAGCTTATTATGATGCACTAAAACAGACAGAAGAATCTATTGTGACCAAGAGTGTCCGTCCAGACAAGTCTGTCGTGATCAAGGAGTCACAACCACCTAAAAAAATGGAGGTACAGATGGAGAAGATGGAGGTACAGATGGAGGATGAGATGGAGGATGAGATGGAGAAGATAGAGGTACAGCAGAAACACATGCAGTCGAGTATCAGATGCCAGGAGTCAAGCACTCGACCGACAGTGAGCAAAGGCACTAGACTATCTCAGTCGCGTGTACTACCGAACTTTGTGAGCAAGATCCCGCAGCCAAAATCACGCGAGCTCCATTTGGCTACCTGTTTGAAGACGAAATCTACCGTAGCCGATACATTTCGCACTCGCGTGTCTACTTCTAGCTCAAAGGACGCGAATGAGCCAGTAGTCGTATCACCGCCGGTCCCAGTTTCTAACCGAGTGCGTTCTCCTGCTGCGTACTACGGTGCTTTTGTTGCTCGGATTGAGAACTCGGAGTCTCGTCTGCTTGATTTTGAAAAGAATGAACGATGGTTGAAGCAGATGAAGAGCATGAAAAGTCGAGTTGAGGAACTCAAGAAAAGCAATCACATTGCATTAGCAAAGGAGGTGGCGAGTATGCCGCGAAAAAAGAGGAGTCTGAGTGAGTGCAGTGCTGATTCAACGGCGTCTACTTCATCAATATCGTCGATGGATATGCCATGCCCGTGAAGCATGACGTTATGATTGAGTGGATTTATCTAAGTTATTAGTATCTATTGAACTGCATACATTACATACATACACATACATAATTCATATAATACAAATAATACATTTATACCCTTCTAACTCTTAATCCATCAATTATCAACGTAATAAATACATACAATGAAACGTAATCTATCTTACTTTCAACCAATCAGAACCATGTATGTTCATGAAAATAATAAAAGAACCAATCAAACAGAGAAATTAGTTTACCAAGAAACCTAACGAAACTAGTCGCTGTGTCTCTCTGTCTCTGACTGTCGTGTGTGAACGGGCGTATATACTTGAAACATGACGACAAAAAAAGATAATGTTTCTGTACTAGGAGGAACTGTGCTGAATGCTGGACCATTAGGCACGGAGTACGTTATATTGTCCTACAAAAATATATATATTGTGAAGGGGATTGCAGCTTTAGTACATGTTTATCTAACTATTCTTCTTCTCTTCTCTCTCTCTTTTTGTATGGATTATTATAGATCAACGTATGGTAAATTACCACCATTGAATCCAGATGATCTGAAACTCCCACCTCCTCCTCCATCAGCTGCAGATAAAGTGACGGATACAACAAATGCAATCTCTATTAGTGAAGTGTGGGAGGAGATGAAGGCTAAGACAAGAGAAATGTGCGTAGTTGAAGAAAGAGGTCAAGTGTGAGGTGGAGGAAAGTGCTAACAGACTGATGATTTTTTGCTATTGTTGTTGTTCTTGCTGTTGATTTCTACAGCATTATAGGAACGTCCGTCTCTGGCGTGTTATCAGCCATGCGGCTTGCAAACTTGATGATGGCTGGCTTCATGGTTGTTCTTGCTGTGGTACAAATTATTGAATCGAGATCGGTGTTTTCAGTTATGGCTGACGCTCTTTCGGTTATCTACACAATGTGCGTTATATTATTGAACATGTGATGGTGTTTTTGTAGAGATGACTGGTGAGTGTTGATGATTTTGTTGCCCTTCTACAGCTTCTTTGCACTGCTTTTGGTGGGCTATGAGCTTCGAACAGTCTACATTGATCAGCTGATACGTGCTAGCTTTGGCTTTATGTACAGCCCTTGGGGTCGATGTCTGTTTCTTAGCATGTACGTTGCTGCTAGGATGCTCTTATTGTGTATGCTGTGGCTTGGTTTGACAACGTGTTGTTTTGGTCCAGGATTTCGATCTTTCCATTTGGAATGTGCGGTATCTATGGCGTTCTGGTGTCGCTCACAGGTTTTGTCAACGCGTACTTCAATTACTTTGTTATCACGAAGCATCCGTCATTTACGCGTGGAGTCCCCGACTACACGCCGCCTGAGAAGCCTCCCGCAGCCAAGCTTGCGGAAGAGGACGTGACTGTTTAAGACCATTTTCGTGTATGATGTAGGGCCAGAAACACGTTAACTGAATGATACAATCGTTGCGTGCAGTCTAGGCTTGCAAAATGCGATGGACTCTTTTGTTCATGTGCATGGAGACTCATAGTTATGCATATATCTTTATAAAATGGAAAAAACGATCACTGGTGCCAATAGTTTGTTCTCTGCAGGGCTTTTATTGAGATTTTAATCAGTTTCGTTGGATGATCCACCAAGACACGTAATTGCCTTACCCTTTACACTTGAATCAAGATGGTTGTTGAGAAAGATTTATGCGAGCGCGTGTGTAAGAAGCAAGTATGTGCCATCCAGTTTTGTTTGCAGCGTCATAATTATCAGGAGAGCAGGTGCACAGCCATTATCATGCGGTGCTATGACTGCTGCACCGCTGCCACAAAGCAGAGCAAAAGACCTTAAAACTTGTAGGTCAAAAACCTACTAGGACAAACCATGTCGTTGCTGATAATGATGATCATGGCAAAGCGAAGCAAGAACAGTTATCAGACCACAAGTCTACACGATCTTGAGTTTTGGGTCCGTGGGTCTGATTACGCGGCGAGAAAGTAGTTGTCGTCGCACTTGGCCAAGGGTCCAGAGCACATGAGAACTGCTTAAAATAAGCACGCTGTGAAACATGGCAAAGAGTGTCAAAGTTAGTATCATAGTAATGCTTGGAAGGTCTGTAACGAAAAATATACCTTATCACCTCCCATGAAAACGCGACGAAAGCAGAAAGCAATATTTGCAACAGCAGGAGAAGTATCTGGATCAGCATCAAAATTGCGAGCTGCACGCGCGGTTCGTTATAAGGCGATTGCTGCTGGGTTTGCAGCGTTAGATCCAAGCCGTCATTGCTGCATGCGTTGGTTGTCTTCATAGTGCTAGCACGTGTTTTGCGCTTTGCCTTGTTGTCAACAGCAAGAGCCAACTTAGCAAGATATGTACTCTGACAAAGCATTAAGTGCAAGCATACCTTTGACGTCCCAATAAACCCCGCCACGAGCTCTTCTGATTCCGAGCAATCTATATCGTGCCATAACCTCTCGAGCAATTTGGCTCCACGCTGTTGCGTCCTTGCAAATTTGCCATTTGTGTCCAAACTGAAGCCACTGAGCACAATATGTTTTGCCGTAAGCAGAATTACCGTGTGCACGAATGCTGACAATGTCGTAAGTATGAATGCAGTTGTATCAATGATAACCGCTTTCGTCTGCGGCATCCAACACAATCACAGAACGTCAGATACGTGAGTCTTCCAATCTCCACTACATCAGTTCTTACATGAAATGGAAACTTCCAAAACCCTGCGGTCAACAACGTCGTTTCAATTGCAGCCACGATGATCGTTTTGTATGCATGCCGACGGTTAGGATTAGTATCAAAATACATCGATGCTACATCCAGCTGACATCTACGGCCCACAATTTCACATTACAATCACTTCTATCGGTCTTCAAGAACATCCTGACCCAGCAATAACGTACATTATTGCAAAATTCACAAGCTCTGTCGTGCTCAAGAATAATTCAAAGTAGTACAGTATCACTTTAAACACAGCAAGCATTAGAAAAATTGTAGATATGCGGCAAACTTGAAGAGAAGCATATGGCAAAAACATTGTCACAATGCTCTTCCTCATCATCCAGATAGCACTTCCAAGGAACAGCACAATTTGAGTTATTGAGACTCCCTACAATACAATACAATACATATAACATGAGCAGTAGTATTATTATAGTGTGTACATATACACAACCAAATCACAAACGACAAGATTGTTCTGTACCTGAATAACTAGTAGCGTATTCTGTACGATAAGTGCCACAAGACTTTGAAGCAATACTGTACGATCTAAACTTGCTGGAATGTCAACCACTTCTTCACTTAATTGATCATAGTATCTTTCCAATTTATAAAGCGATTTATTCAAGCCAATAGCAGTGTCTCGAGATGTTCCAGAAGACGTTCGCAAGGTTGATGATGATCCCTGTAAATGACGTCGTTTCTTGGCCATGATGATCAATAGATAAATGGACTTGTCCAATGAGATTCTTTTCGATTTTGCATTTGCACCAATCAAATTACATGGCTGTTTAAACCACTGCTCTATTCGCCAATATTACAATAAAATAACCAATCTAGCGCGAGCCATTCAAAACAGTCGTCATTCTCTTTGGTCTTGCTGTACTAATGCTACGTCGTGCAGCTTTCTCGTCATTGCGCTGGGCGTGTCACTGCGGTAGTAGCCAGACATTCAAAGCATTGACTACTGTACCACAATGGTATACATCTAATCATACAAAGCACATACAATCAAGATCGTGGCATGTCGTGCCTTTCTCGTCCGAGGTTTCAACTCCAGCAATGCATATGACAGAGCATGAGTTTATGGAACTTGCAGACGAGACATTGCATGAGATTCAGAGCTGGTTGGATGGAATTGAAGAAATGCTTGAAGAATCTGACGTCATTTTTTCCGTATGTTTGATAGTAAAAATGTACTGTATATTTGATATGTATTTATACTATACTATAATCTATAAACTTGTTTGGCTAATCATCATCATCATCATGATGATGATCATGATCATTATAATTTGATTCTGTGATAACAGCAAGGGGTGTTGAAGATTGATTTAGGGGAATCTGGTACATGGGTAATCAATCGTCAAGTACCGAATCGACAGCTTTGGTGGTCTTCTCCAATCAGGTGAGGTGAAGAAGTACTGTAAAGAGCAAAAACTGATTGATTTATATATCTATACTATCTTTTCTTGTAGTGGTCCTCGTCGTTATGAATACGACACTGTTAATGGTCAATGGATTAACACACGAGACAAAGGTGAACTGGTGGCACTCCTACGCTCTGAGATTCTGGATGCTACAGGTATTGAGATTTACAGCTAAATTGAAAGCTTGAGTCATGAGTCTTGGAGCGTAGCTGTATGAAGAAAAATGAAGTATTAACCTTTGAACAACAGACACACCGAGACAACATGGCACTTGATGAAACACGACGTCACTTTGTTATGTCTACTCTGCTCGCTTAGCGCTATGCAATTTTATGGTGTACAAACCTCTTGCACAAGAAAATTACACTTGTATCTACGCCATCTCGTGCTCATTCTCATCCTCCTCGTCCTCCTCTTCATTCTCTTCGGTAGGATCAGCTGCTGACTCTTCTTGTCTATTCATGTCTACTTCGTGTCGCTCGCTCATATAGTTCTAATCATTTTACAATGCAACACGTAATTGATGACATGTTACAGATGGGACAGTATGTAAACACGAAGCAAGTCAAGAAGTAGCATATGCGACTTACTTCAAGCAAGAGACCACGAATATGATCTGTAGATGCCTCTAACGTAGTGGAAGCTAATAACCCTTTTCGACGAGCTTCATCCTCCTCCCAGTCGGCAATTGCACGGTCGCGCATATCCAGAATATGATCCCGACGCCTTTTTTCGTTTTCCACCTCGGTCACTTGCGCATAATACTCTTTCTCCTAGATCATGCAAGCAAACAGAACGTGCTGAGTAAATCGTTGCTTGAGTTTCGGCTTTACATGTGCTGACAAGTTGAAGATAAAGATTTCTCACCTCTTCTGTACATTTACGCCACATGTCACCCATGATTTTTCTTGCCTCGGACGCAGAGCGACGTGTTTTGCCTAGCGCTTCCTTCTGCATTTGACAGTACACGATAAAAGGATTGACTGGTCGGGGAAGACGGTTTTCCTGTGGACATGAGAGACGCAGCATTGCACGATTATCATCGGCAAACAGTCAGGAAAAACACACACAACATAAGGTTGTAAGCACAACGCACCTTCAATACTGGCCGAACTGATCGATTTGATCGCCCGTTAGTTCGTAAAAGCACTGGCATGCTCTTCCATGTTGTAGGACTGGTGCAAAAAAGACATGCGTTAGTTTGCAACAATCAATTGTCCTCGACAAAATGAGGTCAAAACGTACGCTCGAGCAGCCGCTAGTTGTGAAGATAAATATGTCCTCTCTTCGCTGGATAGCTCACTCAATATGGGTTGCCATAAGTCTAAAAAGACGATTTAGCATAAGCTACTAGCATGTAAAAGACAGTGTCGGGACGTACTTGCGTCGTTTGTGTCACGCACAATATCGTCCACGGGTGGCATTGTCTCAATATACCCTGCGCTCGAAGTTGATAGTGTGACGTCGGTGCCTTTTGCTTGAAACGGATTTGCCCCAATCCATTTGTGCCCATTTAATGCGATACGATAAGCCATCACCTGCTCGACGATCGAAAAAACGATGGCTGGCTCAAATGCTTTCGGCAGATTCAAGTCTGCACAAAGCGTACTAGCAAATGTCTGTGCAGCGTGACAGTCGTTGGATATATCCCACTCAAACTGATCGCGTAACTGCACAAGTATCCAGATAAAACAACACGTTAGAGATACACACTATCACAAAGCAAAGCATTTCGTTGTCGATACAAATAATATCACGTACGGAAAAACCATCGATAATGAGATCCACGTAGATAGGACATATCCGCCCATTCTTAAGCTTCGTGCTCAAACACGAGTTATACATGAACATTTGTCGCCGGATCGATTCCGCAATAGCATCCTGCACCCAGTTCGTCACGCAACAGTATCAGCACTAAGAAGTGCTAGACCGCTAACTTATAAGAGTAGAATACGCACTCTATGTTTTTCGCTCATCTGTTCATCCTGGGCTATATGACAAGCAAGGATTTCCGGTGAGCAAGTAGTCAGGGCTCTATGGCCATCATAAAACATGTACAGCAGATACACTTTTTGTCAGCTTAGTCGCAAACAAGAAAACATATATCCCCACGAGCGTGAGCTTACGAATTGACGAGAAAAGTATCCTGGAATCGAATACCATCCAAGTCGACGTCAAGGCGAATGGGACAGATTAGCTCCGTCTTGGCAAAAACATGCCGCGTCTTCCGTACAACAAGCTGACTTGCTGTCGATCCTAAATTTACCTTGGTCTTCCTGCTACTGTCATTTGACACCACAGTCTCCACTTTAGTAGCTGAAGCATCCAACGGCAGTACGATAACCCTCCGTTTTCGCTTCCTATTGCCGGTCTGCTCTACACCCGTTGCAACTTTCTACATCCAATATCATATCAGTCCAATCTACACGCTCTTTCTCATCATCATCAAGAGCTGACAAACCTGTTGCATGGATGTTGCTGCGTCTGCATAAATAATGCTTCTTCTTCCGTCTACTGCATTGCGTCCAAACTGTAGAAAACATCACAAGAGCACAATTCATCAGTGCCTTGTTCCTCTCTTCAATACACCCTTTACTACTTTTCACCTGTAATGGTGCAGCAGATCTCCGTAAACTGCCATCGAAAGGCTTGAGTGGCTTCATTACAGCGCTTTTTAGCGTTTGATGTGCCAACGCCACACGATACCGCATCAGTAGTTTGTCTACCGCCGTATCTGCAATCTGCATTCAATTGCACAGCAATTAGAGGCATTGAATGACTTTGTTTGATCCATTTTACCATCACAAGACGTACGTCCGATGCAGTTCGAATACGTCGTGGTTCAGGCGAAAGGTACGCGCGCAATTGGTCTCTAGACCAGCCCAATTGTCTTGTTGTCTGATCATCTGATACCGCATAACGTTGCATAAAGAGTCTCAAGCGATTGGCCGCTGAATGCCAATCACTTGACCCCCCAGTGCTCATAATTGATTTCTTGTATGGACGGGAGCTCGCTCGTCGTTCCTTTTTGCTCGAAGTGTATCAAATTTTTGTGACTGTAAAAAAAGTGATAGAAAAAAGCGGTTCAAAAAAAGTAACGTACACCACATTTGATTCACAGTATGAAAGTGTATTATATTCATGGCTTAAAGAGTGAGTGGCATCAAGTGTGATACAAAAAAGGAGTATCAAGATTCGATTATTTGCTACCTAGTACAGGATTTAATGGAGACAAGTGGTAAATAGGTCGAGAGAGAGAGAGTTATTTGATCTATAGAATGTCATTGCATCGTGTATATCAAGTGTAACGTGATGAAATAGACAGGGAGTTGGTTATGCCCATCAGCATTTTTTTATTTGCTGGTGACACGCTGAAATTTGGACACCACGTCTCATGGAATGGTGCAGGTCTGAGATGTGGTGGCTGCAACGATACACACACAAAACAATCAATACCTTTTGCATGTATCGTATGTAAAACGAAGCCGTTTGTGCGTGAAGTCTGTTATTCCTCCTTTTCCTGTCCCTGCGCCCATGCTGTGTAAATTATGCCCGGCTCAGAAAAACACAAAAAATGATCGTCAAGATGCCAACAACAAGTCAAGTAACAGTAGTGACCTGAGCTACTTCCATGTTACGACATCGAACTACCAACGTCTCTTGAAATGCCTTTACAAGTGGCTACTGCATACGCCCATCATTGTTGAGACCATGAAGCGAGGTTGGACGATTCAATGGTCATCTTCTAGATCTTCTGCTAACAGATGCCATAAGCATCGTCAATGTTAAAGTGACTTATTCCTTTCGTATCTGACATTGATTGAGCCGGTACTGATTCTTGAGACGTGTACTTCTTGTCCCATCAACCCTTGATCCCGTCGTAGATAATACTAAAGCATATCATTTTGAACAGGTATTGATAGATACGTGTTACTGTCCAATTCAAGCCAGTGTTAACCCCCCGACCCAAATCTATCATGGCTCCACGAAGTAGTATCGCTTTAGATACACGCAAGACAATTCTGCTATGCTTGGGACTAGTCTTTGTGATGTACTTTATAGCTGTGAATACCTTGTTTACTTTTCCAACCAAGTCACCGCTCTTGACGCAACACAAAACACAAAACCATGTCAACCACGACCACGACGAATCATCCAAGTTTCGAAATCAAATGGAGCACGAGGAGGATAAAAACAACAGTGCGATTTCCGTTGCTACGCCGCCATCCTGGGGAGTGCCGAATCCGGAACGTAAGTATGTCTGGTTAGATGTGGCCATTGATGACGTCTACGTTGGTCGTGTCACTGCTGAATTGTATGCTGATCTCGTACCTAAAACAGCCGAGAACTTTCGCGTTCTCACAACGGGTGAAAAGGGTCCAGATTATACGTTTAAAGGAAGCGTATGTCATCGCATTCTAAAGAACTTTATTGTACAATGTGGAGACTATACGGAAGGTACAGGAAGAGGTGGTCGAAGCATTTATAATGATCAATCGTTTGATGACGAACCTAATGGACTGAGACTCAAGCATTCGAAGCGATATATTCTGCAAATGGCTAATCGTGGACCCAATACAAATGGCAGTCAGTTTTGCTTTATGTTGAAGGCATCACCTCATCTAAATGGCAAGCACGTGGTATTTGGGGAAGTCGTAGAAGGATTTGAAGTTGTAGACAAGATGGAGGAAGCAGGCGTGGAGAGAGACGGCATTCCGTTGCAACACAAAGTGAGCTTTACGGACGGAGGCGAGATTCTATTCTAGGAAATGGTACAATTCTGCCAACTGAGTGAGTGATGGACATACGCATGGATTTTACACGTGTATAAACTCTATTGCATGTACCACTAATTCGATTGCTCATTCCTACGACACTAATCTATGATATGTGACCCATTGCTTCAGCAAATTTGATATAGTCACGCATTGATTCTTCTGATGACACGGGGGTGATACAACGGAGAGCTTGATTGAAATGATCCATGCGAACATTTTCGGCATCCAAGGATTCGCGAAGAGCAAGCAGCGCTGCCTCACGACAGAGATTCTAGGATACAATACGTAACAAGACGCTGGTTAGCCGAAATTCTATCAAGCTAATAGCTGAATTCTGCGTACCTCAAGTTCGGCTCCACTAAAATATGGCGTGCGCTTTGCTAAATCAAACAGGTCAACATCATCATGCAGCTGCATTGGATGCGAGTGAATTTGTAAAACATCAACGCGGTCGCGCTCGGTCGGTAGGTCTACAAATTGCATGCGATCAAATCGTCCAGGCCGCATGAGAGCCGCATCAATACAAGCTGGCCGATTAGTTGCACCAATGACTAAGAGCCCTTCCGCTGATTCAACACCATCCATTTCATTGAGCATCGTGGAGAGCACGCGCATTGCAGTGGAGGTTCCACCCTCTCCGTCCCCAGAGCCATCGAATTCGCGCTTGGCAACGATTACATCAATTTCGTCAAAAAAGACGATTGCAGGAAGTGCTGCACGTGCATCTCGAAAGACCTGGCGCACAGCGGCCTCAGCGTCACCAAAAAACGGCGTAAAGACCTGTGCCGCCGATAGCGAAAGAAAGGTGGCTCCGCTCGTATGGGCTGCTGCCCGCACAATTGAGCTTTTGCTGCATCCTGGTGGACCATACAGTAATATGCCGCGTGGAGGTTTGACTCCAAGACGGGCAAAAGTCTGCGGAAACTTGACGGGCCATTCAAGTGCCTGCTGCATCGCCAGCTTCGTATTTGCTTGACCACCGATACTCTCCCAGCCTTGTCGTTCAAAGTCTTTCCTGCAAGAGAATAATAGCACAATACAAGTAACGGTTTACGCCGTCAGTCTCTAGGGTCGAGTACAATCAAGCGAGAAGCAAAGCATGGTAGTGCAAGCACAACTGACATGTATCCACTGACGCCTCGAAGAGCTGATGGCCCGACCGTCTGCATAGCTTGGTCAAAGTCTTCCATGGTCACTTCAAAGGTTTGCGCTCTTGTTGCCTCGTTTTCATATCGACACGAGGGAGCACATGATTGTTTCCCATTGCTACTTAGTAGAAAGCTGAAATACTCAAGCTCTGGTAGCCGTTGTGGATCGCCTTCTGAGTTGGTAGCGTCGTTGTTTGCGGCTTGTTTAGCAAAAAACCAGAGCGGAATGATTGCAGCGGGGTTCGCATGCCAAGCTCGACCGGCGACTATGGAGCCGAGTGTTGTCGACAACTTCTGGATACTGAGAGACTCTACTCTTCGCTTCCAGTCTGCCCACCATTGCTCAAGTTCGCGGTTTCGAGATAGTGCTACAAGCTCCCGTGCGGATGCTATCATAGCAGCTTCGCGACACAAAGCAGCAATATCAGCACCAACATAGCCTATGGCTTTTGAGGCTAATGTAGTAAGAAAGGCGTCACGTAGCTGCTCCGCGTTTTCAGACGATCCACTGCTGAGAGCGTAGGGTGTTTGCAAAAGATGCACCCTAAAAATCTTTTTGCGCAACGCTCTGTTTGGCGGGGACAGAAAAATTTCACGGTCAAATCTTCCTGGACGACGCAATGCTGGATCAATCGAATTTGGTAGGTTTGTAGCGGCGACAACCACTACGTTCTCATGCGAAATGCCACACTCGACACCGTCCAATAACGTTAGCAACTGAGCGACGATGCGGCTATGTGCTGACGAAGCACCTCCTCCAGCAGCTTCGCGTTTTGGACAGAGTGCATCCAGTTCGTCAATAAAGATGACGCTGGCAGCGTGTTGAGCACTGCGAGCATGGGCCACTGCCATTTCAAACGTTCCACGAAGAGCTTGCTCAGCATCTCCGCGTCCACTGGTCATAATTTCAGGTCCATTAATGACTTGCAAATTCAGATCTAACATCGCGCCAGACTTATCCTTTACCTGATGACACTCATGTACTACCGAACGCACAAGCAGCGTCTTGCCTACACCTGGTGGACCACAGAGTAGCAAGCCCTTTGGCAGCTCCACACCCATATCCACGCGCAGTCGTGGATGTGCGATTGGCAGCATAATGAGCTTACGAAGAGCAGCTCGCTCTTTTTCCATGCCTCCCATCTCCACTCCTTTGCGCTGTTGGGAACCTGACATTGTCCGAGTCAAGTCACTACTCGCTTTGTTTTCTTGTTTGAGTTGATCGTATCCACTAGGACCCGTCAATGTTACACGTGTGCTCGGTGTCACTCGTACAAAGACTTGTGAAGGGTACGTTGACACGACACGGAACGTCATGGACAGCTTCTGAGCTTCATTATTCTTGCCTCTACTTTTAGCCACGAGACTATCAAGCATTGGAAGCTTTACTCTTGCTCCTGTACAAATAACAAAATTGTGCTGCAGTGTCTGTTGAAGCAAAGAGCGAGTATCAGCGTCTTGCAATGCTTGATCTTGTAGCTGCGAATTCGATAAAGGCACCAGTTCCAGTGTCACCGCCACAGCAACGCGCACAGCCCCTCGGGAGATCCACAATACTTCATCATCCTGACATACATCACTATGAGCAATACATTTGTTGCTTTGGATAAGTAGACACGGCTCCAATTCATGGAACGACCGTGAATCACGTGATAGTGTGACAGTCGTATCTATTGGAGCATGTTCATGATGAACCAAACCATCTCGTGTAATTAGCGCAAGACGACAGATAGCGAAATGATTGTAGCCAATGCGACACAATACATAATGTCCAGAACCACAAGGACGAGAGCGCAAAAGCTTGGGGGAGACACGGTAGCGGCACGTAAAGTTGACGCTTGCAAGTGCATTATTGTCTGGACCATCAAGTGTCATTTTGGTAAATGGCTACATAGCTTTTGTTGGAGCAAAAAAAGGAGCGTGTTTAGAAAAAGGTACAGGATCCTATTTCTAACAACAAAAGGGTCAGATCTGTAATGTAAGCTTAGTAGATATACAAGGTTACTCTTTGACAAATAACTAAGTAAGCGAGTTTATATCATTAAGTAATATTGTAATGCTTTGGATACAAAAGCAACTACAGTTTCAACAAAGTATACGATACAAAATGCATACTTTCCTCTCGTTTCATTCGCTGAAATTCAACCTCCTATCACCCCTCATTTTTAGACAGACACTTGACTAAACGCTCTTAATCTCGATATGCGTGCTGCTAGTTTTTTTGCTCGGCGCATGGCTGTTAGTGCCTCTGCCCGTCGTACGATGGCATCTTTACATGGATCTCATAGTCACAGTTATCCCCATGGTATGCACTTTCATGTAAGTCCTGTACACAAGAACCTGGCGCTAGCCTATGGCACAATGCTCTGGCTATGGGTCTTTTGGCGGGCTAAACAAGACGGGCTTGCTGTACTGGTAAGTAATGATGTATACATATATACAAGATACCCGTGGATTTCAGTGGATATTGATCATGATGGATGTGAATAAGTAAATTTGACGTTGTGTAATGGGTTCATAGGGCTTTGAACACCCGTGGGAACACGGTCACCACGACGAAGCGCATTCGGAGACGACGAATTCAGGAAACTACTTACTGGTAGATGGAAAGATCAAGTACGAACGCTCGGAGATTGGTACTATGCCAATGCCTGTGGAGAGTGAGGGCGATGAGGAGAGTGACGAATTGGTGGACGGTGATGTCCTGGACGACCTGTTCGACGAAGACGACGAATAAAAAATGGCCGCGTTAAAGAATTGCAGTGATAGCCGATCAGATTCTTGACAGTGACGAGATGGTTGGATTTTGTTGCATTAGCTACATGATGGCGATGAAGGAGACCATCATCATTACGTATGACAAGACACATAAACATCGGCAAATACGAACCGTAGGTGCTTTGATCAATGGACAAATAATAGGAGCTTGCAAGACTGCAATAATGGTGATGCTGAAATACGACATTTAAAGTTAAAAACATTATGGTTGTATATACACGTACAGACAGACAGACTCACAGAGAAGCCTTTGACGGGGAATACATTGTCAGTAGTTTGGAATGTAGCTCTTCCAGATCTTCTGTCGTCCTGTATGTCATTTCAGCCGTTCTAGCTGTAAACCGTTTGCGTAAATTCCAAAAACTACCCCGTGTCGCTACTTTAGATCGCTTATACTGACGAGAATCTTCTACTAGTGTCGCCTGAATGGTGTCCATCCGCAGAAATGCGTCATGAAGAGCCGAGATATGCTCTGCTGTGCGCTTTAACGGCAAAATTGCTTGTTTGGGTACATCGTCTAGAAACGCTATCTGAGCTATGAGGCCTTGAAAGCGTTGCGTACGCTCATCTAACGCCTTCTGCTCCAGCTCTAACTGCTGGTTTGCAGCTGTCAACTCCCTCAGTTTTTGACGCAACATTTCCAACTGCGTATCCACTTCACGCTCGTCTTTCTCTTCCCTAGACAATAACGATGTATCTACCTCTTCTTCGTGAGGTGTTGTCACACATTTTCCTTTCTTTTGCTGCCTCTCCGCTTGAATCTGCGCCACTTCATGTGACACTTCATCAGGCACCAACACAATATTGCGTCGAACATATAGCTCAAACTTTTCAAAATTCTTCTCAAATGCACGATGTACTTTGGCCATATATTTTCCAGAGCTCTATACGATACACCATACAACCACAAAAGCGTAAGAAGTGAGGTGGGTGGTCTCCAATACGGCATATACCTTCCGCCCTCACCTTTGCAACGGCATTCAGCTGCCTTGCCTGCTTTTTCTTATTGCCAGTCGACTCTAATCTCTATGATCATGTATACTCAAGTCATAATTAGCCTCAAATAGAAACAATTATACACACAAACACACCCGATCTTCTACCTGATGTAAGGCATTTTCCACTTCACCCGTGACTTCCACGACACTTTCAGAGATATATTGCGTCACTACAAGGCTCAAAATGATCAAAAAAGACATCATTAGCATAGATATAATCGATATAAATGCATATTGTACAATAACAAGTAAGAAATAGCCAGGAGAAAGTGACGTACATGCAGGTAGAAGACCAGCGACGATTCCAGTCTCGGCTGAGGCCATGCTAGAGCCACGTTAAGAGTGCAAAACAAGAGATTGGTGTGTACTACATGAATTCATAATTGATCATTTCAGAGAGTTTGATTTTACTTTTTTGACCAATGATATTGCTACGATTGTCCGCTTGGGTCTGACGATCGTCCGTTCACCAGTCAGTTCACAATGTTATCGCTACTTCTCAAGCGTGTCATATCTTTGGCTCCATCTACTCGCTGCTATTCGTCCCATACGACGCTATGGGATCTCTTTCCATCAAGTACGTAGCTTTATGATGCTCTTTGATTGGTCTACATATCAATATATAGAGAGAGTCTAATAATCTTCTTTTTTTCATATGTAGCAAAGGCACGTACAAAGCCTGAGGCTCTACCGTACATGATGAACATGAAAGACAATTTGGAATTTGCTCTCGAGCGTATGCGTCTTATTGGAGGACCTGTGGCTCTACAGCTGATTCATCCTAGTGTATCTCGACCAAAGAAGGTGTGTTTACCTAGTGCTTTGTATGGAATTGAGTGATCGGCTAACGTTTGATATCATCTATCTAGGCAAATCCTTGCAAACGACCTTGCTCGCATTACCGCCGACGCTTGAAACGATATGGGCGTCGCTTTAACAAATAGACTATAGCGATGTGCGTTTCATTGCTATGTTTCATGATGATACTATACAAGACAGACTGTCCAGATGGCGGTCTCTGATAATCCTCACAGAATGCGCACACGTTGGATGTGTTGTAGACAGTAAAAACCTCAATGTGTCGGTCAATTTTCTGCATGGATAGAAGTCTACCATGTCACACGTCCGAAATCTTTCTGCTTTCATGTCAATGTTTGTCAGGCTGCATGCAAACAGGAGATGTCGCACCACATAAATCTGCGTATCGTTAGCACACGTGACTCATTTCAAATCAGCTTGAGAAGTTCTTCTCTACATCAAAAAAAAGCTACTCTTTCAATTGTAGCATTGCTTGCAGTCGCAAGTGTGTGCAGCCAAACAGTCATGAAGACAGTTAGAGGTCCAAGTCATCGTGGTTGTGTATTCGAGTTACACAAAGGTGTGTATTTTACACACACCTAAGTGCTTTAAAAGTATATAAGGATATTATAAGAAGGCTACAGTCAATTAAATAGTGACCAGCGCCAAGTATCGAGTAGGTACTTTTATATTGAGTGCTGGACGATGAACAACAAATTTAATCAGTTTGAAACCTGCTCTGTATAGCAAATTGTTGCTAGCGCGTAGTCCTTCAAAAAAGAATCAGTATTGGTCTCATTGGTAAGTGATTGCTTACAACCAGAAGGCACAAGCCATGAGAGGGTTATTAACCCTGAGACGTAAAGCTCCTACAGCTTTTCTCCCTCTGCACTTAGTGCACAAGTAGCTTTGCTACGGTAGCTCTGCTACAACAAATGCTTTCATCTGCGCCGACGCCCATGGCGACTATGGAGCAAAGAAGTGGTCCGCAGACCAAAACTGATACAAATGGAAGTCGATACGTTCGACGGTAAAGAATGTACCGTCAAAGGTAGTCAGCAATATTCTGAAGCGCTTAGAGCGTGTGGAAGTGACACAGTCACGGTTTGCTTAGCTACGGGTAAGCGTGTTACCGTACCTAAAGTCCCGATGGACTGATATGTAAAGTATATAGACTATAACAGCATGGAACGCTGTTTGGGCTTAGACCTGGATGCGAGGAATGGCCTTACCCTAGGCATGGCTTGGACGCAATATTCCATGAATGGACTGAAGGTCAGAATCCTTATGCACAACGCGTATTTTTTCTGGTGGGTCTCTTGAGACTCATGTACCTACCTCTACAAGGAAGAAAAAGTGCTTTTGGTGCGGATATTGGACCGATTCGGTTAATATCCTTGATGTACGTTTGCCCAACTTTGCAGACGCTATAAGTGTTGAGGATAATAGCCCCAGAAGAGGTCCAAGGGTTGGAAACAAACTCATTAATTGCCACATATGATATGGTTTATTCTCATGACACGTGTCATATGCGGCTGCGAGCCAAAATGTCAGGACAACGTTCCAAGGGACATAAATGGCGAGGTCCTGGCCCAAGAAGGCCGGATAAAGTCAATGATGGCGATTTATTATCACGGCATAGAGGTGCAATTACCAAAGGGAGAAATGCAATAAGTAAACGGAGTGGTATTTGACCTTGCGAGGCTTACACCTGTGGACGCTGTCGCGTCGGATGCTACGAGCATCGAGAGTAGAGATGATAACACCACGAGTGGCGGTGATAGCGAACAGCTATATACAATCGTCTATGGTTTGACTGGGGATGTCGAAAAGACGGTGGCTCTTTCTGCTATCCACAATATGTGCTCTGTTAGATCTGAACGAGCTGTCCTTTGCCGAGTTTGGCAGTGACTTACAGGCAGGCTAGATCTCCGAAAGTGGTGATTATACGACCTAAGGAGGAGTTGAACTCCTCATTGCTTTTAGACAAAGTAGTGCTCGAAGATACCAAGAAGGTGTTGAATGCAAGAAGTGGTTCACAGATCTTTACTAACCTTTTTTGAAGAAGAACGGCGATGTCGTTCCCAAAAAACCTCCTACAATGTTACTTCCGAATAAATGTGTACGTCATGAGATTAAATTGGTTCCAGGAACCAAATACTGTGTGACGCGACAGTGGCCGCTGCCACGAAAACAATGTGACGTCATTGACTAGTTTGTTCGTGCAAAGCACGCGGCTAGTATGGTGCATGAGACTAATTACGCCCACGTTTTGTGTGAGGAAGCCTAATGAGAAGTGGCAAATCATGCATGCTTACAATAAGCTGAATGCAACCACTATACTGGCTTAAACACCGATTCCTCACAACGAAGCTCTACAAAACAATATGGTGGGGTGTGCAATGTACAGTGCCCTCGACTTAGTCGATGGATATTACTAACTGCTCATGCAAGCTAGTGATGTCCCGCTCTCAGCGGCCAGCACTCCGAGCGGTATGTCTCTAAAAAGGTTAGTAATGCCAAAGGCCTTTTTACACCCCCCCAACTTTTTTTCCTCTTTTTGCGCCGCTTTTTTTTCCCCCCCCCCTTTTTCCCCCCCCCCCCCCTCCACACTATCTTCGTCCATAGTCGAGACAAAAACGGTAAGACAGATGTGAAGAATCACATCAAACACCTGCGAGATGTGCTCGGATGCATCAGAATGGGTTATATGCAAAAGTTGACAAATACGTCTTCGATGCAAAAGAGATTCCTTTTTTTGGATGCTTCATTCCAAAGCGAGAGATCTGGGTAGACCCTGTCAGTTAAAAGCTATATTGGATTGGCCGGTTCCAAGGAACCAAAAGGACCTCCGCAAGTGGTTGGGTTTGTCAAAGTACTTGTATAAGTATACCCAAACTATGCGGAAGTGGCTAGTACATTGGCCAATCTCTTTAAAAGGATGTGGAATTGGTGTTGGGACACCGAGAGCCACGAGGCTTGGGAAGTCATCAAGAAACATCCTTCAGGCGCCAATTCTGTCTTTGCCTGATCCTGATAGTCTTTTTAGTGTCGTATGTGACGCTTCGGGCTCTGCCATTGACAGCGCGTTACTACAAGTGGACGCTGAGGGTCGGGAACGCGTCATCGTGTTTGAATTTTGCCAGCTGAAAGCTGCGGAGAAGAGCTATCCAGTTCATGATGAGGAGGCTCTTGCCATAACTTATGCTCTGAGCTTAGGGTACACCTGCTGGGCTCAAAGCCGTTTGTATCCTTTACCGATCATGCGTCGTTACGCGCAGCAACACATTTGCCTCATCTCTCGCGGAGAATGGCTCGTTGGCTCTCCTTTTCGCGGAGTATATCAAGGTGAAGTGTAGGCCGGGTAACAGAGTGTTTTAGCTGACGCGTTATCGCGTAGACCTGCCGTCTCTGACTCTAGCATCTAGATCCGTGACGGTGAAATAAAAGCTGATGGAAGATTTAATTGTGAGCGACGAAAGCTGGCGACGCACTACCGTTCGTGCAGCAATTTACCGCTAACCTGTCGTCAGCACAGAAACAGGGTGGTGCGAAGGTCTACAGGTATGCATAGAATTCTATTAAAGCTATCCAGTCGTCTACATCTTGGTAGGTTTTCTGTCTTTCGAGTTGATCTCCATCGTCACTGGTCCGTCGTTCACCTGCAATCATACGATTCCAACGTCAGTTTAACCATCTTCATGAATAGCAGCCGTATCAAGTCGAATCATCGTACAATAAACACTTCCATATAGGCGCCAAACTCGCCTTCCGCCACCTTGTCAGCGATATACTCACGTCGTACACGATCACAAAATGCGTCATAGAACTTTCTTGCTGGCTCATGCTTCACTGTAACACCATCAGTATTCACCTTAGACATCATTTACTCCATGAGCTGTATACAAACGGGATTAAGAAACTATCGACGCCGTCGTACTGGAGAGATGAAAGTCGGGTTTATTGCCTGCAAATTGACCGTGTAGCGTAAATTGGCTCACAAGTAGCACGTCATGCTCACAACTCTTCACTGATCTTTTCCACGGCTTTCCGCTTTCATCAGGCCACAAACGAGCGTTCTGATACCAATAAGAAGCGTGAAAGGATTAGCACTTGCAGAGTCTTGTGATATATCTTGGTACCAGCCAATAATTACACGATAATGTACCAATAAACGACGACAACACCATTCTGCGTCATCCTCGGTGTCATCATTGCCAATACCAAGAAAACACAACAATCCTTTCTGAATTTCGCCCACAGTCTTGCCTTCTACACGCACAGAGGCACTAGTCACACGCTGCATGATCACCTTCATACTTATAGTCAGAACTTATACGGGGTGTTTTTCAACGAATCATCAATAAGTATATCGATTATCATCCAATCATATAACTTCATTCTCTAAATGCGTCGCGTATCCCTCATGACGTCGTCTCGACCTCGCGAGGTGTTGTTATTTGGGCTATCAGCGAACCCACCAACGGGATCAAAAGGTCATATGGGTGTTGTCAAGTACTGTCGTCCATTCTACGACGATATTTGGCTCTTGCCTGTATATCAACACATTTATTCCAGCAAGAGAAAGCTTGCACCGTTTGACCATCGCGTCAAGATGTGTCGCTTAGCGTTAAAGACGCTTGAAAGCCCACAAGATCATGGTGCAGAGCTTCAAGTGATGGAAGAAGAGCGTGAAATGTATCAACATATGGCTACAAAGACTGCAAACTTACAAGAACTTCATCTTGGTAGTATTGATCTTGTATACTACTTAGTAAACAAGTATCCCGATAGAAGGTTTACAATGCTCCTTGGTGGAGACACGTATGCGGATTTATTGGCAAACAAGTGGAAAAATGGACATGAACTCATGACATTGGTTAAGGTATTGGTAGTAGATCGTAAAGGTATTGATTCGCCATGGAGAAAAGAGAAGAGAGAAGATCAAAACGAGTCGGACCGAGTTCAATACATTCATGTCCCGGAGCTGAGTAATGTATCGTCGACCATAGTGAGAGCTACGACCGATCGAAAGAAGCTGGCGACATATTTGGATCCAGCAGTCCTGGAGTATATTGTGCAGCATCAACTTTATGCATTTGCTACGGCGTCGGAAGAAAAAGGAGACGATGGATAAAAGTGGAAAGTGATGTGTGAAATTGTTTCACTGTTTTGTGTAGCATGCCGTTTACTAGCTGTGTCTGAGGCGTATCCTCCCGGCAATACGATCTGTAGTCTCTCTTTTATCGTGCAATGAAGCATATGCAGCATTGGTAGGAGGAGATCAGGTCGCTCCAGTCCACAGCCAGTTCGTGTCCAGATCTTCTCTACCTGTTTGTTGTCCTTGTAAAGCGCTGAATTCTGGTCCCTCCTTCATTCAATGTACACTCGATAATGTCTCGCTGTAGACCGTACTTAACACTCTGGATATCAATCTCCTGCTCCGTCTCATCATCATATCCAAAACTTGAGCACATGAGAAAGACACCTTGGGGTGAAAGCAATCGATTAACTGTCCAAAAGAGCAGTGGCACCACTTCTCGCGCGTAGATAACGTCGGAGCCGACAATTAACGCTGTCACTTGGTGATTCTTATCTGCTGCTCCACTCTGTAATGTCTCCAATGCTTTAATTTCCTTATCTCCTTCTGGTCCCCATCGTAAACTTTGAGTAAGACACTTGGCCTGTGTTCGTGCCTGTTGGCCAGCATTATGCTCAATAACCTTAAGCACGCCTGGATCATGATCCGTAAAGATTACAGTGGCAGTAGGTTGAAGTTGAGCCACAGCTAAGCCCGTGAGTCCACATCCAGCTCCTAATTCGACTACATTACCGCTTGGAATCGCATCACGATGCTTCGTCAGGTATTCACACAATGCTGGAGCTGCAGGCCAGATATAATGACCACTCTGTAATGCACCAGGTTCATCCTTTGTATACGTCAGTAATACCGAGACATCCGCATTCACTCCATATTCATATCGACATGTTACTTTTTCTAAGAATGTATCAAACATAAAGCCTACATCCGTCAGTATACTCTCTGTCCCGTCCTCCATTTCTACTGTCTCCATCTTTTAAATGACGTTTGTAGTACTAATATACTTATACTCATACTAATATAAATCATTTATCAATATATCAGTACTATCGTTAATTACTCTATCGTTTTACTCTAATCAGAATGGAAGATTTATTTATTTTGTGTGATTCACACGAATGAATAATTTGGCGGGAACGTTTGATTTGAAGGATAGAAAAGACGCGCTATATTAGTAGTAGTAGTAACTGTATTTTGTATCATAAATGAGTTATCCATTATTGCGACGTTTGCCCCTAGGATCACTCGACGATCAAGTAGCACGTGCTAGTATGCAACTTTGTCATAAGATTGTCATGCAACAGCTCTATATTTCACGAATCAATACATTAAAACAATGGGTTGTGGTATCAAATCCATCCAACAAGAGTGTAGACATGACAGACTTTAGTCTGACCTGTGATGCCTGTTGTGACGTATTTTACTTTCCAAACAGATATACACTGTTACCAGGTGATGAAGTGACAATCTGGTGCTCACCTCGAGATCTTCATCTGGATCACGATAATCTGTTGCTGCCGTATCTTTTTTGGACTAATGATGATGGATCATTGCGTCATGAGCCATTCTTCAAATTGCAAACTCATGCCAATGAAGTATTGTTGCGCGACCCGCTACTGATTGAAGTAGCATCAATCAGAGTAGATAGAGATGAGAAGAAAGAGTTTCGAGTGCTGCATTGCAAGTCAGTACACCATAGGATGCTTCGAAGCGAGATTGATACAAGGTTCTGTGTCGGGTGTCTGGCACCACCAGAGTTTGAGAAAAGAGCGTCAAGGTCTTGTCCTGAGAGTGGAAAAGTCATGTTATTGCCACCAGATCATGGAGAAATCTACATCTTTTCAAGATATTGGGGCGTTGTCTCGAACAAGTCGCTAGTGAAACATTTCTTGGCGGTAGTTTTCGTACCTCTGGTGGAATCATTTCGTGCCGTGCTGATCTACATCATGTTCTGCATGTTCAAGTCAAGAAATGATCTTGGACCACAATTGCGGTCCAAAGTACTGACACTTTTGCTCATGATGCTGGCGTGCGACGTAATTGCGCGAAGACTTATGCTGTTCATCAAAAGCGGATTGCTTGTTACCATTGCAAGCTTCACGGCTGTCGTGCTGGACCGACTAGCTGTTTTCGTGCTATACTTATCGCTACAGAGGCTGTACCCGGCGTTAGCTGTATCCCTGCAGTACATGCTTACGTTCGACCTAGGTATTTGTTGTGTGAATGCTGCTGCAGTACACGTACGTTTCCTTGAAGCTCGTCATAATTGGCATCCGGTGTTTAAGCAATTCACACGGTGGGACCACAAATTCCGAAGGTTTCTGTGCCTCTGTGGTATCGGTCGCGAGCTGTTGCTGCATTGGTTGCTTTTGCTTCCGTTCAGCAATCATCCCTCATCAATGTGGAAGATTGTAGGGTATCTGCTTGTACCGCTTTTTACGGTGGCCTCTGGTGCCGACTTGTTACGTGCTGTAGCCACTCTACTGCACGTAGTGGAGTATCCGATTGTACTAGTAAAAACTAAACCGCGATGCTTACAGCCGCGTCGCGAAGGAAAGAAAAACGAAGTGTATGAGTGTCAAGAGGAAGACGATTTCTCCGAAGAGGAGCCTCAGAAAGAGGACCCACCCATAGCTTTCTCGACACCTAAGACTCTTCGCTTCCGCTCCATTCACCCGTTTAGTTAGAATATTTAACAGTGTAAAGCAGTGAGCTTGAGAATGCCAGCAAGTAGACGACGAATGGATAGAACCTGTGTACCAGACTCTTACAGCTGTAGCGCGTTAGGCCGTACATCGCAAAATTTGCACTAGCAGAAATTGTAAACAGCTCGCCTCACCAAACAGGCACTAGCATGAATTTAGGCATTACTTGAAGTAAACAAAGAGAGACCGCCTCCCACAGTTTTTCACAAGCGCATCGTACTCTTCAAAGTCGGCTCCTTCCTGCTATCTTCTTATCTCGCCTCTCAGCTCACACCTAGTAAAAAGAATCTCGCTGCTGGTTCGCAATTCTCTTTTAAAAGTTGGTACCCTCAGGCGGTTGCGGCAGACGTCGGTTCGTAGGAGAAGCCATCTCAGCACGGATCGCCACAAGCACATTCTCAATGCCATTGTTGCGGTGCCAGCTGCCCAGTGCCACCAGTCGTCGTGGATCAACGCGACCCGATTGGGGATCCACACAGCTCATGTTGATGCGGCTCGTGAAGTGCACCTCAGGCGGCATATGAGGATACTGATCACTGCAATGAATCCGGAGACTATAGATGCGTCCATCATGGCATGTCTAAGAACATGGACACAAGACAAATAGACAGACAGACAGAACAAAGAAAGACACCACAGTCATCACGTCATCTTTTGTCCATCAATAACATGCTCAATCATAAATATTGGTCCATGATAGCAGCTATTGACACCGATATATAGTAAAAACTCACACCAGCAGGACCAAGGATCGTTCCTATCCAGTTCGTCAGGAAAATATCATCTGCTTGTTCTAATCCATACGAGATACTCATATCTCCATGACCTTTTTCACTATTTTCCAATTCTTCCAGCAGCTTAAAGTTACGTGGGACTACCAACAACATTACGAGAGACATCAAACGAAAACTCACGTCAGTAACAATCTCGTCGTCTTTCTACGTCCAAGTGTCCAATTTCCGTGACACTTTCCGACACAATTATCAAGTATAGCATAATAATTCACATACCAATCACAACTTCTGCTCCATGCTTGGCCATGGCTTTCTCTACGTGTTATCTACTGCAGAATTTACACGGAGAAGACACGTCGTCGGAAAAGTGTCAATTCAGTGGCTTCCAATGATCCTTTTAGAGCCTATAGGGACATGAAAGATAGAGAAAATAATGCTTTATATAATGATACTATCAATAACAATACCAATAATGCCATTACGTTGATATCTAGTGCCAAGACACGACATGATCTTTCTTACCTTGAGTCTCTTTATCTTGCGTTACACTGAATTTTTACGAGGCAAAAATGCTCCCCCTTTGAGATAGTCAAGACATGTTATTGGATAAAAATGATCAAACGAATTGTAGCGAATCAAACAATTTTGCTCTATACTTGGACATCTTATGTCCATATCAACCCTTTTTTGCGTCCCGTAGAGACAGAATATGTCCATATCAGCATTTTTTCCATCCCATATGGACAGAATGTGTCCATATCAAAGACTTGATTGATGATCCTATTATTCGGACACTTGAAACTCGTTATCACGCAGTAGGACGCCACGCAATTGAATTAGCTCCTGACGCCAAATTTGAGCCGGGGTTATGGTCTGCAACTGCTGCAACTTGACCTGCTTTGTATTGTGCTCCTTCTGCAGACGATCAAGAAACTCCTTTGTAAAGCTCATGAGCGACGTGTTTAGTAGATAATCAAACTCGTCACTTTCATCACTGTCAACGACTGCATTATCTTGGATGTGGCCAACTGCTGCCAATCCAAGGTCACCGACGTGGTCAATCTCCTTCATCTTGAAAGCCGACGCTGGAGAGAACCCTTGCTTTTTCAAAAGCTTGACCAGTTCAGCCTTGGGAATGCGTTCCTGGAGAACCTTCTGCAAACTCCCGAAAGAGACCTCCTCAATAAAGCGAATGCGGTTACTCAGACGAAGAATCTCCTTTGTTTGAGATTGCTCGAGATGCTGCTTCCGCTGTGAGTACAACTCCCGTCGAACGCCGTAGAAATCAAGCAAAATGTCCTCACTTGTCTCGTACTTGACCAGCTGACCATCAGCATTGAACGCGTGCATATTGCTAGTGCTGAGAGGGGCTTCGAGACGCAACAGCTTCATTAATGCTTCGCTATCGCCAGCATTGTCAGCATCCTCCGTGTACTGAGCAAGATCAGAGCGTGTCATGGAGATGTCGAAGCGAACGTCACGATCTGAGTGGTGCTCCGAGAAAGACCGAATAGCTTTCTTACCAATGAGGTCCCACAAAAACTTCTTGTAGTCCTCTACCCACTTGCTTAGTGGTAGCTCGGTTACCCGCAGCGTGGACGTATTTATTTGCTCAACGTTGCCACGTGAAACAAAGGAATGCTTGCCAGTCTGACGAATAACACCACTGAATCCTTTGACCCACGGCGTCATTGGTGCCAACTCCACCTTCGACACATCATCTCCTTTTTCTTCGGCACTGAGAAGCCTCAATAGGTTGTCAATCACCTCTACCGGGTGGTGGCAAGGAATGGACGAAGACCAACCTGTACCAATACCCTCTGCGCCATTCACGAGCAGCAATGGAATGATCGGAACATAATATACGGGCTCGACTGGAAATCCATCATCATCGGCATAGCAAAGCAACGTATCGTCTTCCTCAGGGAATATCAAACGAGTGTGCTTCTGAAGCTGCGTAAAGATATAACGAGGACTAGCGGCATCCTTGCCTCCTTGCAACCGGGTTCCAAATTGGCCGGATGGATACAATAGCGGAAGATTGTTAGAACCAACAAAGTCCTGGGCCATGTTAACAATTGTCGAATGCAGCGAAGCTTCACCGTGGTGATAAGCTGTGTGTTCACTGCAGTAACCTGCCAGTTGCGCAACCTTCACTTCACTTGTCAGCTTGCGCTTCATGCAGGCAAACAGCACCTTTCGCTGTGAAATTTTAAGACCATCAATAACCGATGGCAGCGACCGTGCATTATCCGCATGAGAAAATTGAATAAGCTCACGGTTCACAAAGTCGCGATACGTTACGTCTCCCGAGCTTGTATCGAGGAAAGAGTCAGAAGAGTATTCATTCAAAAGCCAAGCCTTGCGATCCGCAGCACGTGCTTTACTAAATGCCATGTCCAGCGCATCACCGTCGCGGTCACCACTCCAACGAAAGCTCACAAGGTGTTTATCCAGGTCGCTAAAGTATTCGCGTCCTTCTGCACTAGTGCTCGTACCCAGACCCTTGTAGTATTTGATTGTATAATATTTGAGGTTGTCCGGGTCAAGAGAAGCTTTCCATTGGAAGTATTCAGGAAGACTGAAGAAACGGCGAGTCTCTAAACCGCGTTCAGTGCCAACACGCTTGGAACAAGGACTTACTTTGATAATGGGCGTGACAAATTCGCTGATGAAACCACCTTTCTTCAGCAGCTCCGGCCAAAATGTGTGTAGCAAGTTGAACAACAAACCTTTGATGTGTGAGCCGTCGTGATCTTGATCCGTCATAGCAATAACACGACCGTAGCGCAGTTTCTGACGCGCTTCCTTCGTATCGTACTTCTCGTCCATGCGAAGACCAAGGATCGTGCAAAGATGTGCAAACTCGGCGTTTTTGCCAAGTTGCGCCACAGACGCATCGCGCACATTCAACAGTTTACCACGAAGAGGAAAAACGCCGTACTGGTCACGCCCAATAACTGCTAGGCCGGCCACCGCTAGTGCTTTTGCTGAATCACCTTCAGTCAAGATAAGCGAGCATTCACTTGAGCGAGGCCCGCCAGCAAGATTAGCATCTTCAAGCTTTGGCACGTTCACTGACGTGCTTTTCGAACGCGCAGATGACACCTTCTTGAGGAGAGCAGCACGCTGTCGCGCGCGGGCGCTTTGCACGACGCGTTCCACAATACCGGAGTCTGACAGGACGAGCTTTACAAGCCGTTCGGGAAGTGTACACGTTGATCCATAGGTCTGTGGCCGCGAAGACATGTACTCTTTCATCTGGGAGTCGAACGTCGGATTTTCAATTTGGCAATTAATGAAGATTGCCAGGTGCGGCTTCACGTGTGCTGTATTGACTGACAGCTCAGGGAACTTTTTATTCACATGCTCAGCAACACGACGGCAAATTTGGTCACTTACATAGGCAACGTGAGATCCACCACGCAGCGCCGACATGCCATTCACGAAACTCACTTGAACGAAACCCACGTCAGAAGGCAGCACACCAATTTCCCAGCGCTTATTTACACGTGAATAAATGTAGTTCAAGACAGAAGCTGTTTCATCACTTCTGTCTTTCATCACATCAGGTGATGTTATGATTTTTGAATCCGAGGCTGTCGTAACGGATTGGCAAAAGGCTTGGATATAGGACTCAAAGCCAGAAATGGGCACCTTATTGCCGTTCAAAGTAACCTCCACATCCGACAAACAGCCAGCCACATCGTATACTCTCTTCTTTAGTACACGTGCCATACTTGTCGTAAGCTTTTCCATTTCAAACTTTTCCAAGTCGGGTAAAAACGACACTTTTGTAAAATCCTTTGCATCTTTGCCGATGAACTCGGTCATTTCCGGTTCTCCACGAGTACGCATGTTATCGTACCAGACCTGTTTGTATCGTAACCCCGTCGACGTATCACCCGTCTCTACTATAAACTCCTTACTAAAGATATTCGTCAACTTGGCACCATAACCATGTCGTCCACCAGTCAACCTCGCACTCATATCGTCAAAATTCGATCCTGTTAGCAAATGACCTAGAACCAATTCTGGTACATAAACTTTCTCCGTCTTGTGGAATTTGACAGGAATACCTTTACCATCATTATAGACCGAAATCCACGGTCGATATCCATTTGTCTTACTTCCAGGATCAATGACGACATCTAGATGCTTCATAGATGGATCACGGACCTTATTATCCACTGCATTCACAATAATCTCATCGAAAATCTTATACAGTGCAGGGACATATTCTACAGCCTGTTGCTTCATCTGGAGTCCTTCTGTATCCTTTATAGCATTATTCTCAGAGCATACCATCCACATATTGTCCTTTGTAGTCTCTACAGAGCCAATATACATGCCTGGACGTAGAAGAACATGTTCTAGTGGGGTCTTTTTCTGATAAATCCTTTCAATGCTGCTAAAATTACGTCTTTGCAATATGAACACACAAGAGTCTACAAACGTATCAATAGTATCACATGGTAATTGTATAGACTGCTTTAATCGCTTGCAATACCTTTGAGGTCGAGTAGCTAATGATACATAGGAGATATTATCCTGTGACGTCTTATTAAACACTCTTATGGAAGCTACAGATCGATAAAGACGTTGAAAATTGCACGGAATACTTGGATGAATACAATGGTAATAGGATCGGTGAATCGAGAAAGACTGGAACGTCCTTGCAACGTCACAAAGAGCGCGTCGTTGACCAATAGCTCGGCATTGCCACATACTCTGGTTCTTGGTTCGTATGGTGCAAATGGACTGAATCATTTCCACCAATCCGATTGTATATTGTTGGATTTGTTCTTATAGAGAAATCCATGTCCAGGACGTTCTTCTATCGAGATGTCACTGTTCGTACTCCCTCGTCCAATCACTCCATAATGGAGAAACCATCAAGAACATGTGCAACCTCAGCCTCAGCCGTGGACATGGCGACGGATTCATCTTCAGTCATATCGTTAGGATCTTCATTAAGTACGAAACGTTTTCAAGAGAATGATATGCTTATCTCATCATCGAGTACTCCAATAAAGAAACAACGTGTACGTCAGAAAAAGCTCGTAGACGTAGTATCTGATCCGTCACTTGTCACTTGTGAGTCGAAAGAAATAATGGGTCCATCCTCCTCCTCCTCAGGTCTTGTATTACTAGAGACATCACAATCTATTATTGATATGCCCATGACATCAGAAGAAATAACAACAACAAGAGAAGAAGAAGAAGAAGAAGAAGAAGGAGATGGAGGCAGAGGATTGCAAGAAGCGATGACAATGACGTCTTCAATGCCAATGCCACGTCCAAGAAAAGGACGGCGAGTACGTAAAACAAATGTTGAAAAGATGGAGATTTTAGCTTTTGTCGATCAAGGAGGATCTCAAGGAGCTGCAGCAGAGAAATTTGGTGTCTCACGTACAGCCGTGACCAAGATGGTTAAAGAACGAGCTGCGATCTCAGCTCAAGCTCTTGTCGAGAGTGCTACGAGTAGTCGTAAAGTGTTACAATATCAACATAAACTCAGTGTGATTGAAGATATGCTATATAAATGGCAAATGCAGATTGAACTTGATGCACCAGCACTGAAGATTACGGGCGAATTACTGCAGTCAAAGGCCATGGAGTTTCGGAACAAAATCTTGGCTGATTATAGCAGTGAATTATCCGATGAAGTGATCATGTCGCTCACGGATTTTAAAGCATCGAATGGATGGCTACATCGGTACATGCAACGACGTAGTATGCGTTCATTATCAAAGCTTCATAGTCAGACAGGACATACAGCCATGTTGTCGGATAGAATGAATTATGAACAACGTGTTCAAAAAGTTCGTGACCTGTTGCTCACGATAAGTCCGGATTGTATATGGAATTTGGACGAACTTGTTTTACGCCATCGTACTACATCGGCTAGACTGGACTCGGTGATTAATATGGACGTGCGTAGCCTTGAGCGCATCTCAATTGCGATAGCACTGAGTGCGTCAGGTGAAAAACTTCACTTGCAAGTTGTTGGAAAAGATCCGAATCCAGACTCGTTAAAGGCTGTTGACACAATAACGAACTATGGGGTCCAATATCGTGATCGGTGTCGAGCTGCACACGACGCACATACGATTGCCGATTTCATCCAAGCCATGAATCAAGAGGCAGCGTCCAGAAAACAGGTCTGGTATCTGGTGCTGGATAGCTGTACAGCGCACGTAGCTGCCGCTCATACGCTCAACCCATCGGGCTTGTTTCGAAATGGTTTCAGACTCGAATCTATTGTGCTTCTCTTCATGCCTCCTTGCCCTTCGGGTGATGTTCAGCCGCTTCATCAGGGCATTCTGAGATCGTTCAAGCTACGATTTCGGCGTGAGATGCTGCAAACGTTGCTTTATGAGCACGAAAAGTGGGCAGCTGTTGTGAGGGGTGACCAACAAAGGCATAACATTGATGCAACGTCAAGTGAGGGATCGCCCGTACATGACGTTTTTGATGTCCACGCACATACTCATTTGCGGAACACACTCACCTGGCTTCAAAAAGCATGGGAATCTATACCGCAATCGTTTATTCGACAAGCGTGGTCAGCCAGCTTATACTTGCCTGCGGCCGTTCCTGGGGATGGTGAACCTTCGGTATCAATGTGTGAAGAAGATGAGATCAAGATTTATACTGAGCTGTATGCTCAGCTGACAGCAGCACCATTGCTTCAAAAAGCATTGGGAATCGATTATATGGACAATCCAGTTCACTTTATGATGGAGCTGCTGGATTTTGACAAGTCGGAGGCTATTGACACGGACGAAGTCACAAAAGACAACGACATTGTCGTGGAAAGTTTAGCTTCTCAGGGACTACTTCGTGATACGCAACGAGCTTTGATGCTGGATAGCATTCGGGGTGACGATCTGCCGCTCCTTACGGCAAGTGAGGCCAATGCGTCTGTATCACGGCTATTGCACTTTATGTCCCAAAACAATGACAACTTGCTAACTCTGTCAGAGCGGCGAACTGGACGCGCAAACCTCTTGGTTTTGCAACGTCTGCTGTCAAAAGCTCGCGAACGAGAGCGTGAAAGGGAAGCAACCACCGACTTTACTGTGTAATGGTGACGTGATATCGCAGTAGTACGTGGATAACGAATGAAGATGAATATATACAGCTTAGCACGGCTTGGATTTTGTGAACTAGAGAATGAAAATGCTGTATTGGTATGGTGCACGCCTTAGCTTGCAACCTGATCACATTGTACTCGAGCGCATTCCTGCCATCTCTATGCAAATTTAGCTTTGCGTTGCTGCTTCACGCTGCCATCGCTAAAGGCAATGATTGAGCGTGTGTATCTCATCGCCTTGATCCCTGTAAGCTTCGTTATCTAAGTTGATCAAGAAATTTGTCCAGGCATTCCTCGTTGCTTGGTGTAAAAGATAACGTACTTCTCTTCAAGAGCTTCAGTGAGCAACTTGATACCATTCTTACCATTTTGATCGGCTCTCAATTGTAGTTGACGCAACTGACACCAACATTGCTGCACTACCTCATGCTCCTTCACTGAAAACGAGCCTTCTTGATATCGAACGTCTCGGACGTTAGTTCTATCCAGCGCAGTATTTTTCGAGAAAGCAGTGTTTCATCTCCAGCACTAGTTCTTGTGCTATGACGTTTGCTTCAGTAATGAGTGCATCAATCTTAGATTCATTAAAGTTTTGCAGGAATGATAATGAACTCGTTGTTCGTCACTTTGAGTGACTCCTCCACAGTGACGACAAGGTCTCCGGTATGGTCAGGAATGCTGCAGTTTGATCTTTCAGAAGACGTCTGCTATTTGAACGTGCTGGACGCTTAGGAAAAGTAGAAACACCCATACGTTCACGAAAATGATGATGCATTGCTATTGAGTCTTTGTTGTAAGGTTCGTTTGCTTGGAAGTAGTCGATCATCGGATGCTGCGCTGCATCGTCAGATGGGTAGCATGTATCCAGGTTCTTGGACTAGTTGTCTTGTACACCTAATCGTTCTATCGATGGCAAGAGCTGTCTTGATCAGTTCGGAGAGCTCCCGTGACAAACATGGTAAGTCGCCGCTATCATGCGGAGCATGAGCGTGAAGACTGTAGTGCTATGGCAATCTTCTTCAGGTCGCAGCAACAGCTTCGTCAAAGAGTAAGGCACGCTACATGTTTTGAACATCATAATGTGCTTCGGTATGAGCTCTGTGGAAATCTTGCGCTTCGGGTGTCAAGTCGCCTTTGACCCCGTACAAGAATGCTAGTGGTAGCCCAGTGCTGCTCGATATGACAGCAAGCAAGCACGTCAAGGAAATAATAGTAGCCATAACTTACACCCGATTCTACGTAAGAGCTACATGAGCAATCACGTATGCCTGCAACGATCAAAGAAAGTATCGTATGCAATGTCGACATGTGGTGACTGCCACATGGAAACCGCAGCGGTGGTCATTTGTCGACTATATAGTGGATCGGTATCAGAAGAAACTTGAGAACAAGCGACTTTAACGAATCTTTTCGTGAGGACATCACCGACAAATGTTACACACAACAAGACACTAGACACTGCGAAGACGTGAGGTGTTCACATGTGTTTGAGTCGTTAACCTAACTAACTGCAAGGGTTTCTCAACTATTACAATACATTATCCAAGTGCCTGATAGCTGGTCAAGGACGCACGCAAACGATTGAAAACTATGCTGTAGATCACTATGAACGTACTTACAATTGCATCTACTCGCTATGCAAGCATATAAAGACCCATCCAAGAGATAACCCCGTCTTTTTTTGATGAGCTTCAAGAGAGGAAGTATACCCTGTGTTGACGGGCAGTAAAAGGTGGCCGCATGAGATTTGCCACTTGAAGCAAGCCTCATGCTGGCATATGCGCTTGTACGGGGTCCTGCCTCTCGTGCAGTATTCCTGCGACGTCGACTTCCCTACTCGTCTTTCTTGACGGACGTCCATTTTTTTGTGTCGTTTGGAAAGCACCTAAGGAACTGTTCAGCATGATGCATTGGTGCAATTTGCAAGGGGATGTCCAAAAACTATGCTGGGTACCTTGTCCCGCACACTTTCAAAAAGGCATTGCACGGGAATAAGTGAACGTGGTGTAGTACCAGCTGGTACGCTCTAATCCGAAGACGCTCGACAGAAGCTGAACAGGATATACCGGCTATAGATAAAAACATGAAGGATGTGACTGACTGACTACTTGAGAGTGGCCTTTGTTGTTGTCCCAAATGCCAAATCGTGCGATGAGCTCTAGAGGCACGGGACGCTAAAAATTCTAAAGTACCTGTTGTGAAGTTGTAAGGATGGCAACTGATGAATTGTTAGTATTTTTCTCATAAGGACGTAGAAGAAGAAGAAGATGAAGAAGAGATAAACAGGACACAGATCTTGACATGACATTGATTTACAAGACCTGAAACAAGTAGGTTTGGAACCATTGGAATCTCAAGCTGATTGTTGTTTTTCGTTATGATCACGAATATATATATCTCTATACACCGTATTTGTGTTTGTAGCAAGTGCTTTGTTTGTTGCTTGAACCCCTTGTTCCACACTCGTATTGAACTGAGACAACAAGAACCCTTATGCGATGCGGGATGTTGTCATACAAAGAAGCATTTTTTTAAATCAAGGTGATCTTGATTATCCGATTCGATTGTCCGAGCTTCTTGCGTCAATTGACTCTAGCTAAGTATTGACTGGTATGAGATGGTAATGCTTTGCAGAGATGGGTTAAGGACAGAAAGCCAGGGCAGTGATTAGGCATGCGCAAGATCAGTTGTTCCTTAGTTTCTGCATGCTTGCAAGCATTCGGAATGTTTAGTTATAAGCTTGATGAGCTGAGATAGGTTTTTTCAGCAGAGCACTACATAGCCGACGCGAATGGGCCCGTGACAAGTAACAAATCGCAACGGATAGTATTCCATAAGATGTTCACTTGTCCTGCATAAGGCGGATGTACAAGGAGGCTTCTCGGATTGCGTAGTGTCTCTAGCCTGAAGGTGGGTCCTCCCCGTCGGCGCTTTCAGTAAATGTTGCGGTCTCATTTTTCAACTTGCACACTACTTGAAAGGCATTCCAAGCAATCGCATCTATCCAGCTACACTACACTACACTAAACATGCAAGTCATCCAGCACAACATTAACCCCATGATCTGCGCCAATGCGACCTTGCACCAAACCAGAGGCACCTATAGACCCTTTCAGTGCCCGGATATTCGATGTGGACGTCGTTTCAACCGCAAGTATACACTCACGGAGCACGTCAAGACTCACACCGGCGAACGTCCGCATGCCTGTCGTGCTAATGGCTGCGGCAAGCGATTCAGCACTTCCGGCAACCTGTCCCGGCATATGCGTCTTCACGGTGCCATCGAGCCTGTGCACTGCCCCGTGCACGGCTGCTGCAGCAAGTTCATGAGCGACATCAAGTTGGCCAACCACATGCGCTCGCACTACGTGCCTCGGACACACACGTGTAGGGTACCTGAGTGCGGCAAGTTATTTAGCACCACTGGCAATCTCAACCGCCATCTAAAGAACCAGCACACGCCGCAAGAGCGTGAGCTAATCAGAGCGTCGGCCTCCCCGCGATTATTGAGCTCTCCTTGCAGTACCCCAACCAAACAAGCGTACTGTATACTTAAGCACGAGAGCCCGACGAGCATTGATCAGGAATGGGGATGTAATGTATGGGAATCGGTCTTGGAGCCGGTCGAAAGGAACGTGCTACCCATTCCGCTTGGGACCGAGTGTACGACTCCGTGGACACCAGAGATGCTGAAGATGCTATCCCACATGCTTTTCAACTAAGCTCAGCATGCAAGCGGCAACAAGACATTAACTTAAACGCTTTAAATAACCAACACATGCTGACGTCTTGGCAATCGCGTTTGGAAAGAAGGAGAAGGAGAAGACAATGTAAGATGATGCCAAGACCGAAGAAGCTTAGCAGGATGTATGCCTGCTGTGCTACCCACCCACCCACCTCACCCGTCCATCCGTCCTCTCCCCAATGCGCTATGTCATTACAACGGTAGTCTTGAAACCGCAAACAAGTCGTAAGTAGGTAAAAAAGAACAATGTGTCACCATATTCATGCTGGTACATGTAGTTTGATATTGTTTATTAATACACGCACACATACATGCAGCTCTCGTCAACTGATTTCTTCTCGCTTATCATTGTAGTAAAGGCATAAACAAGCAAAGCTCAAAGCCACACTTCATTCATTCATTCATTCAATGATACATGCATCCAAAAGCGCTAGACATTGTATAAAATGATATTCCATGCAGTATGCAATACCTGCTTCCTTGCACATCGCTGAGGTCTTTGGCAGACAGACGAGTCGAAGTCGAACAGTTAACACGGACCAAAGCATATGGTCGTAAACGTCGTATGTTTTCGTATCGTGCAATCGTGATAAAAGGTCTGCTCAAAGCATTCGAAATGTCGCAGTGCCTTTCATATCACTATCGCGGTAAGATGAAATATTGTTGAACATTCGTATGTGACGATTACACAAGAATGATTCACAAGGAAGCCGTCTCGGTGAAGAATGCAAAACCATCTCCCCATAGTGGCAAGTTGTTGCTATGTATACAAGTAAAAGACTCCGGATTATGGAGCTCCATACGTTCTCAAACACTTTCAAGCTTAAACCTCTAGGCGTGTCAAATCATTTTGCTGTACCACCACACGGGACTTTCTAAAACGGTTGATGAGTTATTCAATGGTGTTACAACTGCAATGGCATGCAGTAGTAGTTATATTGCTGTATAAAGTGTTAAGACTACAAGGGGCTTCTCTGAGGTCATGCACGTACTGTATGTATGCTTCGGCCATCCGTTGCATTGCTATACGTCGTTTTGTATCGCAGTGATTTGGCATTAGGATATGTGTTGTTAGATCCGGTACCATATTTTTCATCATGCTAAGAATGGCATAGGCTTTCCATTAGTAGCGTCTGATACTTACATAAACACCAACAAGATATGTGCGACACCTTTGTTAACATTTTAAAAAATCCGCGACACGTTTGTTTACATCCTGGCGACAATGTTTGGACTGGATAGACCGTAGACTGTAAAACACATGGAAAGATGACCTAGCGAATGATGTCAGGAAAATACTGCAACTACAGGCGTTACTACGTACCTAAGGTCTACTCTAATTACTACCAGAAGAAATTGGTTTAGTCGCCAACAAGATTGACAACCATATCGACGGCAACAAACCATTACGTAATACATGAACAATTGACGATCTAGTACAAAGAGACCTTCATTGTATGCATACATTTATTCAGGAGTATCGTATGAATGCTGGTAGTATACCTGCTCCATACAATCTTCAAGACTGTTTTTGGATACACGATATGCTATTGTAGTATTGAAGCACGTAAGCGTAACAATAATACTTTGACAAAAGGTAATAAATAACTTGACATTCTTTCAAGTGTAATATTTCGTTTATAAGTTGATTTTCCAGGTCAGTTCTCTCCATTTTGACGCAAAGCACGTTATGGCTCATCGGCCGAGACTGCGTTTGTCACCACCACGTAACAAATCCTACACATTAGCGTGGCTAGTACTATTTTTGTGGAAGAAAACAACATTGTGGATACGTATTTGGGTCAAATTTTGGGTGCAAAAGCCTCTTATGCGACTAGGAATTGGCTTTCAAGACGACGTGGACAGTATCAAGAATGAAGCAATGGATGATTCGACGTCGTCATCTCATACCAGCAGTAAACAAAAGCATGAGGAAGAAGAAAGTTCATTACCATATTGTGGTCTTGTCAATAATGGCAATTTATGTTTTGTGAATGCAGTTCTTCAGTGTCTTGGCACAATTCCTGGTTTTCTTGACAGTGTGGACCGAGGCCTACGTATGCGCAGACAATTGGACATGGTACAATTATTAGAGAACAATGATCAAGCACAGAAGATACTAGTGGCAGAGTCACTTGTGAGCTTATTGAAAGGTATAACTCGAGACAAGACGCTGGATCTGGAACTAGAAGACCAAGCAAAGCAGGACCGACAGAGACACATTCGTGACGATACTTACCAGAAAATGAGGAATTTTAGAGCCGTAGTGAGTCGATGTACTGACTTGGTGTCAAGTGCAGCATCGAGACAGGAGCAACAGGATGCCGAGGAGTTTCTTTTGTTCTTGTTGGAATTACTGCATGATTTGTTGCGGATGCCAGCGGAGCCAGAGCGACAGGAAGAAGAACGGCAGTACTTTTTACAGTCGGAAAATTGGTTTTTGAAAAAGCTAAAGAGGTATAACCCGAACGACCCTCGGTCTTATTATCATGCAGTGGGTGCGTAAAGCTTGGATGTGATGGTATGGAGTGGTGAAAAGGACTGAATATTAGTGTGATCGTGTATAGCAAGCCTTGGTGAACTGAGATGGAATCACTTTTTGCAACAGAATGCCTCGGTGATCACCGATATCTTCTCAGGACAAACTGTTCGAGGCTCTCAGTGTTGTAGCTGTGCGAACCTTACGTGTCTTCATGAAGAACAACGGTGAGATATACATGACGTTGATGGGCGATGCACACAGTTGACTAACCATACTCCTTTGCTATTGTGCGCAGTATCATTTCTCTTACGATCTCCTCAGAGAAAGGAGGTCAAAAGCTTGCCAAGTGCCTGGAACATTATAGTCATCCAGAACAGCTTACAGGGGATAACCGTGTATACTGCGAAGGTTACTGCCGCACTAAGACTGCTCGCATCACACAGATCCTCCTGCAGCGTGTGCCGCGGGTGCTAGTAATTCAGCTGCAACGATTCAAGCACGCGTCGTTTGGAGGTCAAACCGAGAAAGTGAATACGCCAGTGAGTTTTCCATGTGGAAGAGACGATCTTTTGGATATTACAATGAACGCTTTCTTCCGGGATGAAGAGAAACGCGTCACATTTGAGCTAACCGCAGTGTGCGCTCATCTTGGCAGCTCCATTGACTCTGGTCACTACATCGCATATGTGCGGCATCAAGATCGACGCCGAGATGGTACACCTTCCGATAAGTGGCTTCGACTCGATGATGAAGAAGTCGCCATAATTGACGAAGCAGTGCTACGTAATGAGACGCTGTCTTCTGCGTACCTGCTCTTCTACGCTCAAGTGCGTAGGTGAAAGAAACATTCATGGAACAAGTGCCACGTATTCACACATAACTTAAGCCGTCTAAGACGACATTTCCGAATCCTATTATTTGATCGACAGAAAAATCTAAGATCTGCAAACGCGCTACAAATTGCGTTGGTGATCAAAACACAGTACACGAGTCGTGCCGTTTGGCGATGATGAGAACCATAATAAGTCAGTTAGATGAAGCATATGCAAAAGATGATCTTGACATTAAAAGCCCGTCAGGTAACAGAGGTCTACGATGCCGACGTATAAAAGTGGAACTGATGATAGTAGTCCAGTATGGCAGTCGTTCCAAAACGGAAGAGCTTGCCCACTCCTGGCACGTAGTCCAGAATATCTGCACTCTGCACAACATACAAGTCACCTCATATTTTGTATGTGTAACATCAACATATGCAATGAAAATGACAGAATGTACCTTTTCCACCACGGGCTTCGTGACGGTCGCGAACACCGGGTCACGAAGCAAATAAAGGAGAAGAGCCATCTGCAGCAAATACACCATTGCGCATTATTGTCGGCTAAAAAAGAATCTGTGGCAGATGTTGCCAAAACTGTACAAAATGTATCAAAAACCTTCCGCGCTGCAATCTCGTCCCCAGCTTTGTTGATGAAAACAGCTTTCATCGGTTCCGTCGGCTTGACAGCTGCAGCAGACAACGCCAATCTACCAAAGCGTACCCAACACGGCAGGTAAGTTACGCGAATGACAACCAAACCTGTAGACGGTTCAGTAAAAACGAACCCTGATAGCTCCATAAGAAGCGACACGACAACGGGAGTCCACGATGTCTCTGATCGCCGACGACGTAGCAAAGCATACATGACGGGCCGCAAAATATGGCAGATCTCTCCAGCGACAAGAAGGTCTTCACGTGATGCCTCTGCGACATCACATGTCGCGTCCTATTACAATCATCCAACAGCAAAACAGCACACAAATTCACTTCATATCACACTTCACCTGCACCTCTTCTCAGTTTGCTCTCACTTCGAACGCCATTGTCTTCAAATCTTTGTCATCGCTCGTTTTCGTCAATGGTTCAGGCTTCGATGCTGTAGTGACTTTGTAAAAGAAAAGCAAAGCCAATAACAATAAGATACGATACCTACCATCACATACTCACTCCTACAACGTATCCCAAACCTTTTCCAAAAGTCTTGCCCGTGCGAGCACCAGGTTGCTTAGTCTTCTTGAACCGCGTAAATGCCGATAGTCGAGAAGCTGATTCTATGCCCTTATACTATTCACATAACAACCTCCACAGTCAGTCGTGAGTAGATTCGTGCCAATTCTCGCCATTGATTGCTAACGCACCTTGCCTCCACTTATCAGCATAACATGACGTTGCTGAGAAAGAAGCATGAGACGGAGCACGCCTTTGACTACTTCCACCCATACAATTAAACGCCATTTGCCCACGTCACCTCCAGCTTTACGAGCGACCACTTCTGCTAAAACTTGGACGTGCATAATCAATGACAGTGGCATCCGAACTAATCGGGTCAATCTATCAATCAAGCACCAATCCACTCAATCTAGCATTAGCATTTCCAGGCAGCTTCAGTCATATTAACACAATAAAACCGTACTTTTGACACTGCTTGATCGGACTCTCCACGTAATTATTCTCTTGCTTCTTCCATAATACGTAATCATGGTACAAATGGAGCAAACCTACGAATGAGTAGCTACATTGTGCTGCAATCTCGGGTTCTAGGACACTTTTCTGTAGCATTATTCATATTTCATAGACAATGTTTCGTGAATATTTCAACTGACAAATTTGTCAAAATTTGTGTCATTTTTCATAGCAAAATTCACATTTGTCAGGCTATTATTTTACGCACCGGGATCAGCTGTGGTGCAATATAAAGTGTAGCCTCTATATTACGAGCTAAACCTGTATGATTTTCCACCCACTTTTCGTATGCTGTAAGAAAGGATGCAATCTTGCAGGTAGACGGAGCTTTTAGTTTGTTTTCATGGGGAGAAGGAGGTGTGACTTGAGTCCGCGTAGTGGGCATTGTCATCGTCTCAATAGCCTGGATTAAGTCGCCGTCTGTCTCTAGAACCGTCGTCTTGTCTTTATTCGTCATTTTTTTAAATTACTGTAATTAATTTGATTCTAATGTGATTTTTCAGGACAAAATAAAATGTAAGAAACACAGCAACGGGCCATTCTATAGCTTCTTACCTAGATTTTTATACTTGTTCAAACTTTAGAATGATCTAATTATGATTACTTCTGTCGCGACAAAAATAACCAATCGCATGGCCAAGTGCTGTGCAGTAGCGACTGTAGTTGTCTCGCCGGATCCAAACGCGGTCTACGGGCTGGTCCATGACCCTCAACATATTGCTTTCTTACAGCAAAGGTGTCGTATTTATGGCTCGCCTGATGGCTCTCAAGCTGCTGGAACAAAAGCTCCTGCACGACTGCGTTTAGCACTCGAAGAGATGACGGTAGGGGTCACGAAAGGATTTCTTCGTTTACAAGCAGCAAGTACGTGCGATGGTAGTACAATGATATGTAAAGAAGACATACAGACAGTAGTAGAAGAAATTGAACAGGAGTTATCAGGTGATATGAAGCGTAGAGAACCTGGTGACCGTCGTTGGAGATTATGTAAGACGTTGAGTGATAAAGTGATTCATTCCTTACGGCTACATTGTATCAGTAAGACAAGAGATGTTTTACTAGTCGTGTTTGGTTTGATTGTTGCTGTAGCATTACAACGCCACCATCGCTTGCAAGTCTTTCAAGACTTGTGGGAGCGAGGTTACATTGTGACCTTTGGCTCGAAATTCGGTGCCGATTTCCTGATCTACAAAGGTCCGAAACAGGTTTTTGCTGCTGCATGATTGATGATAATGATAAGCATGATAGTTTATATTGTGGTTGTGCTACATAGACAATCCCAAGCATACTCATGCTGTGGCATTAATCACGGTGAAAGAGTATGAAGAGGAATTTGAACGCGTGGACATTGTGAGCTTCTGTCGTGTGGCCAAAATGATAAAAAAAGGTGTTTCTATTTGCAAGCGTTCGAGATAGCGCAGAAAACAAGAGTGACGGTGAGCAAAAGGATGGTAGCCAAGTCAGTGAAGAAGCTGTGAAAAGCGTTGTATACATTTCCTTAACGCACGCACTACTGGTGTCACGCCGATAAGAAGATTGCAGAAACGTGGTGTGATGACACGCCAGTAGTAGTCTCTGCCTTGCTTCATGGCATGCGTGTGTTGAGTAGCAGGCTAATGCTCTGGAGCCTGGGTAGCAACGCCGGCTGCTCAGTCGAGTCCACGAGACCAGTATCAAAAAGGTCTCCAGTCAGCACGTCAGCACTATTCTTCGGCAGTTCCATTGCTCGTGTATTTCAGGTTTCTTGATGAGATGTGCACGACAAGGGCCTCTTCTATTAGCATGTATCCTCAGTCGTTAGTAAGGCCATTCAGCCGTAAATGTACCGCAGTCTTGGTTGCTTGCAAAATGTATTGAACTTCAACTTTGGATGACAGAATGATGGTCCTTTGGTTTCCTTTTTGATACGGCAATCTTATTTTGCATTTTTCCGCATTCTAGCGCACAAGTGAAACTCAGTTCTGAGAAGATGGAGAAGTTTGGTTCAGATGAAGGAAACGTCAAGTCCACCTTTGTCGAGGATAAAATCAGCGAGCTACGCAGATACATTGGTGCGCTATCTTTGCTCATCCTTCCTTCTGCACCTCATCCTGACACTGTTCTGATATGTCAGTGGAAATGATGCACGCCGAGATGGCACTCATGGAAAGCATTAAGCAGAATGAGCGTAATGTAGCAGCTGCAAACGCCCAAATTAAACACTTCAAGGTGGGTTCAAAAGCGTTCATATCGCCACACCTCTTTGTATGAAGTGCTGATGATTCGAGTGGTTTGCAGGAGTTGATTGCTCAAGAACGTCATCGCTACAAAACGCTAAGGCTGGAGCTGGAAGGAAACGTCAACGAGCTTAGCAGTCTCGAAGAGAAACAAATAGGTAAGACGACACGCTATTTTTCCTGATAATGAATACGGCTGACTCTTGCCTCCTTCTAAGCAGCTGCTGAAGCAAAGCATCGGCAGTATCGAGGTAAGTGGCCTTGTTTGTTGCTGCCATTTATCTAGCTAACTAGTGTCATAGACGCTGTTACTCAACGCGAGAGCGAGGTGCAAGTGCTTCGCGCACGATTTCAACATCAGCGCACCGCTATGCTTAGCTTGAGATGTCAGATTCTAAATGCTACTACTCAATTAGAGACGCTATCGTCAATGACTGATTCGATGGAGAAGGAGACACACAACAGTACGTGCATTATGAGCTACGTCTGCAATGGTGACAAGTGCTGGGTATCCGACAATGTTGGTTGTTTCCTGGGTTGTATCTCAGTTGCTGTCGCCATGGAAAAGTGTAAGGATCTGACACCACAGCGTACCGCTCGTCGTAAGATTCATGCCAAGACCATACATACCCGACAGTTCATCGCGCAAATGGAGCATGAAGTCAGCCAGCTTGTCAAAAAGAAGACAGAGACTGAAGCCGAACTTCTTCAGTGCGAGCAGAAGGCACACAAGCTGCATGAACTCGTGTCTACCAAAGAACAGGAATCCGGGGTATTGTTTGCTCGTCTTCGTAAAGACACGCTACGTATTATTCGAGAGAACGGTAGTCTGATTTCATTATTACTTTCCGTAACGTGTCGAGACTTAAGTATTGTGTGTATGAATGTACAGGTAAGGCTGAAGGCAAGTTGAAAGCTAAGCGCAAAAAATTCCGTCTCAAGTTTAAGAACGAGATAAGTTCGCTCAAGCGCAGGATCTCTTTTATCACTTCAGGTACAAACAGATCTTTATCGTCTAGTGTAACCCGACTTCGTCAGTCGAGCTGATATCTTGTCATGCATAAATAGAGCTCGAAAAAAGTCAGATGACGAACGAAGACGCCTTGTCAAATATAGGTGCTTTGAGCACCAAGCGTGAAGAGCTGGAAAAAGGGTATCCAGCTTTTACTTGTCAATACGTTGTGAGTGTATGGCTGCCACTCATCTTATATGATTTACACAGGCTAGCGCGCGTGAGGAGCGAGTCGCGGGTGTAGAGGTAGTGTTTTCTCTCAGGTTTATTGCAGGGCTTACATTTTCACTGAATCTTGTTACGCACAGAGCGCCATTGCTGAACTATCTACAGCAGTCAGCACCGTTGGTAAAGTCAAAGAAAGGTTTGACATGTCATTGCTTCAAAAAGAGCTAGCTGCAAAGCAATCCGATGCTAATCGTGCTCAACAAAAGCTGCAGGCGACACAGGTACGTGCTAAAGAGCATCTCTATCAAGATACGTTATAACAGTGTTGTGCCGTAGAATCTGCTCAAGGTGTCGGAGGACGACCACGCCCAAGTCAGTAGTACGCTTTTGCTTTTCATCACGCTGTAATAGTGACACTGAGATGGGTTTACAGCTGAATGAAACTCTGGAGGACATTGGTGCCCAGATTGTAGGGGCAAAGGATGCTGCTGAGGCGTTGGACGTCGAAATTGCTGCTTTGGTGAAAGACATCAAAGAGCACGAAGCAAGAAGTGAAGTGTTAAGTACATCTGTGATTGGTAAACAGAAGGAAAATGATGACCTGCAAGCCCAGTTTCAAGAGTGCCAACGCCAGAACAAGAGCATTGCCATGATGCAAGCAAAGCTTTCCTGCCAAAAGGCCTCACTGCTTGAACAAAAAGAAGAAATGACTTCGAAACTCCGTAAAACTGAAGACATAAGCAAAGTCTTAGCTGAAGGCATCGAGGTTTGCGCGATCTGTCTATTTTCTGATTGATATCCAAATGTCAGCTAATTAACGGTTGTTTCTTTGGTTAGCATGGAACAGTATACGCGCAACAGCTTTGCGAACATAAAGCGCCGGGTGAAGAAAACACCCAAAAGCGCATCGAATTTGAACTTCGTCGTCAAGAGCTGATCTTGCAACAGCAGTGCGCGCAAGGAGAGAGAGATCTTCAAGCAGAGGTCATTGCTTGGAATAACAAGGTACAGCAATCGGTGTTAGCGTCTTTATACATGTACTTACCGTAGATTTTTGAGCAAGCAGATCGAACGTGTGGAGCAAGAACTTTGTAGAATCCAAAAAGCGCAGAATTGAAAACTGTCGAGAGTGTTTCGGCGAAAAACGAGTCCTGGGTAACTAGAAGTACGTGCTGAAGCGAGGGTTCGTACTTCAAGTGGCAAGCTTCGTGAGCCCTTAACTGTCGGGTCATAATCTAACAGCGTCGACTCGCATTGTCATTCTCACTTCTACATTCTTTCTTTTGCGCCGCGCACCCAAATTTACAAGACAAGACAATTGACATGAAGGCTTTCTTTCTTATCGGATTTGCTCCAGTTTTGTTCATGTTGTCAATGGCAACGCACGCGCCACCACCGGATCGCGTTCTATCAAGTGTTGCAAACCGAAAGGGCGAAGTTAACGGAGATATCCTAGGAGGTGATGGAGGTTTCGGCGATGATGACATCGGAGACATAGATGGACAAGGCGATATTGATGGCGGCATTGGTGGTGTAAGTGGCTACCGTGGTAAGTGGATGATTTAATGGCAGGCTTGATTTATGTTGAGCTAACTATCTTACTTGTGATCGTAAATAGCGCTGCGCGGTCTCAATGATGAGCTATTGGACGGTGATGCCCAAATGAATCGTGACGAGGTCGTTGTTGCTGGCGGGACTGTTGCGCGTGGTGGTGTTGCTGTTGCTCGTCCGCGACCTCGTCGCGGTCGCTTTTACTAAGCTGCTATGGAAATGGAATGGATCATCCTGAAGTAGCTTCGTTTGTTCTCGTGAGTAAATCAAAGTTTAGTAGTGATTATCAAGCGCTTTGGTGGCGCCAACAATGAACGGTATTTGCATTTCATCACCATTACACGTAATTTCTTTGGAAATGTTTGGATCAAGCACTTCCGTGTCTTCTGTTGTAGTGGTAGTAACTCAACCATCTGCGCTTGTTAGCTTTACAAAAACAACAACCGCCGTCTGAAGAAGATGATACAACAAAAAGAGCAAAAGGCTCAATGTTCAATCACGTAGTCCTGCTAATCAAGAACAAAATACTGCTATGCAACAATACCATCGTTAGAACCCTCTCTCTACCAATCAAGTTATGACATGAAATTCCATATATCTGCCAGCGACATTAACTTGGCTTTACAATCAACGTTAGACTAGAACATAATACTCTTGCCACGAATCCTAAGCTCTTGTCTTGTTCATGTTTCATGCATGCTCACAGGCCATTGTCGAGGCTTTCATCATTTACTCGATCTTGAGCACTTCAATCTCAAAAATAAGCGTCGAGTTGGGCTGAATCGTACACATCATATTAATATCAACATTTATAGTCAAGGGAATCTAAGAATAAACCATCCACATTTTTTAACATCATGTATGCAGCAATAAAAAAATCACTAGAGTAGAAAAGGATATCCCCACGTTGGAAACCCACTAGCGCCATACGCATAGTCAGGTGTGCACGTAAGTCGAGCTGTCTCTCCAAGTTTCATGCCCAATACACCTTCATCCCATCCTTTAATCACTTGTTGGAGTCCAACACTAAACGTAAAGGGCGTTTGACCAGGATCCTTAGTACTCCAAAACTTTTGATTCAGATCACGATCTTTTCCATATCCCGTACAATGAACCGTGACGGCTGCGCCCTTGGTCGGCCTTGGTCCAGCACCTGGCACGAGAATTTCCTTTGTCACGCCCATTTGTTTTGAGTATTTCTACTATTATATATTAGAATGGACACTACGAAGCACCTTTGATGTGTGTCTGTGTGTGACCCACGTAAGCAACGTAAGACTCGCGTCGTGTTTCTGTAGCTAACAAAGCTCGCTCATCTCGCAGCTGTCAAAAATTCTGCAAGCAGTCGTCTCTACTATAGATTTGTATCTCAAAATGTATAATACCTGCTAAACCGTGCATGCCTGATGATCATCTTTCCCGCATTACGTCATTCTTACCATCTTCGGAATGCAAAACCAAATTCTCCGGCGGCAGCAGCTTTCGGACATCGTTGTCTTGTAGATAGTTCACAATTGTCCCTTTGACTCTCGCGTGCATACGTAAAGGCAATCCAAAAGAATACCCCCTCCCATACACACACAAGTATGAAGCTTGTGTGCCACGCACTGACATTGTTTCTTCGCCCACGTCGACCAATTCTCTACCTCCGATGCAAGTCAAACGATACAAATGCTCTGAACCAGGCTGTGATTGACAATTTAATCGGAAATACACACTCCTTGAACACCTCAACGCCCATAAGGGTGAAAAGCCGTATGTATGTCCTGTGCAATCTTGCAGGAAGCGCTTTGGCTCGTCCGGCAATTTCTCTCGTCACAAGCGCTTGCATGGCGGATTGAACCGCTGGAATGTCCGGTTGAAGGTTGTTTCTGCGCGTTCCCGAGCGACATTAAGCTCAGCAAACACATGCAAGTCCATATGGGTACTCCAGTGCACGTGTGCAAGATTGCAAACTGTGGCAAGACATTCAGCACCCCAAGCAACTTGAATCGCCACATGAAGCTCTTTCACTTGACAAAGGACAAACTGCGTTCAGTTCCACCACCACGGCTGAATACATCATTGTCGGTCTAGAATCTGCAACAGCTCCATGCTGATAGCTCGTCACGACAACAGAAACCAAACCAGATGGATCCGTTTCCAAGTCCTCGTGTCATTAATTCCACTCGGATGAAACTCGCTCCACCAACGTTTTCCCTTCGTCAAGTGCCACAATGCTACGGGAGAACGACAGAGTGATAAGTTTTTTGTATCGAACCTGGAGCAAGTGCTGCTGCCTAGAGTGCCGTTACCTTATCGTCCATTGGGGAAAAGGACTCGAGATACTCGAAATGTACATATCGCTCCTAACGTGATGTCACCTGTTTTCGATGAAATGGAGTACATATTTACGGATCTAGAAAAGCATTTACCGCAGAACCTGCACAACGACATGGCGTACTTTCAACGGCGTGCTAAATGAGCTACATCAGATGATACGTTGTAGTCAAATAGTGCTACAGCTTGATTCATGAACGATTGTATGACTGTCTAATGCATATGTTTTCCTCCATGTGGATATTGTTTCATATGTTGAAAAGCGCTCGTTTTGCATCATTATAATGTATGGTAACAGTATGATAGCATGCAAATTGAAGCACTAGCGGTCGCAATGAAATACCAACGAAAGACAATGACAAACACCAATGTGTCGGTTGTAGTTATAGCATAGCTATATATTTACACAAGAACACTTAGGACATAGAATACGAATCGTCACATTACATTCATCTACGTGTAAGGATGTCTAAATGTAGTGAAGTGGAATCAAAGTCTATACTAGTCAGATAAATGCTGCTGAAAATTGAAGCAACGTTTGTTTCCTTCTTCTTCAAACAAACATCCAATAAGATCCTGGTTCTGATCATCATAGATCTGGCCTGAAGCCGGGTACGTGTGATTTGAATGAGTAGAAAGCCTTGCTGACCCATTGAGCTGGTATGAGAAAAATACGAGCTATTTGAGCAAAATAGAGCTTTGGTTCAGGTAATATGTGCCTTATGCTATCACTTAAACTTACTATGTTACGCAGATCTATAGTGTAATGTAATAACGCAAAAATATCGTTTCCTGTTGAGCGATTCATTTTGCGTCACTGTTCGTGTTATTATAATCTTCTACGCTCTATAGGTTAATGCGGTTATGTCGGATTTAGTTAGGTGATAAGGCATATGACGCTATTTCTATTCATTCCGGATAAACTGATCGCATCAGTATTCTAATCATAGGATGAGACATGATTATAATGCGCTCTTCAACTGATAATATTTGCTCGATCTTAGAAATGAACGTGTCACCTTTTGCGTCAGTTTCTAAATTTCATAGCCTTTTTCTATAAATCGATCCGATGCTGACCTGTAATATCTGATAAAATACACACACACTTTATACGACAAAAGCGCAAGCTAAATTCTATCGTTTTATTTCACTAACATCCTGCTTTTGTACATTTCAACAATATTACAGTCACTAAAACATTTGTGACAAGTGATTACAACTTGTGACACACACCGGTTGGGTATCAAAATGATCCTTGTCCGTGGAACTGCTGCTACATTAGCACTGAGTCGGTCATTGGCTGCTTGTACAACTACTATCCAGACGATCTTGTTCACACGGAATTATGGTATAAAGCCCAAAAGAATCCAGTACGTATCAAGCCATATTTGTCTTATGCTCGAGCTTCTGTATTACGTCTAAACAATCGAAACAGAATGCCTGTAGACAAGCTCAAAGTACATGAGACACCAATTGTAAGGAATTGTGGGGGAGATTTCATGCGTTGGATAGGACTGGGTAGTCGATTCCAGATGTATTGTTCATTGCTCTTGTCCGGGTCTCTTGTTTACCAAGCTGATGCTACTGCCAATATAATGGAGGTGAGGAGCTCATTTTGAATCGAAAATCAATTGATTGGACACGAGGAGGAGACAGGAGTAAATATCGTATAAATTGTATGTAGGTTGTGGCAACGAGTGGAGCCATTTGCAGTGCATCAGTGACTGTGTTCTTAGGGGCAAAGCGATTGTGTGACAAGGTGGTTACGGATATTGTATCATGTCGAAAATTGGGCGACCCCGACGAGTTTGTGCGGGTGTCGGTGCTGAGTGTTGGAAACAAGGTAGTGCTCGAAGCATTCCCAAAAGGTGCGCTGCTTTCGTGCAAAGTATGTATGTTGGTCGTGCAAAGCTGACGACGGGTTGTTGTTTGCAGACCTCAAATTGTTGGAGCATGATGGCAAGGACGCGTACAGCTTTGCATTGGGCGGTCGAAGACTTCATTTGGATACGTCGACTGGAGAGTGCTTAAACCGCAAGGCGCTGGGCATCATGATGCAGGGCAGGACGCTTGTTACCAGGAAAGACAAGCAGGGCAAGAAGAAGTTGCGCAGATAGAGAAAGGGGTGAATAGACAATCCTTTTGTTGTCGGTTTCGAAGCTTTCAATCATCTCCATGTCTCGTGTAAACTCACTAGCCATTCGCTGGCTCATTCAGATTAACGTGCGATATGGTGGTGTATTGTCGTGTACATACAGTAAACACTTCATGAGCTATGTTCACTATTCCAGCGCTGAACTTATCGGACCAACCGCTCAAGGTGCTATGTAGCCGCTAGTGTTTCGTTGTAAACGTAAACCAACAGAAAAAAAGCCAAAGCATACAGAAACTGTCTGCATGCGTAGTAATTCATTTCTACCACCACTGATGCCATTCGCGCCAGTTCGAATCAGCACAAGTCCACGACAAACTCTCTGAATATGTTTCATTCAAGCACGTTTGCTTTGCTCCTCAACTATACTCATTCACCAAAATTCTCCAGCTAGCACTTGATACAGTGGCAAATTGAAACCGGTTGACTGGATAGCTAGCTGAGCCCACAGCTTCCTAGCGTAACGTTAACCATTGAAGACCATTGGTCGAATTCATATCAAGCCCATCTCCATACATGTAGCCATCTTCTGACTCTATATCGGTAGCCGGTTCTGATGCTTCAACCAAAAATTCAAAGATCGTATCTTCGGACACATCTAGGTTTTACATCCATCCACAACGTGATGTAATCAATGTACACTGTCATTGTTTTGCCACATGCACTGCTCGCTTCATTGTAAGAGTAGAACCCTGCGCACCAAATTTCCGCGTAACACTTTTTCTAATAATTCAGCAGCCATGCGGTGAGGCAGAACAGCTCGGGCAGCTCCAATCGGAAAATCAAGATCTCAACGTTCTTGCGCAATTCTTTCAGGTGAGCAAAGCTGATTTTTTTTCTGATTGATACCTAGTCGCAGCGGATGGAAAATTTCTAACGCATCGCAACTTCTCACGCGAGAATGCGAACGTCTTGTACTTCTTTACATGGATGTTTGTTTGCCCGCCCGGCCACTCCCTCCTGTTGTTATTGATGGCTATTGTTAGTTGATAAGTAATAGTGGCTGATACCTCGTGTACAGCTTTAGTCACTCACTCATCGTGATAGAGCAAGTATACCAACGATTTGTTTCATGCAACGGCCACTGCAAACGACGACTATCCATCTGTCGTGTTGCAAAAAATTTTGCCCTAGCAAAAGGACAGAAATTTCGAGTGGAAATGTTTTTGACCGTTATGCCATGTCCCTTCCTTCATTTGCGATGGAGAAGATCAATCGATCGATGGCTTTGCTAGATACTAAACAGGCTATACGTCATGTGGAAGCAAAGCAAACACTTGCCTCATTTTTTTCTACCATGAAAAAAAGCAAAGAGTTGTCTCAAGACGTTGAAAAAACAAAACATGTCAAGCTCATTTTTGTAGCGCAAAGTTTTTCCACGAGTCTCTCTCTCACACACTCACTCTTCTTGTCCTTCTAATCAATCCTTGTTTGATCTTGTCCACGTGGTTGGGTAGGTAGGTGGGTGGGTGGACACATGTAACTAGCGAATCAAAAAGAAAAAGTCATACGGTTCGATGGTATGTGAAAGCGCTTGATTCCGACTTGAAACCCTAGTCAACAAAACAAATATTCCAACAACACCCTCAATTTTTCAAAGCTTGAAATTTTTCATGAACGCATCCCTTTTTGACTACGATCTCTACTTGTACTACTACTACTAACAACAACAACGGGTCATTTCATAAAGTACTTAGTCACGATCAGGTTGATTGATCACGTTCTAATAACTGGTTCGCACTTGGTTCATTTGCCAAGGATTTCTTGTATCCGACTACCACTTACCCACCCACCTCAGTTGTTGTGATTGACTGAGTGTTCGTTCGTTCGCTCGTTCTTTCTTTCTTTCGTCATTAGTATTCTCTATTCCAAACAAGGTCATCCTTGACTCGTTACCATGTTACTCTTTGAGAAAGCATCACGACCAGCGGTTACAAGTGGTCATAAGCGTAAAATCGTGCTATCCGACGACTGTCGCGAGAAACAACGTGCACGGTATTGTTCCTGGACAGAATTAGAATATGAAATGGTGCTCGAGGAAGCGACGTTATTACGTGAAGAACTTGGACTTTTACTCTTTGTAGCACTGGATTTATCCAAAGACCTTGGTTGTGATACTACATGTGTTCAAGTGTATTTAACAACACTGGAACAAATACGAGATGGAATGGTATCATCCCAGGCACTGACTGTTCCACAGATTCGTGCAATGTGTCAACAAATGTTGACAATGATGCAATATCTTTGTCGAGTTCATGACAATCAATTTGCATTGATTGAGATGCAAGAGGAATTACGGGCATGTCGGAATCGCTTTCTGCTTTTTATTTGCAAGAATGCTGCAATGATTGGACTCTGAGGTGTTCTCCTAACATTGTATCTCTCGCCTTCTCAAGAGGCTGGTCCTCCGCAGCTTGCTTAGCCCAAGGTTCCAAGTTACAACTGTATTATTAGAGTAATTATTCTCCTGTCTCCCGACACACATACATAACTGGAATCGATATACCAACCATTCAGTCTCTTTCTATTCAAACAAGTGTTGTTAAATTTAGTGATAGTAGAATCATTCCAGTGACTAACTAGCACCTTATCGAGAGACTGCTTTCAACTGTTGCTAGCGATGATACCACACTTACTGCATGCAAGAGGATTCAAAATAGACAGCAGATCGATGCGGTGTTTTAGTTGAGAACGGCATTTTTAGCCTTAGCTGCTAATGCAAAATGGACAATCGCTTTGAGGTGTTGATCAAGTGGTGCCCTTGCATCCTCTTCAAACCATGATTCAAACTTGTGTTTCTAATAACGTGTCGAAAGAGAGTTCTAGTGTTAGCATACAAGTGGTACATAATGGACTTGCAAAGACGTACACTTGTGTTCATAGTGTCCAAACTTATCTGTACACCGTGTAGTTTATCGTCCACTTCGTCGGCAAATTGAGTAAAAGCTTGGTGTGCAAGTTGTGCACTCTCGTCGGAGGCATTACTGCTTGCAAGAGCAACTGCTTGTACCAACTTGTAACCCTCACGAAGCTGAGTCATCTCGGCTATCAATCCGTCTACAGATACGCTCTTGCATTGCAAGACAAGATTGATTTCATCGTAGAAATTTGACAACGTGCCATCGTTTTCCAGCTGCAATCAACATTAAAAAACACGTCAAGTTTCGTACCATCGCTTCATCGACATTAACAACGTTCATTCATTACCTGAAGGACGTGCAAGAATCCATCCAGCATCGAACTCTTGTTGTCAAATGATTTCGTGTGACTCATCTTAGTCAGCGATTCGAGAGAAAACCGTGTTCTGTAATTCTCAACAAATTCCTCATTTGCAAGATTGCCAAAGTCCCGAAGTAGCTGCATCACTTTGGTGAATTTAGTACTTGAACAGAGTTGATTCAATGCTCGGGTCACTAGACCCGCTGCTTGTCTATAAAATCAAATGTAGATACAAACTTGTTAGTTAACTCATCATTTATTCTGCATGTACATTGATTGCAACCGGACTTGAGGTTCTCAGCTCGTGAAGGTAGCTCCAGTTTCAGCAAAAGGCATTCAAGCTTTTCCTTGACCATAGGAACAGCACGGATTGTCACCAAAAATTGTTCACTCTAATCGAGATATATACATAGATAGACATTCAGACTCACGGTCACGCTAGCTCCATTTTCAGACAAATACGTACAAGTTTCAGAGCTTCAAAATCATCCGAATACTCTTCGAGAGCTATTTCCTCAGCCATACTAGGCCACATTGCCAGTATTGTCCTCACATCGGTGTCTTGCAGATACATAGCCGTCAGGATATTGATATCTTTAGCCACATCAGTGAATGGAGATGTGATACGGTTTACTGCGAGCTCAAGGTTCACAGCTTTGTTCCCTTTCAATATCTGCACCTTTTCCATTTTGTTTCCCGGTCGAGAAGGACGCTGCATTGTGGCAGCTATTCTAGCGTTACTCTGTAATAGTGCACGTTTAGAGCTCTCCATTGCATGAGGAATTTCTCGCACATAGAGTTCTTGAATGTACGCCTGCGATGGAGCAGTAAGCCGCTGCTGTGCTTCCTTTGCATTAACCTGCATCCATAAGGATCCTTCCAATGGAGGCGGGGCTCGGTCGGCTTCGGCGACTTCAATCCAGTGCCATCTACGACGCTTCGTCTTTGTCACAGGAAGCATACCAATTGTTGCAGGAGTAAAAGACTGCTTACGGTGCAGTGCTCCTGTCATACAGGCTCCATCAAGGCCCGCATTGTTGACTCCATCAATACGCATTCGCTCCTCAACCGTTTGTCGTGGCACACCAACTTTGAGCATTTTACGGTAGCGCTCATAAATATCCTCAGCATCAGATACAGCAGTAGCATTATTAGCATCACTACTGTCCTGGCTGTCTGTTTCGTTCTCTGTAGTCTCATGTGCCCGTAAGCCTTCACTCGATAAGGAACTAAGCGCTTGCACGAGTTGATGCATGGGCACCTGTTCCTCCACTTTATCCTCCATCCAAACATCACTTGGCTTGAGAGAGTCACCCTTTCTCATTTGACATGGACAGGTTAGCTTGTATAACAATAACAAAAACGTTGGAGCAAAGAACAAGGATAACACTACAGGCACTCACTCACCCCAATGAGTCGTAGAATTCCAGCCCGACTTTCCGTCATTTCCACGGCCGCTAAGCGGATTTGGGCCACGAACATATTTTCACACTGCAAAAGCGACAAAGAGAGCTCTTTGCAAGTCTTGCAACTTCAGCGCTACCTTTCTCACAACGTGTGTCCTGCGTACAAATAAATGATACAAGAGAGCGTAGCGTCAGTCAACTTTTGGCCTTTCTCAATCGATCAAGCCGAAGAAAATCGAACAGCAATATCTCGGTCTGTTCATCATGCAATCATCAACACTTGTGTGAACTTTCATCCCCAGATTCTCATTGTCTCCCCGTTTAAACGCATCCTTTTGTTGCGTGTAGGCAACAACTCTTGTATTACCGTCTCAATATGTTGCTCTCAGGCGCACTCTTAATCGTAGTGGTTGCGTGTGCCTGTTATATTTTCTTGCTAACATACATAGCAATCCCAGCTACGAGTAGTATTGACGATGCACTTCTTCAAGCACACCCCGACATGGTATCACGGAACGCAGCTTGATGCACATCAGAAAGGCACCCGCAAGCTTACGATGCAGGGAGTATACTTCTTGCGGCGGGGGGTGTCAAACGACCGTGCATGAACGCTTCTGTATGTTGACCGAGTCGAGTCGTCAGCTGGCTCTTCTGGAAGTCAAAGGGTTCGTGTGATCGAAAAGGCTCACCAACAACCATGCCTGCCGCAACATGAGCACGCATCATGGCGGGAGACTCGTCACCAGTAAGAAAATGCATCTTGATCGATGAATCTACCAGCGTTTTCGCGTCCTCGTTCGCTGCAGCCCATACAAGGTTGAAATACTCATCCACAAACGACTTTGGATACTCGCGAGCAGCACCAAAGTCCACGAGCCCAATCTTGTCGGTAGATGCATTGTACATAAAGTTGCTCCAGTTCGGGTCGGTCTGCATAAAGCGCCAGTCGAATAGCTCATGGATCGTAAGCTCAAGAAGACGACGACCAATACTGTCGCGCACATCCTGCGAAAGGTGTACAGCCTTGTCGACAGCAACGCCAGAGATCAATTGCGTCGTCAAAATACGTGCCGTCGATAATTCTCCGTACACGCGCGGCACAACAAACTTGTCACTCATGCCACTCTGTTCAATAAGTTTTTTAAAGCGTTCTTGGTTCTCGGCCTCCTTGATATAGTCGCACTCGGCTGTGAGTTCTTCCTCGCCCACACGGATTACCTCGTCAATATACAGCCCACGTGGTAGAATGTTCGTGTATGTCACGAGTCGCTTGAGGTTAAGCAGATCACTGCCAATGGACTCGGCCACACCTGGGTACTGGACCTTGATCGCAACGCGATCACCGTTCAGAAGCGTAGCGCGGTGCACCTACAACAAACACACAAAGTTTAACCCAAAAGAAACACATACAAGGCAATGCTTGCGTTCAACTAATAACGATAACATGATAAACGTTCGTATCAAACAAATACCTGTCCAATGGATGCAGCAGCAATAGGAACATCGTCAAATTCCTGAAACTTGCTCTGCCAGTCTTCACCAAGTTCACTTTGAAGCTGGCGATGCAATTGGTCCTTTGGCATAACATGTGCACTAAAGACAACAGCAACAACAACACATTCTCACAATGATGAATCACAACGTATACAGCATTTTAGACACGCTATTCTCTATCGTACTTTTCACGAACACGATCCAATGCAACAGCCAATTTCGATGGAATCATAGCTTCATCCTGAATACTCAGCATCTGTCCAAGTTTTAACGCTGCTCCTCTCATTGTACACAACGTCTCTGCTAGCTTTTCCACATTGGCATCTGATACAAGTGCATTGTATGTGCCATTCTTGCCTCCACTCCGTACAATCTCAGCTGCTGTTCCAACTGCAAGTCTTGCAGCCAAACTTCCAAAACCCAAAATCCGGGATAAAGGCGATGATGGCACACGCTTTTCTTCCCATACTTTATGTGGTATTTTCTCCTCTTCATAAGCCTTTTCCGTAGCCACAGGAACCTTTGAATCCACCTCAACAGCCTCAATCTTCTTCGCTTGACGCGGCTCCGTCTCAACCGCCTTAATCTTCTTCGCCTGATCCGTCTCAATCGCCTCGATCTTCTTCGTTTGACGCGGCTCTGTCCCAATTGGCTCCGTCCGAATCGACTTCGTATGAATTGGCTCAGTATAAATTGGCTCGGTATGAATTGGCTCGGTATGAATTGGCTCCGTCTCAAGTGGCTCCGTCTCAAGTGGCTCGGTCTGAAGTAGCTCGGTCTGAAGTAGCTCGGTCTGAAGTGGTTTCGTCTGCCGTTGTGTCGTCGTCTGAAGCCGTGGGGTCGTCTTGATTTTTACGTCGTGCACTTCCGACTTGTCTCTATTCTTTGTTACCACCTGTTCTTGAAGCACTGGAACCTTTGTTTCCTCTCTCTTTTGTTCGTCAATCGTCATATTCATTAGCTTTGTCGTATTTTGGACACGAGACTTTGAATCTTCACCATTTAGAAAATACGGCACTAGACGCGTTAATTCCTTCGCGTGCTTGGACAATTGCACACTCTTGTCATTTACTACAGACTGTTGTGTACGTAATACATGTTCCGTCACTTTACTAGCACCTTGTAACACACGTACAAAATCCTGCTTCCACATGAGCCAAAAAAATGTTACTTCACAATAATAAGTCGTTTCGAAACTGCGTGTTTCGGGCCTTGGAAGAATGATTGTCACGTCTAATAAAACAATCATTCTAAGATCCATCTGTTCTTAGCTCATGTGGTCCACATGAGACATTCAATAAAGTACGATATACGATAATACCACTTCCCTTTGCATAAGAATATTCCTTACTAAAATGACTGGTGGGAATGCATGATACTACTATCAATAAAATACACATGACCACGGGATGTAATCATCGACTAATACTGTCTCTCTGTCAATTTATATATGTGTGTTGTGTGAGTGGATATAGATCAAGTTCGTGCGTCTCATCTGCTTATTAAGCACAGTGGATCACGTCGTCCTGGTATATAAACCATCATCGATTGGTTGATAAACAGTAAATATACCGGTTTAATACTGATGCATCCGACGGTATCTTGTCCTGCGTAACAGCGTCCCGTCTATCCAGTAACATTACACGCTCCAAGGGTGAAGCTATTGACCAATTACTTCGTAAGGAGCTCTCTCTACGGATCAAACCTCTCTCTCTCTATCCAATCTCTGTGTGATTGTTTACATATAATTAACCATTTGTTATTGCCATTATTGACAGAACTACGTGCTCAAATCGTGTCAGGCCAAGCGAAATTTGAAGATCTCGCGTTACAATACAGTGATTGTAGCAGTGGCACACGTGGTGGTGATCTTGGTCCCTTTGGTCGTGGTGCGATGCAAAAACCCTTTGAAGACGCAACGTGAGACATGGACATTGCTTTCAAAAAGTGTTTGTCTCGTTCTGATAACGAGATTTTGTACGTGTTTTATTGTGACTCTTAGATTTGCATTGGCAGTGGGTGAATTGAGTGATGTGGTGGATACGGACAGTGGCGTTCATATCATTCTTCGTACTGCGTGATTTAAACGCAAGAGTAGCGAGACTGCTGATGGTTTGATACGATTGATGGAGCTTGTGGATTATTACTGCACGTAATACGTGTAGTAGTTGGAATTTACAGAATGAACACATGCAGCTTTGAGCTTGTCATTTTTTTTGACAAACGTGTTGAAAGTGCTGGGTCTTGCTTTATCTACAGAATAACGCAACTACGAATCGAAATGTGATGGACGAAAGACGTTATAGGAACGAAGCAAGACCATTTGCTTCGTGCAGTACTTGATCTTTGCTGATAAATGAACAAGTGTCCTCTTGTACATCAGTCAAGCGTTGGAAAATGGTAAAGAGCTATTTCAGTAAAGTCAAACTGCTGTTAAGCGACATTCTTGCTGCATGACAGGAATGAAGCCGTATAGCTGCAAAGATCCTAGATTCTTTCATCTCTAGATCAAAGACGAGCACCTCACAGTACGTGTCTATGATAACCTGGTCGTGTATACTTTCTGGCAGTCCTTGCAGTTAATAAATGGTGCATCGCACTTCTTGTTGACCTCCTGAGTTCATTCGACATCCTATGAAGGATTTGTCATCGGCCAGCGCCAATCATACACATAACAAACAACAAACACAGCAATGGAGCACACACGAGAAGAATAAAGCAATTACGCAGAACTTCCATCTAATGTGCTTTTGCTTGCTGTAACATTCTGGCTTCCTTGATGAGCTTCAATTCTGTAACATTCTGGCTTCTCTTCTCTCACTGCAAGCAGCAGTATCATACGAGTACAACCGCATTCCACTCGTTCACGGCTCTGGATTCTTGCCCAAGATTGACGTTCGCGTGCGGTACAATTACTGCGCTGTCCTTTAGTCCACCTGCGCCTTCGCACATTACACTACAAGTTTTTGCAGTCTAATTTCCAGATGTGCTGCCGCGACGGAAGCTGAATGACTTCATCGACAACCGTGATGACGAACGTGGCGACGACGAGTGCATACTAGCTGTGGAAATGCTCTCTCGTGAAGCGCTCTTCACACGGCGCTTGTACACGCACGTATCTTGGTCCACACGAATGCCCCACTGGAGGTACTCAGCGTTGGTGGCAGCTTCGAGAAACTGGTTCAGCTTTGCCACACGGTCTTGGATAATCTTTTCTGAAAAATTGCCAAAAAGTTGCTTGTTCGGCAGCTCCGGGATCTCCTTGCGTTTGTAGCCGTTCTTCGTCTGCAATGTGGCTGCTAGATTACGGAAGGTGCTGTACCGGTGCCACACGTACAGCGTACCGCGCGTGTTGGTCTCAATTTGCAGCTTGTACTCGACAAATTGTCGACCTTCGCGATACGTGATTCGGCTGTCTACTACCTTAGCAGAAATAAGAGACACCTCCTGAGAACGCACTAGCTTCGTCTGGAGCTGCAAGACCTGCTGCTTCAGACGCTCATTCTCACGCAGTAGCTCGGCGTCAGCGTACTCGGCTACATTAGACGACAAAGTAGAACGCAAGCGATCGTTCTGAGATATCAATTCACGGTTTAACTCCAAAGCAGACTCGGCAGCCGACTTAGCATCTCGAGCTGCAGATTCCGCCTCGGCAACCTTAGAGGCCGCCTCCGTGAGAGCACGGAGCGTACGCGGAGATACAGGACCGCCCACTCCGTCCATAACTTCTTCTTCCTCCTCCTCCTTGTCACTCTCGTCACTCCAATCATCTTCCACAGGCTCCTGTCACACCACAAGTATCCTTAGTAATTACGCACAACATTAAACACAACAACATCTCAACTTACCGGTTGGGGGTCGCTGTGATCACGCTCCTCCATCTCCTTCTGCAGCATGCGCTCCGTCGCCTCCTGCTGAGCAATCTTGCGCAGGCGTTCCTGCGCCCGCTCGCGCTCCTTCCGAACACGCTCAACGAGAAGTACAAACAGAAAACGCTGCTTGCGGCCACGCTCCAAAGACTGCAGCTTAATAATGCCAGCGCGCAGCGTCCGGTAGCGCTTCGCCTGAAAACCACTGCGAGTAATGGACTGAATCTCTATCACTGCAGTACGTTGACGCAGAAAGCGCTTGCGATACACGTAACCGTGCAGCGTCTTTTGAAGAAGAATCGCGTGGTCTTTAAGAATCACGTTTCGGCGATCTTCCAGTCTTTGCAGCAGACCCGAGCTGAAGTAAACCTTTGTCTTACCCACGGCAAATTTGGTGTTCTGCATTGTAGTAGCAATGTCGGGAACCAATTCCTTGAGCAAACCAGCAACCATGTCACAAGGTTCCGCATCGCGCATCGCCGACGGGCAAATAATCTGGAAGCGCTGCTGGAACTCGACAAGCGGCAAACGATTGGGAAAGGCCGCACGACTGATGCGAATAGCAGCAATCACACCCGCGCAACGTAACTGTTCCACAATCATGACACGGTTGAACTCCACTGCACTCTTGTTGGCGTTAGGCTTGATGCAGCGCACGTACTGCGATGAAGTCTTGTTAATCGTCAACATTAGCTCCGACAACTGCTTTCGGAATGCACCGGCAATAGTGTTACCAACAAGAAAACCTTTTTGACGACCTTCCTTTCCCTTCTTGCCGCGAGTGTTGCGCGTGCTTGCCTGTGCAGGCGTAAAAATGCCAGAGATGACACTATTGCGGCTACCAGATAGCAGCTGCACCATATCCGTAGGCAGTGTGTCCTTGTTCTTTTCCAAAAAGCCCGTACCATTGTATGTCACGTCACCAGCATAATGATGGATAGTGAACTCCAATGGATTGATTCTGTTCTTCTCAATACTCGGGTGATCACTGCAAGCGTCCAAAACCTTGCTCACAAATGTGCTGTCAGTGGCCTGAGGACGAAGCACTTCCTCGTTTAGCATACTGACGATTCCCATTCGGCCCTCAATGAGGTCTAGGATCGGTTGGTTGTCCTCAAAAGTCACCAGGGTTAACGGAATCCCTTCATCCACATATTCCTGTTGGACATCCTTGAAGACGTCGCTATTAAACTTCTGCTGCAGCTTTTCATTTGCATAATTAATGCAAAGTTGCTCAAAACCGTTCTGGTCAAAGCTTTCAAAACCAAAGATATCCAGCAGACCAATGTGCGTCTTGACATTGTTTGTGGAGCAAATAGCCTTATTAATACGATGCACCAACCAGTCAAACAATTGCGTATACATGCCCTTTGCCAACGCATCACGTAAATCCGATGCCTGCTCAGCATTCAGCGGAATTGTATACGACTCGGAACCAGCCGTTATCGAGCGCTCCAACAACGTCGAATGAAGTGCCGCGCTCTCAGTACGTAGTAACGCACCAATATTGTCCACAATGTCCTCGTTACTCACATGGCTCTTCTCGCTGTCATTGGCGTTTGGCGCAAACTCCACTTCACCAAGGTTCAAGATCGCTGCCACAATCTCAAAAATAGCATTCTGTTCTTCAGTCGAGATACCAATCGTATCTAGAGCATCCTGCGTCTCCTTAAGACACTGTACATCATCGATTCCCGTAAGTTCCGCGTCCGCACCCTCTGTCACGTACTTGTAACTAGTCACGTCACCACTCAGCTTCAGTTCTTTCTTCCGATTCTCTGGCAAGCAAAAGATTTGGTAAAAAATGTGGTAATTGCGTTCACCTTCTGTCTGACCCACAACACGACTTTTCTCGAGCAAATATGTATCACATAGACAGCCAACGAGCAACCCCATGCTGTCAAACTGTAACTGTGCAAATTTACCAAAACGACTGGAATTGTCATTGCGTTTGGTTTTTGCATTTCCAAAGGATTCCAAGAGTGGATTCGATTGTAAGACCTGGTCAATAACCTTTGTACCATGATTCCCTCCTCCAGAGATAGAAGCCAAGTGATTCATCATAATCTTCACAGTCTCAGTCTTTCCAGCTCCAGACTCTCCACTCACTAGAATACTTTGATCCACTTGTGTTCGTTTCATGTCTGAATACGAAGTAGCCGAGAGTGCAAATGGATGTGGTGCCAAGGAATCGCGAGGTTGTTCCAGATATTGTTGATATAATTCACGACCATATAAATCTAACCATTGATACGGGTTCACGGCAATACAAATAGCTCCCGTATACGTATATGGAATCTTCTTTGCAAAACGTAATTCCAAATTCCTTAACACAGCAGGTTCATGTAAATGATTTAATGTACACATATCATTCGCCCCATCCGCATCAAAGACATTACAAATAGGCATGGCTTCATCGGATACTTCACCAGCTAATCGTGCAATCTCGCGAATATTCACGACTTTTTCCACGCCATCATCCTGATTCCATTCGCCATCATCATTTGGTTGAAGACGTACTTGAGCACATTTACCATCATCTAAACGTCGCATGACAACTGCTTTTTTCCACACATAGTCATTATGTGGGACCCAAACCATTGCACCATTATCTAGCATCCCACCAGGAGCTCCAACTGTGTCTTCTGCCATTGAATCTTCTTTATTTTTTTATGTCTCAAGACTTTCAAGTGCGTCTTTTGTATCTCTTCTCTCGTATTTCTCTCTATAACAAGATACTCTAGTGTATTATTATGTAGGAAGAAGGGAGGGAGGGAATGAATGAACGATGAAGAAGAAGAAGGAGCTTTAACTCCTAAGACCTTTTAAATGTGATTGTACTGTCGTGTATTCAGATAATCTCGTGTCTTTATCTTTGTTTATGTATTGTACTGACTCTCATGAACGAGTCTCTCCCGGCTTTTTTTTTTCTTCATGTAACCGTTTTATGAACCAATGAAATTGAAGAAAGAGACAACCCTGATTTTTCATGGAATAATAATGACAAAAGAGGTAGATATCAAGTATCTCGGGTTGTTAGAAATATAGACTTGAGATTTCTATTGAAAATACCCGATACAATGGCATGCAACAAGAATATGGATTTAAACTGTCTGATTCAAGCATTTATTCGTTAATTACTTACACTCGTTGAGCAACGTGTCATCGATGGACTATTGTAGTAGCTAGAGTGAGCAGGAAATTGAACAATTTTGGACCGTATTGTATTGGTTTTCTTCTTTGCTTCTGTCGCATATGAGCTTTTTTTTCATCATGAACCAAAGAGTTCAGAACGAAATGTATCTATCTAACGTTTCATGAACGATAACAACTCATCAACGTCCTTTGTCGTCAATCGTCCTTTCGAAAGGCGACAACTTTGGCATTGAGTATATAAATACACGAACGTGTGTTTTGTTGTATTCTTAGATAACACAAGTACATTCAAATGTTTGTATCGGTTCAAACTGAAGTCTTGGGAATCAGATGGTTTTCTGTCGCTGTGGTCGAAAAACATGTAAAAACAAGGGTCGCTGTCATCCATCTTTGCTGAAAGATGACGATGGGATCAGTAATCTCGTGATGAGATTAATGATCCTGTACAACCACTGTTGTTGGACCAGATCCGAATGATTCTGGTCCAACAGTAGGTGTACAACTACATCCAGTTATTGGAATCTGCAGTAGTTTGTTGATCTGCACAACGTTACGATCAGAGAGATCTACAACAAGACGGTGAAGGACATGCATGACGTAATTCATTGCATCGTTACAACGCGCAGTTGATCGATATGTAAATGACCAATTTGATGTGTTTACATATCCATTAGAATGAAGTAGTAAGAAACCGTTTCTTGGTTTTGCATGAAAGCAGCATGCGTGTTAACCTTGTTTGAGCGTCAATTTTATCATTTTGCTAGTGCCAGCTTCAATATTACTGCAAAAGTCACGAATAGTAAGTAATACGGCAAAGTTTCTCAAGTACATACACATTGTCGTATTGGGATGCAGTCGATCTATTGTCGCAGGAATAACATGATGGAAAAATAGGAAAATTACTCGTCTTTTGCTCACGACATAGACACTTTTTGCTTGATAACACAAGTGCATTGATTGTTTGCATTTTTTCAAAAATTCATATGCCTCATGATGTTTAAGAGGTCCATGGGATCAGAAAGCGATCAAAATGCAATATACATTTCTCAGAAATTTTAGCGTTTACCTTCAATTTATAATAGTATAAGGACAAAATGTATTGTGAAAGGTTTTGGACATCAAAAGACGCCGTAAGTGGTCAAAACCCAACCAGCGCTGTGATTTGTCAAAGCCCAATCAACGCTATGATTCGTCAAAAGAAAAGCCGCTCCAATTGCGTGGAAATGGAGCGCTGCGGCGTTGCTACGACTCCGCCGCGTTTTCTAAACGCTGATGCAGACCTTGATCTTTTGCTGGGTCAAAAGAAACTAGAAAGTGTCAAGCTTGACCAAGTAGTTGCCAATCATTCGTCGTTTAAACGTCATAGACCGAAGTTGTTTTATAAACCACAGAAGACAGTAGGACTACAACTTTTGTCAAAAGCACGATGCAATAATATCGTTAAGGTTTTTTTTCATTTTTGTTGCGTATGGATAATTTTCACTCTATTATGGATTCGATGGCCGATATATTACCGTAAACTATTTCCATTATTGGTAACGCGTTTAGGTGATAAAATGGAAGTCGAGCCAGTTGTGGTATTAGTGGCTTTGGTCATGCCGTTTCTTTTTGCAGGAATAATTTTCTATTGGAATAGAAATGCAGCTGATTCATTGGTTCAACGAGGACAGCAACATAAGCTTCTTCGATGGCTTCAAGCCCATCCCACAATTGGCAAGAACATTGGTTTTGATGCAATTGACATCATAGTCGTGGGTGGGTTTTTGTTGCTGCAACTTAATCTTGTCATTGGTAAGTTGCTAATTGATCATGAAAGTGGTAAATTAGCTAAAGCAGGCTATTTGAATCGAATTGGTCGTGCGTTTGGTATGAATGGACTATATGGACTTATGTTGTCCATCATTCTTGTCTCTCGACAGTCTTTTTTGCACAAGTTTTTCGGTTTATCAAGTGAACGTGCTGCTCGGTATCATGTATTAACGGGACAATTTGGATTTGTCATCTTATTCCTTCATGGAAGCATGTACATTGTACTGTGGTACATGAAAGGTAAAGTCATAAAGTCACTTGTACCATGTTTTGAACAACATTGTTCACCTAAACAACACTATGGACCACTTCGAAATCTCTATGGACTTTTTGCAATGATATCGTTATGTATCGTTGTGATTTCATCAATGAAATGGATGCGACGTCATTATTTCCAACGTTTCGTCACATTGCATTCGTTTAATGCCCTTTCTGTGACGTTTACAATGTTACACTATTATGCTGCATCCTATTGGATCATTCCGTCCATTATACTGTATAGTATCTATCGGACGGTTTCACTTTTTGGACGTAAAAAGGCAAGTATTGTCTCCATGACGATGATGAGTAATCAAGTTGTGCAATTGGAATTAAGACGATCCATTATGGTCGGATCCGATTTTGTACCGGGACAATATGTGTATATAAAAGTCGATACTATTGGAAACGAATGGCATCCATTTAGTATCAGCTCCAGTCCATTATGCAATCGTCACTCTTTTGTCTTGAATGTTAAGGTCCAAGGATCATTTACGTCACAATTGTTAAGACTTGTGAAAAAGCAGCAACTTCATACGATTCATGTGGATGGATATTATGGTTCTGAAATCAAGTTGGCACCGCATATGGTGTTTATTGCTGGGGGTAGTGGTATGACACCATTTCTTAGTCTGTTGGATCATTTGAAGACACTTGGTAATATTCATGACCAAGATGAGATGTTGACGGATGAGTGTGAACTGCCACGGACTTTATGGGTGATCTGGACGTGTCGTGATTTGGAACTTCTAGAAGCGTATGCAAAGCTACTGGATGCAGTAAACCGTTGTTCACGATGGAAATGTAAGATTTGGTTACATCATACGTATACTGATGAAAATAGATGCACAAGTAGCGATGATGACTGCCAAACGGAACCCGACGATATGTCAGAAGATTCCTCGCCGCGTGCTCAACGGTTCTATCCAGTCTCACTCAATCGTCATGCTTTTTCGGGTCATAGTTATATGCTGGGTTTGCCGTTATTTGTTAGTACGGCATTGGGTTGTCTATTATTGATACTGTGTGTCTTCCGGTTAAAGGAGTTTTCATCCAAGTCGTTCACGAGACGTTTATTGTTGCTAGGTGCTGGCACGTTGGGTGCTCTACTTGGAGCTACATTTGTACTGTCTTTTATGCAACGTCGGAATGCCCGTAAGAGTAGTCAAGACAGCGACGGCGTTATGGATATTGCAATGGATGAAATGGAAATTGCCAGTCTAGACGTTATGAGCCCCATCACTCCTTCGACTCCACGTTCAATGCCAAGTCCAGCACAGTCCTTGCTTCATTGCAGCTTCTTGATTGAAAAGGAGCGTCCAGACTTGGGTTTACGACTGCGCATTGTGCACAAAGAGATTCGCGAGCACTACGGCATGAATGCCGAAGTCGCGCTGCTAATAAGTGGACCTGCAGATCTGCAACGTGATGCTTTACTGCAAGCACGTGAGCTTGTGGAACCTGCATTCGCGATACACGAGAAGTCGTTTCTATTATAGTGTGAGAGAATGTTGAGTGCCATTGGTACGTCTAGCTCAGAATCGCGTTGTTGAACACTAATCTCTAGTTCGCATTGCAATCAAATGGAAGGAAGAGACGCTATTGTGGACACAACGATGGAGCTTGACGTGAAGCAAGAATGTGGTGTTGGCGGTTGAGAACAGACAAGTAAAGGAATGGTTCGATAAGGTCTACACGGTTGACGACTAGTGTGATTACAATGCGAGATATATAGACGAGAAGTTACTTTTACGCTAAATGACAAAGGATGTTGATGTCACTGTAAAACTCGGTCTCAAAGCAGTGTCGACCGTCTTGGCAGTCACCACTTCGCGACTATCCACATACGAAAAAACAACGACCGGTGAGCTTTCCATTCGTGCGGGACCATGTCTATACCAACCGATTTTTTTACTCGCAAGCTTTGTCAGTCGCCCCGGTCGGACAAAGCCTTTGTGTCATCTTGTAGCAAAATCGACCTGTTTTTTTCTTATACACATGGTGGTGGCTTGCATAGATCTTCGACTGACTGACTCCTCCAGCAACGCTACGTCCTGCATCACACAGTGGGGTTGGATGGTTGCCATTGCCGTTGTCGTACCCATTGCACATCGTCTGCAACTAGCAATCAGCATATCGAACAATGTGTTAGTATCCATTTTGTGTTCGCTAATCAATGTACTTACCTGCCTCATCGCACTTCATAAAATGACGATAATCCTGAGACGCTGCTGCAAGTAGCAGACAAAGAAACCTACGACACAAAGAGAAGAATCAAGGGGCAAAGGTGGCTCGTGTTTTTGTTCAACATATGATGAAAGCAAAATCCTCAGGTCTTGCCACGTTTGTGTTGTACGAGTTTTCCGTCTCAATAGCTTGTTCACATCAGGCGCTCGCTCTGGCAACTCTTGTGTAGTCCTCTCCTCCTTTTTCTCGTTTCCTGTCAGCTAAGTTGTGTGTGTTATGTTGTTCTACTTGTCCGGTACATGCTGCTTCTTCATCGTCATTTTCGCCCTCAATACACCGTCCGACGTCTTGTGATAGATAATAGCCTGTCCATACAGTAATGTAGTTGTAATTTCCCTGCTATTCCTTCGTTCCTTGTCAGCACTCATCGTAAGGAGCCATTCTTCTGATAACAGCAACCTTGTCGAGCTACTGTTGATAAGCAAACTCAAACGCTATGTCTCGCCGCCAAAGTCACCTTGCATACAAAGGCGTTCACTTTCGGTGTTGCCGGGGACCGTCGAGCTCGAGGAACTAAAGCCGTAAAAATCGCTCGAGAATCCATTTGATGACTGCGGCACAAGGGCTGGATCATAGATCGACAATCCACCCGATGTTTGCTGAGAGCTGGACTGTCCATCAAAACCAAAAGAACTAAAACTTCCACCATCCCAAGAATCTGGCGGAACACAACTGCCACCACCACTCTGCCTGCGTTCAAACAGTCGACGCCCTGCACGATCTCGGCTTACATTCGTGGTGCGAGCAGGTGTAGTCTCTTTATCGACCCCACTTGAGCCTGTACCAAACAGACCAGGGTAGTCACCTCCAAAACTGATGTTTACATTCGGCAGCATTTGCTGTAAAAACGCGAGACCGCCGGACTCCCCGGCGACTGCACCACTATTGCTTCGTGGCAGCTCACTGTTGCTATAGTCACCACCAAACGAACTGCTAGACGGATGCATCAGTGGGGGAGCGTGGTGCAGTTGCTGTTGAGAACTTCCGAGTGGTGGAAAGCCAGACCGATCCGTTGGTGAAGGGAACCCTGAAGATACTAACGGAGCATTCCCGGCACGAGCAGCGTTAAATCCACCGAACGATCTACAGCAGTCGACAGATGCTGTATCCAGCAACTCATAACGATCTGACGTATGCGGCATACCACTACGACTAACATCTGCAGAATTTGCGAAAGAAAAGCGCGAGATATGTTCGTCCTTCGGTGGTACTGTCAGTGGCGCACCATGCACCAATGGATTGGAATTCAATCGGATACCGAGTAGCCCTGCAAGTGCCTCTGACGGATCCTTTCGCTGACTGAAAATCGCATCGATTGACGCGAACGACGATGCAGAGCTCGTAGACACAGGCGTTATTGGAGCGGCAGGCGGGAGCGAGCTGAGGCGATCATCTGATGCGTTTGAAGATTTCCATACGCTACTAGACCCTGGCGAGTTTGACATGAGCTCTCTGGCGCTACTGGCGCGACAAATGCCACCTTCAAAGCCAAGCCCAAACGGACTGTAAACATCTGCTGCATTACTAGTGTCACTGCTGGTGGCATTTGTCGTAATATGCTCTTTCTTCTCGTCGTGGCATACCGATGGAGTCGGGAATGGTTGTGCCCATGCTGGCTGCTCAGTTGAAGACCCTGTCACCAATTTGAGTGCTTCCAATGGCCTTACTACACTGTCCACGGCAAGTGTTGTATCTTCTTCCCGTGATGTGTCTACTCGTAGCTGTGGCTTTGTGCTGTGGACATCATCAGACTGATTCATTGCTGCCACATTTGCCTTACTGCTATTGTGTTTTCCAGAGACAATTTTGCTGTAAGAATCTTCGCGTGCCAGGGGCGGGTATTCTGTGTTTTGTGTTGTTGCTTCGCGTAAACGGTCCTGCGGTGAAGACCCTGGACTATTGTTGCTATCGCCTGATGCTTGTCTGAGTTTAGATATTGCTGCTGCGCTCTGTGCATGTCGCTGTTTATCGCCGTAAACCTCCTCGCTGTGTGATCTGTCTAATGTAGTTCCTCTTGCTGGAGACGAAGCCTTTGCACTAGCGGACGCTCCTGAGCTAGAAGATGATGTACTAGGTCTACGCGGTGGCGGAAACCGTGACCCTGCTCGATCTTCTGTCTGTTCATTCACCATCGATACATCTCGAAATGTCGCCTTCCTAGAATGTAAAGCTTTAACAAAAAATTGCAACGCCAGCGTTTTCCCACATCAACGAAACGACCACACAAAAGTGAGTCACACTATCTGCGCTTGAAGCTAGCAAGTAAACCATACCAGCTTGCATCTCCTCTTTTGTAAAGCTATCTTCCTCGTCGCCCAGCTCGTGCAGGTATAAACAGTCGGGGTTATTGCACTGCATATTCCGCAAAAAAAAGTTGCAGTACTTCGTCGTTCCAAATGACGCCCTGTCATGAGAAAAGAAGAAACACGCACACCACATGTCAGTTTGTGTTCACACTCCATAACAACAACAACAACAACAGCCAAAAATCAAAATGTTCTCCTCCTCACCGCAGTACACTACCGTCCAGAGAGTATCCATCTATTGCCATAATACAGCACTGTGCATCCTCCTTGTGAGCAAATGTAATATAACCACTAGCCGTAGCATTACTTCGATCTGTGGTCAAATGTGACTTATTCACCACAGCTTTAACAATCTTGCCATATTGACTAAAACACTCGTTCGAGCGTAAAATATCTTCATCGGCAAAACGGACAGGAAGACCAATGACGTAAACTAAATTACGCTGCATGACGCGAACATTCTGAAGACTTTTACGGTTCCCAGTTGTATATTTTGCCTGTGCTCCTGAACGTCGGTCATTCTTTTCCTTTTGTTTTCGTTGCTTTGCTCGTCGTACGACTCTATATATGCATCAAAATTAAAACCCGTCATAAGTACAAGATAGACTATTGCTACTACAGTCAAGAGTCTCCCGCCAATATAGAGAGACAGAGAGAGAGAGAAAAAGAGTCCGTACTCTTCACGGTCCAGTGAATTCTTCTGCTTTGATAATTCAGCGTAGGGCTGACGACAGGCTGGACAGAGTCCATTGTATTCATTCTTAATTTGATGCCAGCACCAGAGACAGACTTGATAACCACATGGACAAGCATTGAACGTTTGATCTGTCAAGTCTAATTCTTCCATACAAAGTGGACAAGTATTCTCCATTTCTTCATGATTCTCAGCCATTACGTCGAGTCTAGACATAAGAAAAACATGGAGATGAAAGTACAAGATAAGATCTATTGCATCATATAAAGAAACAAGAAGAAAAAGTACGACATGGACACGAAAACATCTTGTAAAATGACTCACCTTTTGCTCGTGTCTTGTGTCGCTGTTTGTTTTCTCTTTAATGGTTCCGACATCGGGCTGGTGATCCTATGAAATTGCATATTTGTTGTCATTGAATAGGTTAAAACAATACCCTGATAAATATGATCATTACTTGATTAATCATATTCAGCAGGATTGTACATCTTGAAGTTGAAGTGGGCGACTTTTTTGTCCACCACGATTCTCTCTATAAGAACATCATCATCATCATCTGTGATGTTGACGGCATCAATTCTCTTTATTTTTCTTGTGTCACAAAAGAGAAGGAGGTACGTACGACTAACTGACCATCACTCTTGACATGCACCAACCATCCACGGCCTCCTTCTTCCCTACTGCGAAGGAGTTATCAAGTGGTATTCAATGGTTTAAAGACCATCCAGTACTTGCTGCTGTGGCTGCTACTGCTGTATCTATGATTACGTATCTCAATGCCCTCGAATTAGCGGAAGCAGACGTTCAAGGTGTGGACGATGAGGTGACTTCTCCTCCTCGTCCTTCTTCTTCTTCTTCTACTACTGCTTCTCCTCCTCCTCCTCCTGCTGCTACTGTTATGACCAAGAAACAGAGAAAAGCTACACCAAATCGACGAAAAGGATTGTCTGGAGCACCCAGTGATGGTAAACTATCAGCTGCTGTGAGTTGGTGTGATGAACATGGCGGTAGTTTAACACAGGTGTTTGAGAATGATCCACCCACGTCTCCTGGTCAAGGAAAACGCTTGGACGACAGTGACGATGAAGCATGTGATGACGTAGCTAAGAGTTTTCTGGATGCTTTTCAACAACATCGAGTCACACTTGCCAGTGGATTACACAAGAGCGTAACGACGCAACAACTAGATGCAGTAGCGGCAATTGCTGCGGCAGTAAATGACTCGGAGGTGGAAGTTGTGCAGGCAGACAGCCCGCAGTGGGGCTGGTACGTTCCAATCACACCACCTCAGGATCAGTTGCACTTGCCAACTGGACGTGATTCACAGGTTGTAACGAGCTCTTCAATGACACAAACAACGGATACTGACGTTGAGAAATCATGAGATACATGGCTTTGGGGAAAATTCCATAGGATTCTTGAGGTATCGTATCTTTTGTCATCAAATATGTTGTAGTAATAGTAGTGTATACTGTGACACGGCGTGGATTTGAAGTAGATTTCGGTTTTGGATTGTTTCTCGTCGCATTGAGCTGCCTGTGGTGTAGAGCTGTAGGTTCACTGTACGACGGCTTTTCCTTCATCCAGCGTTTGCTTGAGTTGAGGGTTGCAAGACTTTGTTGGTTCATGCGTTTTTGCGATCGATGCATCGTACTGCTCACCTAGGATTGCTGCGTCACACGTCAGGTTTGGAATGAATGACATTGCTCGTCGCAGGATTTTTTAATCACATGTCTAGCTACGAAGCTGCTGAAATACAGCGCAATCAATGTCTTATACTGCAGGCAGTCCTCAAGCTTGTCAGTTTCCACCTAAGGTTCAGGTAGATGCACGTAAACGTCGAGTGACTATCGCGTTTGCAAGAGTATTCAAATCTTTTCAAGCTTGTGTTTCGCTGATTTGGTCGTTACACTCCGTTATGACGATTATCATTCATCGACTAGCTGAAAAAAGTCAAAGAATTTGCAGATAAGGTCATGCAACCCGTGATTAATCTTTTTCATATACTGCAAAACGTGCAACACTCAACAAGAATGAAGTCTTCCGTATCACACAAAACACATTCTCAACTCCCAAATTCCTCTCTCCATCATCCTCTTCCTTTATTTCCATTTGCTGCAACTAGACCATGCATAAGATCCCCTACTTACAACCTCGTCTACTTATTCTTCTTCAAAGCCGATGCCATTTGTTTCATGCTCGAAGGAGCACATTCTACTCCATGCACAATGTCAGCAGAAATTTCACTTGAAAACTCATTGCCACTAGGCGTAGGGGGGTAGAGGAGGCTGAGGACCTACACATCCAGGAATGCCTAGGTCACCTGTGTACGGTACACTCGATCCAAAATGACCATTATACAGCGGCGATTGGTACCCCTGAGGATTGTATCCCTGCTGCTGGTAACCATCGTAGCTGCCGCGTTGACCACCCATCATGCCGAGACATCATGGGAGGGTACATCATAGGAGCTCCGTTTGATCCCATAGGTATCGCATACCCGCCCTGCATGTAAGGAGGTATGTCCATCTCGCTGCTTTCTCCTCCACCCATGGCACCATCGTACATCCATTCCTCTTGCATTGGTGGAGGATAACCCATGACAGGATGTGGATAAGCCATGGGGCCTGGTGAGCCACCGTGGTATGGCGACAACCCATGTATTGCCATCGGTACCGAAAAGCTTGGTGTAAATTCGACTGCAGAAGCACTCAGCTTGAACTCCTTGGCATCCGGGTTCAATCCTTTCTTTAATCCAGCCTTCGATGTTTCATTCTTTGCCAGCTTAGTCCTGGCTATTGTTGTGCTTGTCGTCGTCATCGGCGAAGATGAGGACGACGACTTGCTATCATCCTTGCCCTCTATCCTCTTCTCTTTTCCACTAGATGCATCCTTTTTCTTCGGGCTAGCCCCCTTTGAATTAACCAAAACAGGCTTGTTATCCTTGCCATTCACTTGCACAGATGCTGCCGCTATCGACGGAAAAGCAGCACCTTTCATTTTTTCTGGCTGGTCCTTAGCGGCTGTCTGAGACTTCACTTCGGATTTTGCAGCAACAGCTGATCTACCTGTGACAGCTTCACTAAAAGAAAGCGGCTTGGAGGCAGTCGGGGCGGTCACAGTTGGAGTGGTCGCAGAAGCCAACTCCGAAACTGAAGATGTCGGGGTAGTCGCAGTTGGTGTGGTCGCAGGAGACGGGGTAGTGACAACACTTGCAGCGTTTGCAGGAGTCGGGGTAGTGACAGCACTTACAGCGTTTGCAGGAGTCGGGGTAGTGACAGCACTTACAGCGTTTGCAGGAGTCGGGGTAGTGACAGCACTTACAGCGTTTGCAGGAGTCGGGGTAGTGGCAGCAGTTGGTGCAATAGTCGACAGCGTTTTTGCCGTCTTCGCTCGCGGCATATCAGCGTCAGATTGACGCTGCGCTTTACGTAGAGCTGGTGGCACATATGCGTTTTCTCCAGAGGTAATGGTAGTCCTGCGATCCACTGAGCTGTAACGTGCCTCCTCATCCAAGTCATTTACATGTTTACCGCCACGCCCAGTTTGTCCACGTTCTTCTTGCAGATGGAAATTTCCAGCAGACGACTGGCTTTCAATTTCCTGTGCTAATTTCTCAGCTGTGCGTGACTGCTCGGTGGAAATCTTGGACTTATCCAGCTTGGTCGTATAAATATTCTCATCATATGTTGACACGACACCAAACAACTTTTCATTTGCTTCAAACTGATTCCAGCCGGCCTTGCCCTGGTTCTTACTATGACATTTGCCATTCAGTGTCGAATCCTCCAGTGCGCCTGTGTCCAGCGCCGGGTCCAACCACGAGCTTGCTGCCTCCAGTTCGCGTCCGTACAAATGCTCTTCCTTCCGTCTACTAATTTCTGTATCCGTTTGAAATCCACAAAGTGCTGCAGATGCTCCCGATGCAAATATACCGTCTGTATAATTAACCGCACCGTCTGCTACCAAGTGCGCGAGCTGATGGTGCCGAAAGATCACTGTACTACCGTCTACAAAAGGCTTGGCATCAACTCCACTGTTCAACCGCTTGGCGTTCTTAAGCACGACTGAAAATTCGTCCGGGTCCACGCAGTCTAAAATCCCAGCGTATCGCTCGTCTGACGCCGCGAGCTGTAGCTCCACTGCTTTACCCACGAGAAACCGAAACGCAAACAACGCACGATGTCGTAGTAATCTCACCTGTGCATCTATCGTAACAATTGCCACATCATTAGCATCCACGGTATTAACAATACAGTAGTCTTTTCATATTGTGTGACGTCAAACAAACGTACCACTAAACCTTGTCGATGGATTGGAAGTAAATCCTGGTGGTGGTATATTACTCGTCACGTTTTTAGGCTTTCCCCATGGTCCAGAGACAGGTGATGGATTCACAGGACGTGGACCTGCAGGTCCGTCTTTGCTATTGCCATGGCTCTTGGACTGTTGCGACTTTTTCTTCTTGCTTTGGTTCTTGGGACCGTTGCTGTTAGTGGTTGTTTTACGGGCTGTTGTCACTTGATTATTAGATGGTCGTGTCATTGTATTCTTCTGCATAGGATGGGACATAGGAGAATGAGCGGAGAGAGAGAGAGAGAGAAGGAAGGAAGAAGGACGCACTGGTCGCTTACTGCTTGAAGCCTCTGTTTGGCTAGTGTCACTATCTCCCAGTCACAATGTTGCTAGTTAAGGGGACTCAACTCTTAATACACAACCCGTACCATACGTCAAAAGTCTATCAAAATAAAGCACTGTGTCAAATAATGTACTCTATTATATAGAACCACCGTATTGACAGAATGTGCCGAAAGCACGATCAAATGCTGTCATGTTGCTGTTTCTGCAGGTGTTGTGTGTGTGTGTGTGCCAAATCAAAGCCTACAGTATTCTTCATGTAAAGACCAAGTTGGCGGTTGTAAAGATTTACTAGTGATAATTAGTTGAGCTTGATGAAAAACCGCTGTTGAAACTCAAGAAAGAGGAACAGACAGATGCTGTCTATAACTGACGGACTTGACTACTCTACTCGCACATACTGACTGAGACGTATACATCTTTACCCGCATATTGGAGTGAGTCTAATATAAGGCGTATTCCTACTGGCATTTGAGCGTTTTCACCGTTAGAAGTATACGTACACCGCCTCGAACGATGCACTCTTCTGTTAGGTATATAGCGTTCAAGTCTGTGTGATCAGTGCAAAGCTGTTATTTCTGGACTGACAAAAGCTTCAGAAGAATAGTTATGTTAGTCCAGAAATGACAGCTAGACGCCACGAACGCCAAAGTTGCCGAACATAGGCGATATAAGACGGCACAAAATTGCAGAAATCGTAATGACCAGGTCGTAATGTACAACCAAGTGTCCAGAGGTGATCGAGGTTGAAACCTTTGCTTTGATAATGCAGCGCTCTAAAATGAAAAGGTGTTATGAACACCTCGCGGGGATGCATATGTTTCCAGTTATTACGCTTGCTGGTGATCACGTGAACAGGCACGTATGTAACCATATCCTGTGATTTGACACGACCGCAGAGGCATTGTTCGTATGCAATTTTCTCACATTTTCAGCAAATGTAGCCAAAAAATAGTCAAAATACTTGCGCTTTAAGAAACAAAGAGGGAGGAACCAAATATGACATGATTGATAAACATATGCTCATGATAATATCAAATGTTTATTATCTTGTCAAGGGCAAGACATTCTGATGAAAGATCAGTTTTACTGAAAAAGATTACTGAAAAACCTGTAGGATATGGTATCTTATAACATATGTTAATCTTGAAACCTACAAACTATCCTACAGATTTCCCGACCAGGAAGAGAAAAAAAACAAGCTGCAACAAAACTAAACATTTAAGGCAAGTGCGAGAAAACGCAAGGAAGCTTCAGCGAAGCAGACATTCGTTACAGTCTTGTCACAATGTTTTTAAATTTAGTAAAAGTTCAAAATAATTTTATAAATTCTGCAATATGTTTTTTCTTGGAAAAAAAAACGTTTTTGGCCTTACAGCTCTGCCACTTCGTCTATCTCATATGGTTAACACATGATAGTGCAAATACCTGGTTACAAGTTTTATCTACGCACTCATACAATACTAATGAATAGCGAAGCTTCCATTTGACAAAATATAATGTATTGTTTTGTACAGCAACAAAAACAAGCCATAACATGCATTTAACTTCCTGTGGTATAAACAAGTTTCTGTACAGAACATGGACATAATACTAGCGTCAGCAATGCAGCTGTTAAAGGGGCGATCTTACGGCTATTTATAGCGCGGATTGATCTCTTCTGTTATAATAAAGTCGCATTCCGGGATTTGCGCGCTAATAGGGAAAACGATTACCTTGTCCCATGAAACCTGTGCGGCTTAAACGTCAACATCAGGTCTCTGCTGCTAACGACTGTGGCTTTGAGTCTCCGCTTACATATGAGGACCTACTAGCAGCACCGTTAGCTGCCGTCAAACTGGCCGAAGGTGGCGATTTCCCACGTCTTTTAATGACTTTGGCTCTGCGTCCACGACTAGCCAGGGATACTGACGCTTTTGGCATGACAGCGCTGCACTGGGTCTGTAGCAAGCCAACGGTGTCGCCTCGTGTAGTGCTTACGGTGGCCCGCGCGCACCCGGCAGCTGCCACTACTCGCAATTTAGCAGGGCTGTTGCCACTGCACTTGGCCGTGAGAAAACGACTTGTCCTGGAAGCCATTCAAGCGCTGCTACACGTATATCCACAGGCCATTGATGTGCGCACGCCTGACGGTAAGACGTCACTTATGTTGGCGAAGCAGAGGCCTACGGCGTCCAGTGCAGTGCTTACTCTGTTGGAAGTGCTGGAAGCTCACACGAGGACAGAGTTGCCGTCGTCCGTAATGTTACCAACGTCGCAGTGGCCCGCTTCAAAGCCAAAGATGAAGAAGAAGCAACAGCAGCAGCTACAGAAATATTGGAACAGGGAGAAAGAAAACATGAGAATGTCCGACGGGTTTCGTCCATCAAGGTCTTCAACTCAGGAAGAGACTCTTGCTGCCATGATGGCACCACATGTACCGCCTCCGAGATGGGAATTAGCATCAAGATGTAGGCTATGTGCTGCTACATTTGGATACTTTAGAACAAGACACCATTGCCGTAATTGTGGTGCGTCAGTATGTGGACGCCACTCGAGACATCGTGTGCCGTTAAAACATCTTGGACTTTGTCAACCTCAGAGAGTGTGTGAATGTTGCTTTGGCGAGCTCCAGAACCAATTTAATATGCGAAACGTAGAGCATGCAATGCGCATGGGAGAGACGTACCCGTCCATTGACAACCGCGAATCGAACAGCATTTATTCCACCAACTCGATGAGTTTGCGCGCTCGTTACCGACTACGTAGTAAATCTGTTTACAGTGAACCGGCGCAACGCCAGGGGTCGACTAGGTGGCGCTATGACTGCGATAACAACGACAGTGAGGCCACTACGAATGGCTTTACTCCTGTATCAACGCTACGAAATTGGAATACTGCATCTTCGGAAGTTGTCGAGTCTTTGCAATCAAATATTGGCTCTATGTTTGCATCTGTCGCATCCAAGCAGCAGACAGTACTTGATTGTCGACCTGTGTTGCGCGAGCAGCACGAGCACTCAATAGTGTTGGAGACTGCCCGACGTAGGAGTAGACAAGAGAGGTCTCGTCCACATTCTTCTGCTCTAGACAAGTCGCTGCATGTGCAACGGCTGTCTGAAGTGGAGAAGGAGGACGATAAGAAGGAGATGAACCAGCGAATGCAACAACTAGCGGCTGCTAAGCGCGAGCTTGGAGAAGTTATGTGGCACGATGAGGAGAACAATTCTCAGGCACGCCGCGAAAAGCTTGAGCAAGATACCGTTGTCACCAAATACAGACGAGACGAAAATTCCAGTCCTCAAGAAGACGAAGATGAGGACGAGGAGGCAGAAATTGCGGCAACATTTGCGTTTTTGAATGGTGGTCGAAGAATGAGCTGCACTGCAGACCTTCTTGGTGAATTCGATCCACCGCTTCATGTGGCTAGCGTGCACCACAAATTGGGTGAGATTTTATTGAACAAAGGAGATTTCACTGGAGCTGTTGTGGAATTGCGGCGCAGCGTTGAGCTTGGTAATAGCAATGCAGTTGCCTGGCTATATTTGGCAAAAGCCCTGGACGGTTTGGGTACGGATAGCAAAGCTGCTGAGGAGGCTGTTCGTCGTGCTTTAGAGTTGGACCCAGCTTCAATCGGAGCTTTGTCCCTCTTAGGCAAGCTACTGCATTTACGAGGAGACCATGACGATGCTATTCTAGTCTTTCGTGAAGCACTGAAGCTGCAGTGCCCGACTGGCAATCTTCCTGGTCATATCGTGGAAAATGGTACTAATTCATCAAGCGTTACTATGTAACAAAGAAACAGAACATTGTGTGGTACGATACGTACCATATCACAGTACATATTCAAAGTATTGCACTATCTGCTTAAATTTAAAATTACAAATTATACTTCTCAAATTCAAAATTCAAAATTATACTTTTCAAATTCTAATTTCTAGAAATCATTTGAATGCATTCAAATTTTGCAGTCATTGTTCACAGTAATACATACTTGTGGTGCATATCGGACAAAGCTGTATCTATATACGGCTGCTAGTATCAGTTTTTGTCATCACTCGGCACTTCGTATGGTTTCTTTGCGTCCACATGTACCAACTTGTTTGACTGCCACCACACCACAATGTGTTCAGCAAGCAACAATCACTAGGTAAATAAATGTCAATCAAACATCTTACCGGAATAATGCATGCCGTAAGCTTCCGTCCATAGCAGCAGCCTGTGTCTAAACCCGTAGCAAAGCTCTCTTGCTGCCCCGAAACAACATGAACACACATCACAAGTAAGCATTATATCCCTATTTTCTTCATTCCAACCATTCCACTCACTTGCAGTCCAACAGCCGCTGCATGTCCAAAGTATACGTGCCTGGGCCCTTTCCACACCTTGGCCCACATCGTTGGTCTGCCACCCTCTTCACTCATGAATTTTTTCTTTTCCAATGCCTTCCACTTTGAATTCTCATCCTCCGCTTTCTCACGTTGCACGAAGCGCATCTTGTACAAATCAAAAGGTCGCTGATCCTTCAGTTCAATGTCTGGTACCACTCCAGCATGCACTACAATGGCATCACCATGATTTGGCAATGACAATGAAAACGGCAGCTGCTGGAGAAACTTGACGTCGTCGGCTTGAAAGAGCTCCACGTATGAATACTTGGCTGTGCCAGGAACGCGTCCAGCGTGGACCCACTTAAAGTATGCACTTAGAGCTGCATCTTCGTGATTACCACGGACACAGAGTGAGTTAGAATCACGTACAAAGCGCACAACATCCAGTGATTTAGGGCCTTTGTTGACCAGATCTCCTACAAACACGAGGCGGTCACTGGGAGGAGAAAAATTGCACTCTTGAAGCAGCAATTGAAGCTCATCAAAACAGCCATGTACGTCACCAATGACAAGTATGCGCGTAGATGAAGGAACGTAAGTAGCCACGGAATGTACGACCAAAGGAAGAGCCACGTCTGGATGTGCTTGTTCTAGCGTCATTTTTGAATTGACAAATCTGAGTATAAAGCGACTCAGATGCACTTTGACGTTGATGTAACTCGAGTGTACCTGAACTTTATACTGACTGTCGTCTGTATCAAAATATGTAGCATCCAGTAAGACCCAATCAAGCAGATATAATCAAAACAATAGATAATCAAAACAACAAGACGGTTTCGACATGCACATATTGAGTCCGTACATATGGACGTCCATCTGTGGTATCTACTGCCACTAATTACGTGTTAAGTAATACTAAAATTGATCAAGCACCACACATATGAGACTAATCGACGAATAGTGTGTCATTCGCCTATCGGAATAGGCTCATTATTCTGCCACACGACATTGGAAGAGACGACTAGTTCAAGATTTATCTATCATATGCATTGACAGCTAATCAATTTCCACATATGCTCCCCTATCTTTTCAGTAAGATAGTGTCATACTTTTTGTTATATTATTACCCGCAGTCACTTGCAATCTCTCTCTCTCCCCATGGTCACATGTGATGATGATATATATCGATCTATCTGTTGTCTTTTGTTGTTGTATGTTTGGTTACAACATTGATCTAAACAACTAAGTTGCAACCAAGGTCGCGCGTCAAAGGTAAAAGTCGTCATCTAGTAGAAAGAAAGAAAAACGTCACATGGGAAGTCGGTCGCACTGTTGGTTTGCCTCATTTCTGCTACCGACGCTCCAACGTCAGTTACACGAACGTCTTTTTTCTGGTCAACGCTCCTCATGTTGTTACAATACAAACGGTCTGACTCTCCATCTTAATACTGTCAGACTTGATACAATATCCTCTTTTTTGCTCGTACTTTACTGTGCTTCTTTCTTGTACCTGCATAAACACATATACCTATCACAATAAATGATCAACCAATTCTACCACATATTATATAACACACCACACATACACGACCAACAAACAACATACCAACCCAAAAGCTCAAGCTCAAGCTCATTCATCTTATTGCTTCATCTTACCATCCTTCCTTACTTACATCAAGTCTTCTTCTTCTTCTGTGACCTCTCTCTCTCTCTCTCACTCACTCACTCACTCTCTCTCTATTTCATGAGTCGATTAGTTGTTACTATTGGTCATGTGGAATTTACAGGTGATAGTCAAGTCTTATACGTTGTTAAAGTACAGCAAGATCTTGATCAATGGGAAGTACGACGTACATACTCGGAATTTCGTAAATTACGTGATGATATCCAACGTATTATGAAGGATGAACGTGTTTATATAGTTGATGATACATTCTCTCACGAGTTTATACGTGAACTTCAGGATGTAACATTTCCAGCAAAGCGGCTCTTTGGAAGCAAGAAGGATCATGTAGTCAAGTATCGTGCACGAGAACTCCATCGTTTTCTTCTCAAGCTGCTCGCACTTACCCACACGTACCGTAAAGCACAGAAAGCACGATATGATCAATCTATACAAGCTCTACCGGTGCAACAACAGGCAGCGTATGCAGCATTACAGGAACGTACACAGGCTAGTATTGCAGTGTTTTACGTCCTACGAGACTTTTTAAAGCCAATGAAGACAGACAGTCCGTCGCATTCGAGTGACTTGATAGCGTCGTCTCGACGTGGTAAGAATCAGACAGGAGTAGCTGGTGAAGCGAGTGAGGATGTATCGATCAGATTGATTCGAGAGAGTAACATTTTGTCCATGAGGACTTCTAATGCAAGCGAACGCAGGAACTTGAGTTATATAGAAGACGAAAAGATGCAACAGCACAAGCATAAAGACAATCAGGCGGAAGAGCTACGGAAGGAACAGCAGCAGAGACACCAGACGCAGCAGATTATTAGGGCACTGTCAGTGGAACGCAAGAATGAAGCAAGTAACTCTGCTAACAACAACTGCGGCTCAGTAACGTCCCAAAATGGCCGCGGGATTAGTAGATACAATTCAAAGACCTCAAAAATAATCGAGACTTCTTCCCAGCGTTCAGGGACACATGCCACCTCGCTTTGTGGACAGCCTGTGCAGAAGACACACAGCAATTCGGCCTTGCCAAAGGAGCACCGGAAAGAGCGGCATAACTCGACGCGGGATAGCAATAAAGTGATTTGGAAACAACGCTCGGCACGTGCAGGTACATCGATGTTGACGCACAACCCTGTCACTTCGTCTCCAGGTGACGGCTCAGAGCCGGAGAAGGAGAGCATGATCACGTCTTCGTCTATGTCATCCTTGGCGTCGTCTGCGTCTGCAGACGAAGTAAAGCTTGTGGATTTGTCCTCATTGATGCAGTACAAAACGAAAAAAAGCTCAAAAAGAGGCAGTCTATCCAGCGACAAGACGCATTCATTTCAAAAATCTTGGAGCACGGAAAAGAGTACGACGTCACGCAGTAGAGAAGACAAACGTTCTTTGCGCACAAAGAGAAAAGCAAAGTCAGCGAAGAATATTCCGATGAGTGACTCGGAACGGATGTCCCGTGTCAGCTCGGCTGTGAATGCTCAGACCTCAATTAATGCACAGCGGGAACTAGAGAAATATCTGTCCGAGTACAGTGCCATTATGATATTGCGTTACGTAAATCGGTTTATCAACAAAGCTGTGATGAGAGGGCCAGGTTGCTATCACGTAAATGCGCAGCAGCAATTAGTGATTGATTGCAAGCGATTCCTTGAAGAGCTGGAATTAACGTTTACAGACTTGCCAAAAAACTTTGGTGAACTGTTTCACATCGGTGCACCTGGTGACCAAGATGAGTGGGGCTTGCCTCCGGCGCTTAACAAGTATGTGCAGTTGAAGTGGGAATCGTTTCAGGCAATGAGTAGTAACAATATCAGCCACAATAATGGCCACAGCAGTATTAGTGATTTTACATCTGACTCGAATGACTCGGACACGGATTACGATTACGAGGAGGTCAGTGGTGGTGGCTATATGACGGCAAAGCATACGTTCTCGAATGGTGAAGAGTCGATGCTGCAGGAGATGATTGCCAATGGCACGGCAGGACGTGAGCAAATGCTTCGGTTACGACGACAGGTGAACGAGCAGGGCTGGAATTGGCGCGAAAATCCAGGATCTCGATCTCAACGTCTGATCGAAGAGGCATCATCATCTGACACGGATCGAGAAGAAAGTATAGCGCAACAGCGAGAAAAGCGCAGCGTGAAACGACGTGACTCAAAGAGGAGCGTGCCCTGTGACGTGGAGAGATACCAGCAAGAGCAGAATGCACGACGAAAAGACCGCCTCAGTCGAGTGCAGAGTATTGGCGGTTTTGTATAAGTTACTTTCAACTAGCGAAGCAGCGAGTGGAAGGAAGAAGTCAAGTCACTGGATAGAGGCGTCCTGATTATTGTAAGTCTCCTGATCCTCCAGCCACTACATTCTATTTGGTTAGTACAGTAACAACCATGAACATTTCAGTCGTTTCTATTATTTGTATTCTCGCTGCTCATTGCTCATGTGTACAATGTGGTGCATTCGTTCGGTCATGTCTGTCTGCCTTTGGTTTTAGTCTAAGGTCATTCATCTTGGCATGTAGTCGTGCAATGACCAGATAAAGTAACTTGTTAGACATTGCATGGTCCTACAATAGTGCACACTCTTTATAAGATTTTCTTGCTGTCTGTGGACTTCTTGATAGGCACGAATGTCAGCAGGAGGTAGCAGAGTACGAGGCCAACGTGACCACAAAAACGCATGGAACGATAACCTGCAACAGCCTCTTCCCACGATAGCACCACGAACGATACAGCCAAATAGTTGACAACCATTGCTGTACAGATCATACCGACAAGGTCGTAAAGTGGCTTAATTGCACTGTTTACAACGTACGGACGAACGTGACGTCGAGCTAAGCGGTTCACAGACGTCGCCAATGGCACGGTGAGGAAGAACAGGTAGTAACCCGGGTAAAAGCCGTGCCATAGAGCTGAGACGGAATACGTGGCGAGTAAGGAGTTACCTGTACGGGTGTACACATAGCGCTCAAGCCAATTCTGCGTGCCCTTGTTCCAAGCTCGCGATATCTCTCGAACATTGGCACCGAGCTCGAAACCCAAGATGTCGACATTGCTGACTCCGTCCCATCCTTTAGGGTTGTTCTGCTCGTCAAACCCTTCACATCCAGTACCTGCGAGCACTGTGGCTCCTTCTGCTAGTTTCCAAGCCACGTAGTACTTAGCTCGGGTAAGGAACAGCGCGATGAAAAGCCGACCCCACTTTATCAACATGGACTGGTTCTCATCACTCAGAATCTCCTTCAAGTCCGCAAGAGCTCCAAATTGCACGAGTAATCCCATTAGACCAAGTCCTAGCACCAACTTGGACATTGCAGCTCGGGTAGGAGACACATTCCGTCGGATACCTTTCTTATCAATAAACCGAGTCTGATGAATTGCATCACTGTACTCTTTGTATTCACAAGCCGGACCTGCCAGGAATGTGGTGAAACAGTAGACGAATCCTAAGAATTCCAATAGTGATGGAATCTGAGGAATAGCAAACTGTTTTCGTGACTGTTTCACTCGTTTCATGTGTTGTGAGTCTCCCTCTTTCACTGTAGTAGCACTAGCGACAGTACCGTCGTGGTAGTTGAAAGCAAAGCTTGTCAACTTGATCAGTAACAGCATTTGACTGGCCGTTGCATCCATACTCCATCCCATGTAATTGACTCTCATGCGGTGAATATGCAGCGCAGCTACGTACGTCATATTAGCAAGAAATACCATGACCGGGGCACGCTCAGGAGGTAGCACATAGACCATTGCGTACGTCAGCAAAGACGACAGCAATGAGTGTAGCCATCCTGCACCATATACAAACTGTGCAATGCTTATACCTACACAAATGTGTAGCCAGTGTTTCATCGTAATGGATGGCAATTTTCGTACAAGAATCGCTAATGGATAGACAGCGAGAAGGCAAGTAACACATCGAAGTTGATCCACAGGCAACCCACTTATTTCGGAAAGATGAGAAAGCTGATCATTCACCACGATGAAACGAAGTGGTGTAGCAGCTTCGCTCAATGCTGCTAGAGTAGAAACCATTGTAGAGCACTTGATAGTAAATTGAACAATGATGGAAGGAAAATGACAGGTTAGGAGAGGATTTGGCAAACAGGATTGACATCATTCATGATGTTGATGTCATGTGAGACGTGTGTCAATGACGCACTTTCAAACGACCAGCTCAGTAAACATGATATAAAGGGATAAAGGGATACAGTGAGTCAAGTCTTGGCCCAACGATACTATCATTATGACCTACAAGATGTAAATATAAGATTATACAGTTGACAGGCTACTATTTAAAGCACCCCCACGTCACAGTTTTTCGCGTGTCTCACATGCTTGCTACGTTAAGACTTGCACAGGTGCGAAAGTTCACATTAGAACGAACAATATTGTGAAAACGATGCTCCTATTGTCTGATTTAACCCTACCGATTCTGTCACAATCAGTGCAATTCGTCATTTTTTTTTCTACATCTAGGTCAAATTATCAATTTGAAGTAGTTTTGTATACACCTTCCCTCCCTGTATACAAACTAACGATAAGGGTGTGTCGGTATTTCTATCGGTACGATCCTGCAAATATTTCGGTACACTGTACCAAATGTACCCATCATTTTGAACCGTAGCTGCTCACCATAGATTATTGTATCATTCTCAGATTCACCCATGGATTACGTTGTGCATACTGTCGAGTTCTTGCAGCCATATGCAGAATTAGTGACGCCATTTGACTTTAGTTTCTTGTATAGTTACGTTGATAAGCTCTCGACTTCTCTCAATCTTGGCAGTGATCAGCTTCGTTATGTACTCTGTCTCTTTGCTGCATATCCATTAGCTGTTGTATACAAATTCCTGCCAAGTGCTCATCTCAAGCATTTAATGGATGTGATTGTTGGTATTTCTATCGCTCAGTTTGTCTTGGGCTCAGGCTGGATTCACTCGTTCATTGCGAGCTTTATCACGTATCTCTTGGTGATGTTTGGACCACCCAAGCATACACCAAGCATCGTGTTCTTGTTCAATATGCTGTACATGTCAGCTTCACACATTTATCGTCTTTACGTGGACTATATGGGCTGGACACTGGACTTTACAGGACCGCAGATGCTGTTGGTTATCAAGCTCACAAGCTTTGCGTACAATTACTACGACGGTGTAGTCGACAAGACGTTTGAGAAGAAGAGTGGACACATGTCTTCCAGCATGAAAAAAGTGTATGAAAACCGTCAAAAGCTTGCAATCCAAGAGATTCCGAGCTTGTTAGCATTCTATGGCTACGTTTACAGCTTTACAACGTTCTTGGCCGGACCGGCCTTTGAGATTCGCGAGTATTTGGACGTGACGACCGGCAAGAAGTTCCGTTTTGATGGTAAGAACAAGCAGCCGTCCAGTGTGCTAGCAGCCTTCTCCAAATTCTTGGTAGGCTCGCTGCTTATGGCTGCGTTTGCCGTATATGGACCCACGTACCCGCTGTCGAACCTTCACGACCCCAAAGTTGCGGCTCTACCGCTGTTGTACCAGATTCGCGACTTGTACATTACGCTCATTTTCTGCAAAGCGAAGTACTACGCCGCCTGGAAGGTATGTGGTGACGATACCGGTCGGAGCATTGTACATAATTTACAATGAGTTTTTTTGTTTTGGGCAGATTGCTGAGGGTGCAACAGTATTGTGCGGCTTTGGTTTTGAGGGCTTCAACAAGGATGGTTCAAGCCTTGGCTGGAACGGTGTGAGCAACATGGATATTCTGGGCTTTGAGTTTGCGCAGAGCATTCGCGCTGCTTCTCGCGCCTGGAACAAAGGCACGCAAAATTGGTTGGAGCGCTATGTGTACACTCGCACGGGCAACTCGCTCATTGCCACGTACTTCGTCTCGGCCTTCTGGCACGGATTCTATCCGGGCTACTACCTGTTCTTTATGAGTCGTAAGTGACTGTTCTGCTACAACAGTTTGAGCTGCTGATCTGACCAGTTGTACCTTTGTGTGCTTTGCAGTGCCACTAGCTACGGCTGTGAACCGCCTGGCCTTCAAGCGTCTCCGTCCACGTTTTATTGAGGCCGATGGATCGTTTGGAGCCAAGAAGAAAGTTTATGACTTCTTGAGCTACCTGCTGACGCTATTTGCAATGCACTACTTTGTGATGCCTTTCCAGGTATGCTGCATGCATGAGTGGCTCTGTTTATCTAGGAGACTAATCGTTATTGCTCGCTACATTTGCTTCGTATAAACGTAGGCGATGTCGTGGGAGAATTCGCTGACTTCGCTGAAGAATACGTACTTCGTCGGGCACATTGCTGCTGTCGTGCTTTACGTCGTGCTTTCCGTCATCCCGACACCCAAGCCCAAAAAGAAAATTGAATAGAACGATGGATAACGAAAGCAGCAGAGACGACAGTAAAAAGGCTTGTTTGCAATTTGCTGTACTGACTTCGAGATTGTTGCTTTGCAGTTGCAGCGAACGGAAGTAGAAAACAACGACGACGTGTAGGGAATAACACAGGTCTCCCTTTTGTGTTTGTTGAGCTGCAGCATCAAAATATCATCTACATCTCGTTGCGAGACGCAAGGTACTTAAGTTCCTGACAAAACCTCTGAACTGGGAAGCCGATAACGTTGTTGCTACAGCCGTGAATCTCCTTCACGAAACAACGTGCTTGACCTGTCGTCAAGAAAATCTCCGTCAGATCACCACATGACTTTTACTGTTAGATATTGTGTCTCACCCTGAAGCCCGTAAGCTCCTGCTTTATCCATCGGTTCTCCCGTTGCAATGTAAGCTGCACGATAACCAAAGTCAGCATGATCGATACCTCCACATAGGATCTACTCTAGACAACGCACCGCGAATATCTTCGGGTTCCAAGTGGCCAAAGAGCAGACTTGTCTTTTCATAAAACAAGTGCGGGTTGTTCATCCCCCCTCTTTGCAGTAATAAGTGCTACACCTGAGAAAACGTCATGAACACGACCTGAAAGTTTCGTCAACATGTTAAACGCGTCCTCTTCATCCTCTGGTTTTTCCAGGATGATTCCATCCAGCACGACAACCGTATCACATCCAATGACAATTGTAGAAAGCTTGGAATGCGCTTGTTTTTCATGGGAGACACGATTCAGGACATCAAGTGCCTTTTGCTTGGCATTTTCAAGCACGTAACGATCAGGTGTTGGAAATTGTTCCTTTGGTAGATTTTCCTCAAAAGACGATGGAATTACTTCAAAGCAGAGACCCTGAATCGATTCAAGCAGGACAACAAAATCAACGTTATTTATACGTGAAGAGATGAAGGAATTGTAATCAAACAGACAACAAACTCAGGACGTACACAATCACGAAGAAGTTCAAACCGACGAGGGCTTTGTGAGGCGAGGATTACACGATGATGATCAAGGTGTTTTAACAATACTGACAACATCATGGATTGTCAAAGGAGATTTGAGTCAAAAAAGGCCTTTAAAACTTAGATACGTGCTTTCAGAGAGAAATGTCCGAGAGAAGTCATCCGATAACGATGCTGCTCAAAACGTCTCGAGATGTATTTGTCTCTCTACCAAGTCCACCATTGTTTGCTCTATCCTCAAGCGTCGATATCACGATTATTGCCTTAGTTTGCTGCCAACAATCGCGACCTCGTCACAACTGCCGTACCCCCAGGTATTATCATCGTCCTCCACAACAACTTTCACAGATGTCGAATGCACCAAACGTTGAATTCAGCGTGGCGATATGTGGGTGACACATTTGAGGCGACAACAGCATTGTAGACTTGATGGAGTCCAAATATATGATGAGGTCACCCATACTTTGGCAATACAAGCTATCATTGCTAGGGCGCGGATGCGTAGATGAAAGCAGCGGCAGTATGCGTCAGCAAGTCTCGCAGGATGAAGTGATAGTCACCAAGCACATGTAGCAAGTCGTAACAGCCCAAGTCGATGCTCACAATGACCTTGACGTGGTGATCACAGTGCTTAACAACGCTATTGAAGCTCTCAACTAGTTCAACATGATATCACTGATGTAGAGCTTCTTCGTAAAAAGCACCGGAAGCAGTCGAAAATAATCGTTCAACGTCAAGGTTGTCAAGAGTCCGTAGTAACACCAAAAGTACTGACCGTGATCAATCGCGCACAAGAGTATTCCTATGTGGCAACTGACGGGCACATCACCATTCCGTCGTAGCCAATACAGCATCACTGGTCCAATGAGCCAGCCCTGGCTACACTTCTTCCAGCGTTTGCTTTACAACTGATTTGGCGAGACTCCACACACTTGACAAATTCAAAAGCGACCGACAGACCTCAGGAATTTCCAGACACGCAATTCCTGCCATTGATGCACGTAGCTTCCGTGCTTCTCACCTGCTATTTCTGTTCCACACAAATAAAAACATTGGCGCGCAGTGAAAACTCGACATCGTAAAGCATTACCTCTCAAATGTTCAGCCACGCTCAGCTTGGAAGCACAACAGAACTTTGATAGCATAGTTTGCGACAGTAATGACGAGCTGTACTCGTTCCCCCATGGAGTAGAAAATGATCCAAAGACATGATTCCCATCATGGTTGTCGAAAATGCACCGCAACTAATGCAGTGCAACAGATGGCATCTATACCAATAGCCTCAAGTAGCAAGGTCCCACACGGTCGCTAATGCCTCGTGGTCTTGAGGACGCAAAGCCAGGCAAGATATGCATTCTCTAGTTCCCAGGCGCATTCGTTTCCTGTCTTGCTTTCATCCAGTGCAAAGCGCCGACATGATGTATTCGTCCCAGTGTACAAGACGTCTATATGCTATAAAGCAAACATTCATCACCTGGATCACCTGCAACTACTTCATTGCCGTCCATTTCCAACCAGTAATAAAGCCACCTAACTACTCAAACCCAAGTCAAATACTTCCTTCTCGCTCAACCTAAACAACGAGCACATCCAACACAAGCAACAACAAAAACGTCAACGCCGAAGGCCGAAGCCAACATAATGTAAAAAAACAACGCTGCATTATGTCTCGCTCCTTTTCTCTCTTTTTCTCATTCATTCATTCATTCTCTCTCTCTGTGTCTTGTCGTCGTCATATCTGAAAAATCATCTAAGTGCACGCCTTGCCCTGGACACAAGGTACCACCACCAAAACCTCTCCCAGCTATCTGACTCTGCTCAGCCCAGATCAGCTCAGCTTTGCTCTTCTTCTCTTTTTTCAGCTTCATTGTTTCTCACGTCTTGCTCATGGGCATTCATTTTCCTGTAATACACTATTACGTGGCCAATTGCTCTCCAAAAATAGATGAAAAAGCAAGAATCTCCTTCTTCGTGTCAAGTTCATTTCTCCTTCTCGAGCTACAACTTCTTGCTCCATTCCAATAATGACCACTAATAGGAATCCATCGAGATCGTCGATGCTCTTGATGACATGGGTAAAAACATACTGTCTCGCATACTAGGCGTAAGGGTTGAAATACTTTCCCGTGATCCGACACTAAACATACGATCCGTACGTTTACTCTTGCGTTTGTATACACACGTGTCCTTATCTATCCGAATTCCCCATTGAAATTCATCCGCTTTCGTCACAACGTCGAGAAACTCATTTAGTTTCGCAATGCGATCAATTATCAATTGATCGGAGAAAAATCCAGTCAAACTTTGCGTTTGTAATTCAGGAATATCATGATCACTGCTTGGATTTTTTGCCTTAAGCGTTGCAGCCAAATTCCTAATAAATAACAGTATATAAAAAAAAGAAAAGAGATAGAGAGAAATCACGTATCAGTTACAAAACAATACAACGTCACAAGAAACAAAAAACAAAGTGAGGTGGATTATATCCATATTCATCTATACATAGATAGATATTATCTCTATCTTCCTTTTCGTTTTTGTACGTACAAGAATGTGCTGTATCGATGCCAGAGCACTAATGTGCCTCGAATGTCTGTCTCAATTTGAAGTTTGTATTCCACATATTGTCGACCTTGTTTTGTCTTAATCCGACTATCAAAACAGATAGAGAAAAAACAGATAAAATCCATCCACATTATTTTCACCTTGTTGTCAATATTCCAAAAAATCCAACAGTTTTCACGTAAAAGAGATCAAAGCACACACAACGTTTACCTGTCCACGACTTTAGCTGAGAGCAATGAGATTTCGCGCATTTGATCAATTTTCGTCTGATACGAGTCCAAGGTCTGACGTAATTGTACGTGTTCACGTCGTAAATCCACACTAGCATTTTGTAACGCCATATTGAGTATCGAAGCCCGTAGTTTTTCATTCTCTTCCTCAAGCTGACGCTTTTTTGACGCTGCCTCGGACAGCTGCGCTTCGTATTGACGTGCAGCTTCTTCTGCTCGAGCTACTTTATCAGCGGCATCGGATAGCACACGCTCCGTTTTGTGGGCGTGCCCATACTGTTGTTGTTGTTGTTGTTGTTGCTACTGCTGTTGTTGTTGTCTGTATGTTGCTAGAAAGAAAAGAATCGAACAGTCCGTTTATCTGTAGGTTAGAGAAAAACAACAAGAAGAAAAGAAAAAATTTTCCCATGAGAAAAAAAGCCGGAGGATTTTTCCATATTTTATACTCGTTACTTTTTTTTTACCTAAGGCGACAGGGGGGGAGGCAATCAATTGCTTTGAAAATGTGGAAAAAGGGAGAGAGACCGTTGCTTGTTTGCTGCGCGAGAAAACTGGTTTCTGTTGGGAAAGTTTATACACTTTTTTGCACAAAACAACTCGGCGACGGCGCCAAAATGTTGTCAGTTGCTGCTTGTACGTTCAGTTTTGCTTTGTCAGGTGGCGGCAATGTTATTGGTCGAGACGAGATGGCTCTTAAGGACTGAACAGAAAAAAAGCGTCTTTTTTTTTCGGTAGCTAAATCGTCACGAGTTGTATTAAAACAACGTCAGAAGATGTAGTAAATCTCAGTGTGCGGCCGAGTTGGACGATATTCACGAAAAGATGCCACAATGGGCCATGATTTGCTCTTTACGTGTCTAGATGACAATTTGACGACATCGTTGCGTTGGAAAAAAGTTGTGAGGTAGTAGGAAGCTCACGTCAGCTCGATCCACTACATGGCAACGTTGCATTGATGATTACTTACTACAAGTACTTTTGTTATACTTCATGCTTTATGCATTATTTTATGTTATACTGCATTGAAAGGGTCTTTTTTTATTAGTAATATTTGCAAAGAGGCATTAGGCATGGAAAGAGTAATGAACATCGTTGGCGTTTTAGACTGCGGGCAGTGACAGACAGAGAGTATCCTGAGTTTATGAGATTAACATTGATAATACTACTTCTGTATTGAAAGATTTTTACATATTAACCTCACGTTTATGATTATGTACGCTTTCTACAGATTTCAGTTGCGTCTTATGTTGGCGTTGTACTTTCAATCCGTGTTTTTCTCACGGCGTATATTCGGATATTTATGACTTAATGTATTAGGAATTTGATTACAATTGTAATTTGAGTCAATGGTCTGTAATTTGATTGGTCATTAGTTAGCAATATAAGCACGTGTACATTATTTTAGGACATATACCCAACTTTGGGTTTGTACGAACAGTACCTTCATTATCTCGTGCAATATGCAGCTGTAAACACGCAAGAACACAAGCCACAAAACTAGTAAAGTACATTTTTACGCTGCGTCAGGGGAGTGGCAATGCACGTGTGGATGACGCAGCAGTGTTGATAGACGAGTAGATCGATATAATGATACAGTAATTAGGCGCAAGTAAAACTTGGACAGTTGATTTTCCTTGATCCAGCTAAAGAGCTGTACAGAGCGTTATATGAAGCCATGCACCTTTAATTATCATGCTGGGGTGTATTTGATCTCGTGCCTTACTTCAAATAGATACAGAAGTATGACAATGTAAGACAACCGATTCCAGTTGACGGTTGCATCTGGTCCGTGTGTTACAGCTTGCAAAGTTACTATTTTCAGGCTAACATTAGCACCAATTTCATTGTCGAATGCTCATGATTACGGTGATGATAGGACAAAATCGATGCAAGACTATCCACTGGAGGCTTAAACGCTGATAGAATTGTGCGAACGGAGTTAGACCAATTACATTCATTATTGCCATCGACTACGCAAGTTTCAAAACACTAGAATACGAAGACCAGCTAGAAGCCAAAAGAAGATGCTTGCCCAAAATTGAATGACTATCATCAACATGTTTTGTGGTAAAAAATGTGCAGCGTGGGACCGCTACTTGCTCCGACAATATCGGTTTGGGACGTGATGGATCGTAAGACAATGTCGCTGTTGAAGAGGCTCAAGGACAAATACGTCATAAACACAACATTGCATTTAGCTAATGCTATTCCACATAGTGGTGAAATGATCTGCACATTTTTTCACGACCAAATGTCTAGAAGGTGTGATAAAGGAGCCAGTAAAATGAGCGCAGCAAGAACAAGAATTAACTAAGTCGCGCAAGACTTACCAGAGGGTATATATCGCAGCTACATGAGTTTTAGTTATTGCAGCCGTAAATATAATCGCATGGTTTGGTCTTACTAACCTTTTGTAATGATGTAGCCGATCCCATTAAAATGTACGTACACAGTACCATATTCGTGCGACCGTTACAGATATCTGTCGACGTTATTCGGAAAAAAAAACTTGCACTTTCACTGGTATCCGTATCAAAGCAGCTAAATAGCTATGGCCCTGACCACTACTGGTCCAGTGCTAAAGGGCTAGCATATGTGGATAAACTTGGTAACTGAACGAATTTAGACCAGAAAAGATCAACTGAGACAGGTGCTATTGTGCCAGCAATCGATCTGAATCCGTCAAGAGGTTCGCGTCTGGCGAGGTCAAATACAATTTAGCGATCACAAAGACAACTTTTAGCTACTTTGAGCTGGCACTGCATAATCTTTACATTTTAATGACATGCAAAGAAGCCTTATGATGTTTTATGCGGGATCGCACCAGATCCTATGCTGTGACAGCACTTCAAAAACTATTACTAGCTGTAGCATTAAAACGGAGACATACAGCTTTTCTTCGTGAGTATGGCACTTATTTTAGTCTGGAGCGAAATATCGGAATGGCCCAATCAACGTCAATTAGCACCACAACCGCCCTAAAACTGTTTCCATTCAGTTGAAATCAAGGCACGTTTACTTCACACAAGACAAAAATCTGACTTTACCTTCTTAGACCAGATCGTTGTGCTTGACCAGCTTCGTTGACGCCATCATCGATCCAGAGCGGTATCTTTCTAGTCAAGGTCTATAAATTGCGTCAATTTAATAAGTGGATTCCTGCTTCAAAGCTGCACCGGCAGACTTTTAGCATTAGAATCCGTACTTTGACCTTTTTTTCTTCGTTTAGAGCCGTAATCGTCTAAGCTTGGTTATCACTATGTCATTACAAATATTACATAACTTTACTAGGGTATAATATATATTTAGCTTGCATTGGCCAATTAGCGATGGTCGCAAGCTCAGTTTGGATTTTAACCAAATAAGAGTAATAGTTTCAAGGTGGATAGTTCTTGGTTCTTTGGCTACCTGCTTTTTGTAAAGTTCGTCAGCTCATAGAACTAAAAGAATTCTTAAGTCTAAGTCTTCCTCTGGCGCTTACCATTTGCAGCCCCGCTGCAGTTTTTCACGATGAGCATTGCTATCAGACAGCAATGCTCCATGATGCTGGTGATAATGGGACATTACCAATGCAAGACTATCCACTGGAGACTTAAGGTTGAAAGTCTTTTGTGAACAAGGATCTAACCACTTTTGTAATTGCCATTGCTAACACAAGATTCAAGACACCAGATCGACTATTCTATAGCATCACAGCTTTCAAGTGTGCCATGCTTAAGTCTTTTTGATTCCTGTCAAGTCAAGAATAGCCAAGGTTTTCAACATGAAGGTTCTGACTTGTCGCGTTGCATGTTCAACGACGTGCGCGGTATCGCAGATCGATGCGGTGTCATACGCATTTTTCGCGCTAATTGATTAATGTGTTTGTAAAAGCGTCTTGACTTGTCAAGCGATACGTAAGGTCTAACGCAAACGTGACGACGAGCTATTATGACAACTACATGAGGATGACACCGTTGTAATCCGTTCTATCCGCTTCTGGCATCGAGCCAGCTCTGTCGCTCTTTTTTTTCGATTTCAAAATGTGTTGGATTGTCGACGATGAGGAATCTGGCAGATGTGCTTGCTTACACAAAGGAAGTAAAAAAATCTACGAACCAGACACCCGCATTTAACAGTTGATTTGATTTTATCCTTATAAGATGTCTGGTGGAAACGAATGTGACAATCTTCTGGAAAGGATATGACTTGCGTGATGAGCGGGAAATGAAACAGAAACTTGTGAAAGCTTTTATACTTATTTGAAAGCTCTACCATCATCATCAACACGCCTTCTTCTTAGGCGTGGGACGCGAATCAAAAATAACTTAGTCGTTGACAAATTAATTTTTGTGGACCTACAGGAACATGTATGTCATTGTATCGTATTTACATAACTAGGTTGCCATATGCTACAACGATGCTATTCAAGTCCGTTTCTTACAGGCTTAGTTTTGGCTATTTCGTTTCGTCAAGGAGATTTACATGAGAGTTGTTATCTTGACCAAAAAAAAGGATGGAGCGGCAATATAATTGCTAGCAGTTATCTCGACGGATTTATTTCAACTTTTAGGTTGTCATGGACATCTTCAAATGCTGCAATGTAGAGTTGGGTCTTGCAAGAGGCTATTGATTATGATAGGTCATGATGGTGTGGAAGTTGTACTGCAAGACCTGTTACAGGTAAAGTGTAACCTCACCTGATTGGCTAAACTTGTTGACAGATGCAACAGGGTGGTACAGATGCAAGGAAGAACAGAAATGGGATGAGGAGCTAAGGTCGTTACATGGGACAAAAAGTTAAGGTTGTTACATGGGATAAGAAGCTAAGTCCGAGCGATATGGACGCTACATGCGATGTAAAACTTGACCAGATCTAGTTGCAGTGTAGGAAAATGCATGTTATATAGTATTGATCGACAAAGTTAACATTAAATACATCTTATTTTTACTTCTACCTTCTGTGCAACAAGTGCACATTTTACTTTCTACAGGTTATTAGCCGTAATGGCGGCAGAACGAAAGAGGCTGCACCCACTGTGGTAATCGACGGTCAGGACTTGAATAATGACCATCCATTGGCAGTGCCTGCGGCGTCACTGGACAAGATGCTCGCCATGCTTTATAACCTGTCGGAACGGCTGGGCACGATGGAATCCTTTGGAGCATACCCCAACCAGGAAAAGGTCACTGGATGACTCGCCGGCTACCCATCTAGGTTTCCGACAACCTGCTTTTGCTGGGGATCACAAGGTTGACACACCGGCTTAGGTTAATGTCAACTACGAAATGGCGTAAAGACCTGAGCCTGAATTTCAAGGACACGGTGTACCTGCGAGGGAATATGCGAGTACGCATATGCTAGGTCCGGTGTTTCATCAATTTAGACAGGTGTGGGAAGGCGGACTGGATGGTCGTCAAAGAGAGTTGGCATTTGAAGCTTTCAATGAAAAGAAACTATACCATGAGTCGGCATTTGAAGCTTTCAATGAAAAGGAACTTTACCATGTGTACGGCGTATACCTAATTATGTAATATATGTACTTAGCTAGGTCTCCTTATGAAAGGGCTACTAGATTGCACCTAGCAGGATGTGTACGGGTGCACCCCGTTGCACCATGGACGACCGATTCGCTGACGGGGAGGTGCTAGTGCCAACTGATTGTATCACTGTAAAATGAACGACTTGATTGGCTGGGCACGATCGCGATCCGTACTGTGATGTCCACACCGTGCGATCCCCCTTTATTGACCATTCACGATTATAATTTGGCCTTATTCCAATTACTGGATCACCTGATCGCCCCATAAAAGACAATTTTTATCATCGCTTCTCTACTAATAAGACAGATGCAAATGGTGACATTGAAAAAAGATACAAGGTGTGCACCCATTGTGGATGTTCAGCGCATCAACGATGTGCTAATTGTTGAAGTTTTTTTCGATGGTGTTTCGAGACCATTTTTGTGGATATCAATCACCAAGAAAGGAGATTATGACGATCGTTAAAGACGTCGTAGCTAAACTTAACGATAATGTTCAACATGAAACCATGTTTCATTTTCATCGTCAATTTGGACATTTGTGCTACGACACCATTATAGATGATGGCTTGCAAATCCTCCTCTGGTATTCAACTGACTGACACCAAGCGTATCAACCGCTTGGCCTGCGCACAAGGCAAGCAACTCAAGCATCGACAATCACGCAAGGATTGTGGGTTAACTTTACCCATTGACGTGATTGGAGGTGTGGTGTGCTCAACCTTTAAGGTTCTGTAATGAGATCGTCTCGGCAACCGGTACCTGGTAAAGTATTGATCATCGTTCGAAATATTGCCGAGTGTTCCTCGCGAAGACAAAGGACGCTGCTGATACGAACTTCAAGTATTTCTTGGTGGCTTTGGAACGCCAATTTAATTGCCGTATACACGTTCTACGCGCAGACGGTCAAGGCAAGTACAAATTCCTTAGCGTGTTTTGCAAGGAAATTGGTGTCTCTCGACATGTTAGCGAGCTGGACAAGCAGGGTAAGCAATGGCAAAGCTGAATGCATGAATCGTACCGGATGAATGTGGTGCAAAGCATGGTGTTTGCTAGTGGGCTACCTTGACGTTTTGGGGTGATGCTTCTGAGTATGCAGCGTAACCGAAGTCCCACCTAGGCGAACGACGGTGGCATCTCACCAATCGAAATGTTGACTAAAAAAGACCGGGCATAAGTGACATCGTGATTTTGGCTCTTCATGCACGGTGCATCTGAAGGCTGCAAACAAGTCTTTGGGTACACGTGGAAGAGCGGCCATGATCATCGGCAAGAACGATGAGATGAAAGAGAATCGGGTGTACATACCAAAGGTCGTGTGGTGGTAGTTACCCAGCACGTGAATACTGTGGAGACCCTAACAGATTTTTATGAAAGAAGGAGATTGATGACAAGCATTGCAACAACTCGATCCATGCTCAGTCTAAAGGATGAACGCGTGACCGACACATGACTAAATCAAGAAGGATTGATAAAAACGATTTAAGGAGTCAAGACGACAATATTGAAGGTGCTAATATTGTCAGCATTGTCAGAGAAAAAAACCAAGAAATTATGGGAAGGCTGTCAGGACAGCAGCAATGACAAGTGGGCCAGAGCTATCAAGGAAGAGCTGGAGACGTTGGAAGAAATGGTATGTGGGTTGTGGCTGTACCGCCTGAGTCTTCGCACGTTCCACAACAGATGGGTGTCCAAGACAAAAAAACTGATGCCAACTCAAACATGGAAAGGTAAAAGGCAAGACTTGTTGCATGTGAAAACGAGCAACGTTTTGGAGTTGATTACACCTTGACTTTCGCTGCAGTAATGGAATTTGGTACCGTCAAGGTAATTTTGGTGCTCTTTCGTATATGGAAGGTGCCTGCACAACACGGTGATATTCCAACGCCTATGTCAAGGCTGACAAAGAGACGGATCTCAACATTCACATGCGATTACCAAGTGGGACGCAAGTCAGCCAATACGTTTGAAAGAAACTTGGAGTCACGAATACGAAAAAATTGCTTAGTCCGTACAAAGAAGTCTTTGTACGGACTGAAGCAAGCTGGAAGACTATGGAGCAAGTTGCTACACTCGAAGTTGGTTGATTTGAAATCTCGGCAGTGCACGACGGACATGTGCATGTACGTCAAGCAGATTGACGGAAGCGTAACGGTCGTTGGTGTGTACATCGACGATTTTTTCTGGTCACTGGAACCTCGAGCATGTCGTAAACGATTTGTTTACATGGTGTCCCTCGAGATCAAGGATTTGGGCGTTATAAAACAAGTTTCTTGGACGAAGTATTAATTTGAACGATGATGTTGGTGACGTGCTGGATCAAAAAGAGACAATCGACTTGCTGTTAAAGGAGCATGGTTTGGGGTCAGCGAAATGGAGTTCGAACCCCTATCGGCGACGAGTGCAACGAGATGATAATGAAGGTTTAGAATTGTTGATGCCGACAGCCAATGTTAGACTAGCAAGTCTCAAGGCCTTTCAATTCATCGTTGGAAGTCTCTCGTGGATCGCACGTTGCACTCGCCCTGATATCTGTTTTGGGGTGCATCGGGAAGCTTGGCAAACGCACAAGCTGAAAATAAAAGACTGGAAGATGGCAAAACGAGTCGCGAGGTACTTGAAAGATACGAAGACGTTGAAGTTGTGCATTGATAGCTTAAGTGATCCGGAGGACGACATCAAGATTGAAGAGCTGGAGTGATGCAGACTATGCTGCGGACAAGTCCGAAAGAAAGTCAGTATCTGGATTGGTGCTGACTGTGGACGGTGCTATAGTTTCCTGGATCTGCAGAAGAAGACTGGTGTCTCGTTGAGTACTATGGAAGCGGGTTTTATCGCTGCGTCGCATGCAAGTCTTAAGCTTTTTGGGGCTAAAAGAGTTGTTTGGTGAGCTGGACATGAAGGTGGTTGAGCCTATGCCAATGTGGATGGATAATCAAGCGGCAATCAACTTGTTGAAGAGCGAGAAGAGTTCGTTAAGCGCGAAGCATATCTACATTTGTTTTAAGCTTATCTGCCACTATCTAGCTCAAATTGTGCAGCCAAATTTTGTCAAGACGGATGACATGATTGCGGATCGTTAGCTAGGGGACTACCGGCACCAAGGATTTTGATGTTGCGAGAGCTTTTGAAGCTGAAGGCCATTCAGGATGACGTCGAGCAGTGTTGAAGTTATCGCTTTTTACAGGCTGTCAAGCGTTCAAGTGTGAGCTGCAAGACCTGTTATAGGTAAGTTTCGACTTCACTGATTGCTTACATATGTGATGTAACGAAGAACGCTACGTAGGCGACCAAGATGTCAAGGTGGATGGGACCGGGAGAGGAGGTCGACCTAGATGTCGCCCAAAGAAAAAGGTTTGTCGATGCCGTACTCTTTCATCATGTACGTCTCTTTCTACAGGTTATACCAAATCGCATCGAGCAAACGGTACCCCGTTAACCTACCAAACCATTTGTGCTCCGCATGCCGAACGAATGGCAGAACGTACTTGACGGGTTAGCGAAATGCTATCAGTCTGCAACTTTCTGTCACCAAGGGTAAGATTAGCTTCAAGTTGCTAACGCAAACAAGCGGTCTCTGTAGAACATATCTGTATGGCATTTCTGCAAAGGAGGTAGAACGTAGAAGTAGAATAGAGTGCTTGTTAACTTCTTTCGTTTACACGATACACCATGTGGTTCTCCTCCACGGCAACTTGACCTGGTCAAGTTGCAGATGGCGTGCGTCTAGTCCGCACGTCTCCATATGCTGATTCCACATGGAGGTCCTACAAGCAATTGGGTATGAGTCTTACGAGGTAGTTCAGAAAGTCAAGATGATAGACAAAACTAGGGCTTACATGTTGGCAGAAAGCTGACAGGTTTGGGACGATGAGAACAACAGACAGCAAGCCGCATCATGTTGATCGACTTAGAGCTGCTGCTGCCAATATCCGAGGGCGAGGGTTGCTAAGGATATTTTGCTTCGTTATGTCGAAGAGAACGCAATTTGCGACTTGCAAGATCATTTCTGCATGTAAGTATCATGGCGTAGAGCCGTTGAAGAAGAGTATGGATATTCATTTCTCTTTTTCATCTCATGCCACTCGCAATGCTAAGACTAAATGGCGATTCACTACCATGAGAATGCATGGCATCTCCACTTCGCTGAGCCTTCTTCTCAATGCTCTCATGCCCCAAAGTGGGAACTTCTCGTCACCTCGCCCGCTCTTAATCGTCTTTCCTGTCCTCTTCTACACAACACACACCAACACGGCTCTCTCGCTCGTGTCGCCTTCCTCACTCACTCACTAATATAAGGTCTTTCAGCGAAGCTGCGTCTGCCGAGACGACCACTATACAATTTCATGATGATCTTGTCATTCATTGACTCAACTTGGCACCTTTCCCAATACAGGCCACTTCTGTTTTGACTTCGTCGTCGCCGCGACAGATTATCGGCCTGCCTCGGAGTCTTCAATGCTTTTATTCTTTGATTAGTTCAAGTGCTCGTTGCCAGGCATATACGTGAAACCGTCAAAGTGCGCTTGTGCACGATGCGTTGCTCCTAGCTCCTGCGTGACTGGTGAGTCGCGCGCCATTTCACGCGTGAAGATGTTGGCAACGTTGCCAGTGTCGGCTTCACTGTTCACCACAGGCTTAAAAGGAGGCTCTATCTCGCGCTTCAACAATTTGTCGAAGTCGATACTAGCAAAAAACGGGTGGTCCATAATTTCCTGCACGCCCGAAGGGCCGGAGCCTAATCTCTTGGCTGGGTCTCGGCGAAGCAGACCCGTCAGCAAGTCCTTCGCATCTTCCGAAAACGCCTGGGTGAAAACAACGTCTCGATGTAGAATGTTATGAAACATGCGCTTTCGGTTGCGGTCGAAGAACGGCGTCTGTCCAGTCATCATCTCATATAGCAAAGTGCCAAAGCCCCACCAGTCCACAGCCTTGCCATATGGCAAGCCCTTCAACAGCTCTGGTGCAATGTACTCGGCCGTACCACAAAACGTCTTGGCACCATCCGGCACGTCAACGTTCTCCTTCGATAAACCAAAATCCGTAAGGGCGATAAAACCCTTGTCGTCCATCAAAATATTCTCAAGCTTCAGATCACGGTAGGCAATGTTGAGCTCGTGCAAATGAGACATAGACATCAGTAATTGTGCCGCATAAAAGCGAGCACGCTTCTCCGAAAACTTGCGTGACTTACGCAAATGGAAAAACAGCGAACCGCCGTTGTAATAGTCCATCACCAAGTATAGCTTGTCCTCGTTCTGGAACGCGTACCGAAGACGCACCACAAACGGATGATCAATGTCGCGGAGGATACGACGCTCTGACTTGGTGTGTTCTACCTGGTTTTTAGCAAATACGGATGCTTTCTTTAGCACCTTCATGGCGTAAATTGCGTTCGGGTTTGCTGATACGTCGGGAACCTTCTTGCGCACAAGCATGACCTTACCAAAAGCACCTTTACCAATAACCTTCAGCAAATCAAAATCCTCCACACTAAGCTTCGAATTTCCAGGAGGCTGAGCATTTGACTCAGATCGGCCCTGGTTCGACATCTGCGTGTCCGACCGGTTGCGCGTTTGTGAAATGTCCGTTGAAGCGTTCGTAGCCGTCACAGCGTCACTCGTAGTGCGGTTAAAGCGTGGGTAAGTCGGAGGGGGCTGAACGGGGGCCTGGTTTGTACGAGGTCCTTCCGTCGCACACTCAGTACATACTCGCTGAGCCGTACTAGATCCCGGCAAGAAAAGTCGGTCACGCGAACACGCATTACAAACAGCACGGTGGCACATGCGGCAGTGGTGACGACGGTCAAACAGCGTAAAATGGAACAGACAAAGGTTGCAGTGCTTCTCGCTGTTGCCCATTTTTGAGTTGTTAGCTTCACGCCGGGCAGACTCTTGACGCTGCAGCTGTGGAGCACTAAGGCCGCTAGCACCATTGTTAATCACTGCCGGCGCTGAAGCGGGAGGTTCAGGAACAGGCTTCTCACCAGCGACATAGGTCGTAGCATCCCGCGTATCCAAGAAGCGGAATAGCGCCTCCTCAATCTTATTAATGCAAAAGGCAGTCACGTAGTAGTGGTTTGCGTGAGCGCGAGGTGGTCTACCAGCCGACAAACACGTACAACCGGTACGATGCGGAGCATCACCGTCCAACTTGGTCTGAAAAGGTTGATCGTTGCTTTCCCAGTACATTGTGCGATGTGCCAGGATTGACTTGACCGACTGCGAGTCACCATCTTCAATACGATGGCTTGATTCAATCAGTGCTATTGCACCATTACGTCGCATGAGCTGGTCACCACGTGATTGCAACAAGTACTTGATCAGCACGCCACCATATGAATATCCCAAAAAGTACACACGTCTTGCTGCTGATCCTGCAACATACGAGTCCCATAATGAATCCATGTGTTCTTCTGGACTCGAGGAGCCTGGAATTTGAAGTCTCTGTTTTCCATCCCGCATGATAATCACATTTTTGTTTGGATTGGCGACAATAATGCCATAGTCTTCATCCATAGCTTTACGAAAATACTCGAGCATACTTCCACTTTTGACACCAGCATGTAGTACAAGTCCTCGACTCCATAGTCCAGGATATAAACCTCGACTAACAGCGACAAAGATCAATAACTTTTTACAGGTTTCATAATTCCTTGATACAAAGATATTTGCTTTCACAGGTGCTTCCGGTGGACTATTTGCTGGTATAAAGACTTCACGAAATCCCAATTCTTTTCGCATTGAATCCTGTACGTACTTGACAACCGTATTGATAATTTCATCTTGATGAACAGCTAGATCCGAATCATCTAATCCTTTTCCCGTAGCTTTTAAATGAATCATTCCTTCAGTATCCATAGCATATAATGGATGAGAAAATGGTAATGGAGCACTACGATTCGAAGAAGAGGTAGCAGTAGAGGAAGTTTGAACTGGTCGATCTCCATTTGATCCAGAAACTGGTGGCATTGTACCATTTGATTGCCATGATTGATGAGAATGATAGTCTGAACCAGTACTATACGTACGTCCAGGTGCCGAGGGTGGTGGACGTGGAATCGCTCCTGGTGTACCCCCATTACCTCCTGTGATACCAGTTGGATAATATTTCGTACCCCCTCCTACATTAGGCTCTTTGTTTTTATCTTTCTTTCGTCCCCATCGAGGAAATCGAAACGACATGGTAAAGACCTAAAAAAATGGTGAAAATGAGCATATAAGAAACAAAAGAGTAACACATAAAATAGAATCAGAGTTAGAGAGAGAGAAAGAGAAATATGGTAAGGACGCGTAAAGCGACAGGGGGGGGAGGGGAAGGAAGGAGGAGAGTGAACAGTATGTTTGACTGACGTATACCTTTTGAACGAAAAGGACACACGCACACGAGAGATGAAAGACGAGGGTTTTGTTAAACTGTTTTGTTAGAGATAGATAGAGATAGTTAGAGAAAACGTTGTTTGGATGGAAAAATCACTGCAAAGATTTAGTAGGCTTACACGTTTGTGTGTGTTTATCAGGCAAAAAGAACCTCGTACTGACGTGTCAGATTGTAAAGGGAATAGCACTGGACAGTACGAACGTAGACTAGATCAAGAAAAAAATAAATGGAGAAGGAAGGTCTCCTGCTTCGATTCTTCTCTTCTTTCCTCCTTGCGGATGGTGGCGTTTGGCCAGCGCAACAATCCGAACTGGACGTCCGTCTCTCGAGGTCTCTTCCTTTTGGCTTCGGCCCCCTCGTGTCGTCGTTCTGAGCACCCCCTACCCTCACTGATGATAAAGCAATTTCATTGGAGTAGACAAAAACAACGCGACGATTTAGGAAAGAAAAAAGACAGCGTGACTGGCCCCACCTCCTGAAAATGGACTCTTTTTTTTTGGAGAATGCAAAAAGTGTATTCTACCCATTTCTAAAACCAGTTTAAGGCCAAATTTTGCTAACGTTCAAAAGATGATTTTAATGAATTAAATCCGGATAAACAATATAGAAATGGTAAATGTCGATCAATTCATGACGTCTTGAAACTATACTCCCTACACAAATAAGATCATCATATAGCATGTAAAACGGTTCTGTTCTATAATTTGTTGTTGTTCAAGTAATAATAATATGAATACAATACGAATGTTCTTGGAACGATAGATTAAAGTCAACATGACGAACGCTATTTTTTACACCAATTCGTAATGTAAAAGCTTACGACCAAGCTGGTAGAATCCATGAAAAGAAGGAGTCAATCAAAATAAAGACGTTTTGTGTTTATTCTTATAAGTTTGCTTGAAAGCTAGCAAATGATAATATTACTAATTGAATAAAAACGGCGATAAACAAAACCGCCCGACCTCTTCAACGCTGACGACAGTGATAGAGAGAGAAAAACGAATCCAGCAGATGCATGTTTCAGTGACTGGTCTCTTCTCACATGAGATGGCTGACTTGTATGTATTATAAATCAACAAGAAGAGATGGAATATGATTGGGATACATTGCTGCATTGGTAAACCCTACTAACTTATTGAAAATACACCTACACACCAGTTTTGAATAATGAAAGTCTCTCTCGATTATATCGATAAGGGAAGAATCACTCACTTTCTGACAGCTATACGCCGTATAAGCTTTGATATTGCACACGACTCATTGTCGCACGCACTTGAAAATTAGCCAGAAGGGATTGATTCAATGCAAACATAAGCTATAAGCCATATATCATTGCACAGAGGTTTTTCAGGTTTTTCCTGCAATGTGAATAACTAAGTGATAATAGAGAGCGCGGCCTTAGATGCGGTGGAAAATTACCGGTTGATCAACAAGGTTAGACAACCACAGCATTCTTTCACAAAAAATGTCTGTCAAACAAAGTCTATGATCTAGAGTTATGCCAGCAGCAAAGAGTATCAGCGTCGTCGAGTAATCAAAATTGTTTGTGTTGCTGTACTGCAAAACATTGAAGGTTAGAAAGCAAGCGTAGAGTATAGCTAGAAGATCAAGAAACCAGCTTGTGGTGCCATTGTGACCACAAGCTGGTTTCTTGACCTTCTAGTTAAAACGTTTCGCATAATAGTAGTCGTGTAAGCTGACTTCCTTATTATTTATCATATTGTCTAAGTAAGTACTAACCTATACAGGCTACAAAAAAACAAGAAAACATAACTGATTTACGATTATGGGTACAACATCATTTATATTATTCATACCCAAGGAAAACCCAAAATAAAGTTACCTTACTCTCTGATTTTGGCTCTTTTTAGTGCTTGCTGGGACAGCACGATATTGCCTAAAAATCACTGATGAAATACGCGACATTTGAACAGGTGGTGCTCATGAGAAGTTGAGTGACAATAAATTTCATGCGTTTTTAGACAATGTTGGATGAGTGGCTTTCGTACACATGTAAAGTTTATATTACACGTCCTGCATCATCTTTTTTTCCATTTCAAATAATTTAGATGTTTTCTCAAGTGATAAGAATGGTCAAGTGCTTGCTGTTTCTTTTTATCACGTAAAGGATTTGAAGCGTCTTTCCACGTCATATATATATACTCACCCATATATTATTTTGCTAATATCTTCGTGGGAAATCTAGCCAGCATTGTCTACACTGACAAAAGAAAAGACGAAAACAAAGTAGTTGCATTTGTTCTTGTTCCTACCAAAAGTTTTACAAGCAACTATTTGCATTGACATGCTGAGATCGTAGCTATGACAGGCGTTACGAAAAATGGGTACGTCTTTTCGTCTTCGAGCCAGCAATTCGTGGCGTCGTACAGATACAGAAATGTTGCTTGAAGCAACACTTACATTTGGACGACTACATACCGAGTCAGTGTCGCAGCACTATGCTACATGTATTGAGTACTTCGTAGCAAAGAGGACACAGTCCTGGATTGATGACAAAATAATTAAACAGTATTCACTACAAATCAATACTTTTGCATTGGATACTAGCCACTTGCACGTAAAAGACACTGAATTGCTGTAAGCTTTTCTATTTCTTCTCCTATACATCACTTACTCACATATGTATGTACTCATCCTTTAACATTTTACACCAGATGCTTCCTACGTCGTCTGGGGTTACCATTGCTCCTAGAGCCTTTCGTGTCTGCTCTGGAACACTATGTTACTAACGGCACGACCACGGCACTTATCGTGTTTGTGTGCTGGTTATGAATTGTCAAGTATTAATAATGTTATCACTTACTTTTCAGACAGTACGCACAGCAGTTGTGGGACCACCTCCACGCGAAACGGACCTGGTCCCGGAAACACCTCGCCATCAACGTTCAGCACGTCCTCCACAAGCGGCTCGATTACCATGGCCTTCACCTTGTGGTAGCCAACCAACTCTGACTTGAGAAATGTATTGGAAAGGTAACGCACTGTGATCTCGGCCGTCTGCTTGATGTTACCTTTGAGCGAATAGACAAGGTCAAAGTTGCCATCCGACGGGTGTGCATACTTCGTCTCAAAGTACACATTGGAACCACCAACAGTTGTCAACTCTTCCGAGAAGCTTTGCCACTGACCCGCGTACTTTTCCTCTCGAGCGGGGTGGAAGATGGACTCGGCATTGCCGTTCCAGAGCTTGGTAGTAGGGTCTGAGTCGTCATAGATATTGCAGCGTTCCACATGATGTTGGTCCTCTGCAGTGTCATCCATAATCTCGTAATACGTACGTAGAAGTTGCTTACCCGTCTCGGGATCCACTGGCGTGTTGTCCGACAAGACGTAGCTGATCTTGGCTTCATGCCTGTGCGGTACAATAAGCCCGCGTTTGATTTTCAGATATACGTAGCGATGGACGCCAAGCCATCGCGTTACCTCCGACTCCACGGCGATATCCGAGCCGACGCCGTAGCTCACACCCGTGCAGGCAAATTCTAGACGAGTGGTGCCATCTTTATTGCTGGCTTGACACGTCATTACGTCGAGCGGGCGAATCTTGCGCTTAATGATGCAGAACACCGACGCAGCATGGGTGGGCGTACCTACGCCCTTACCGAAGGCGTTATCTGTACCAGCACAGAGCAGCGATACTGGTGTCGTGGCAACCAGGGTACGCCATACACTCTCCTCTTGAGTGAACACACCGTTCATGAATTCGTTTACAGTACCATCACCACCAACAAACACAATAGCCTCGTACTTCATCTTCAAATTGAACGTCGCGCCGATGTCACGTGCATGACCGCTGTACTTTGTCTCTTCTACATCGCACTGGATGTTCGCGAGCTCCAGCAGCGGTTTCCAATGTTCCCATATCTGGCGACCACGACGTCTGCCTGAGTACGGGTTCACCACCACTTTGATGCGGCGCGTCACATTTTCGGGTACACGAGCCATCCACTTCACAAACAGCTGCAGCGAGGCTACTAGCTTGGAAGCAGTCGTCTCATCGTCAAAGCGCAACGTCACAGTGCGGTAGCGGCGCAATAGTCGGCGGTGCTGCTTGCCCCTTCCTGGGAGCATAAAGTGCACGTCCACACTATTCTTCTTTCCAAAAGTAAGTGCCGCAGCGATCAGGTCATCTTTGGCAATGTGAATTTCTTTGACCTCCTTGCGGAAGACTGATACGCGTTGGCAGTTAATGCCATCGCGGTCCACCTCCACTCTCATCTTGCGCCAGATAGAGCCAACCTGCATTTCCACTAGTGCCGTCATAACGCATTCGGCGGGGAATTCTTGAATTCTATGTGAGTGCATTTCACGCACCATCTCGCGTGCGGAAGCAGCTGTGGAATAGCGAAAGCGGAGTTGACGGTTCTCTATCGCCTCCAGAGCTGCGTCACGTGGGCACCCGGCCCAGCTCTTGGAGCGTAGCGTCTCGCTAGTCTCACAGCCTTGATCTTCATCATTTTCAGGTGTCTCTTGCTTATATCGAACACGTTTGGTCGGTACCGCTACGGTCATGGCTCGTCGGAAATGGTTTGTGGCTGGTGACGGCACAGAGCCGTCAGTGGCACCATTTACTAGGCGCTCGTGATTACAGTCTTTCTCCTTGCCCGTGAGCACTTCTTCGCCACTGCTAGTGGTTGTGGTACCAGACAGACGCTTCGTCTTGACGGGAATCCCTCCGTCGTCGTCGTGTGCTGGCGCCGCTTCCATGACTTCAAGCACTTGATTCTTGTCGTCAATAGGTTTTACGGGTCCAGTATCAGGTTCATCCTCCCTCTCGTGAGTTAAAAGCACTGTCATGATTTAACTTGATTGACGTTATTCGATTCTTCTCTTGACGTCTTTTTCTTGTTGTGGAAATGTGCAAATTCACGACTGAAGAGTGAAGTGACTTGACAATGTTTGCGCAGAAGGTCACTGCCAGCTAGAGCTAATGTTACAAAAACGATAGGTATATTACGTTGAAGAGGATTCTTTAAGCGAATGATTACACTGTACATTGAATTCATGAAGTATGCATAATGATAGGGTGTACTTGTTAGTAAGGAGTGTGTGATTAGGTCCATCGTGAAAAGTGCATGTTGTCATCATACGAGTGTATGGCCGGGACTAAAAACGCCCATTTGGTTAGTAACCATTTTCAACCTTAACTTGTATCCGCTGCAAGCAATTCGACAGAATGCGTTTGATCATCGTTATGCAACAGTGACCTATCCGCTTAGTATTATCGTAGAAAAGAAGTTAGTCTTAGACATTTCGAAAAAGCTGGCCGGTGCTACTAACAGCAAAACATACGAGTATGCAGATGTTTCATGAGCTTCCTTTAACTAATAATGAGCCGCTACAATGTACAAACTGACATATAAGTGGTCAGAACATCATCATCATCTTCTACAAGAGATACACGCAACGGCAACCGCGTGCGCAAGTTTGCAAACAAAGAATCAAAAAGACTGTCCGGTTTGCAGCCCAGCTTTGTGCTGCACGTTTTCACCTGATCCTCGCTAATTGTACATTTACTCGAGTTTGACTCTAGATGTGTACTATTCAATGATCGGCTGCGTGTTCTTTCTGCATGAGCTCATCTCAGGCACTAGTACTTCACGCTCATTGCGTCGGTCTCTCGATTAAATGCTTCATATATTGCACCTTTCAAACAGTGAGCATACCCAAATCTTAAAGCACTCAAAACGTTTGAGCCCATTTCTCATCCGCTTACCTATATGCTGATTGCGTCAGGTATGCGACATGTATGTTTACGTGGTGCCCACCTTCCGCCGTGAGAAATCAAGCTAGTGGACTCATCCCGTATGCGGCGATGCAGCTGCGGTTGCAATATAGCGCATCGCATTCTGTCGGTCAGCCAGCGTACTAGTGTCTAATCTTGGTGCAGCTTTCTGCCTCTTATTTCCTCTGGTTATTGCAGACAGTGAGCCTGTCCGACCTTGCCTTGCCTCACTCCACGTTGGTGGGTTCACAAACAAAGAGCCATGCTCAAGTGGCCACAGTCAGATCCATTAACACTAGACGCGACTCTGACTTTGACTGGATTCCGTCGGTTATGAGTAGCAGTCATAGGCTGCAAAGCGGGCGACATTTATCACTGAGATACCGAACACGCCTGTAGTCTATCCAAGGTCATTCAATGTAGCCTTGAGTAGCAATTGGCTGTGTAACACTATCACATGTGGCAAGAAAAGGGATTGTTTTTGTTTGCTTCAAACTTCAACGTTGATCCCTCGGAAGCGGCAGATCACAGAAGCTACTATTGTTGCGTATACAATTACTACAAGTGTTTTCGATGATTATGCCATCCACGAAAGCTTCAATCTCTCAGTATGTATGTGGCTTCTCTTGCTTTTGTCTGCATTCCTCTGTGTTCTTTTTTATCAACGCGCCATTCGGTAACTTACCACAAATTAACATCGCCATGTAATTAATCAAGCAGACACCCCAATGAGACTGCTGCTCTTACTTCAAGTGCTTGCTATTCAGAGCTTTAAGAACATTGGGTACTCATTTAAGCGTCATCAATATGCCCCTACATCATTTAGTGTTGTAACTCGCTACTACTGGCAAAGTGATATGCCATCAGCCTTGGACATGCAGTCAACAGATCTCATTATCCTCAGGTCGACAGCTAAAGCCTTGTACGATCTCGACGTCGCGCAGTGAGCGCCGTTCAGGCGGAGGAAAATACCACGACGCCCTCATGCCATCCGTCCCGCAGATGACACTCAAATGACGCTCCAGCATCGACTCTGACTTGTCTCCACCGCGACGGGCTTCGAGTTGGTCGGCAATTAGCGCATAGAGCGGATCCTGATAAATGTTAAACAGCTCCATGACCAGCATGAGTGAACAAAACAGCCCAAAGACTGTCGACGCTGCGAGGATCCAGCCACCGAGCTTGCCTGGAAATTGTTCGCTCTGAAATCCACACGTGTACTTGCCACGTGAGCACGTTGCGTACTGCATTAACACTAGCAACATTGCCTGCACACTCGTAGTCGTCACGTACAGTAGCAGCAACAAAAAGGCTTTCTGGTTACCAATTCCGACGCAGTTATTCACCCATGGACTGCTCAGGAGAGAAAACATTGTGTTCATCAGCCACGTCACTAGCAATGAACCCATGCGTATTCACAAAGTCCCTCCCCACCTACCAGTGGTGATCTTGCAATACAACGCATCGCTTACAAACGTGGCAGTGCACAGCTCTGCAATTGCAAATGACGGATCAGATTCTACTTCAGGGTAAATTCTCATTACAACGCACCTGAATGGGCGATAGATCTCGCACTCGTCGCAGTAAATGAGCAACGAACCGTCGTCCTCACACTCTTCAAATTCGTTCAGTGGCATTTCCTCCTCGACTTCTTCTAACTCGTCGTCATCCTTAGCCTCTTCTTCCTTGTCAGTCTCTACGGATGGTATAATTCCCTTGAGCTTGTACGGTACTGTGCCCGGGTTGCTACTAAGCACCACAATGTGGCTCCAAAGGCACATACCAAACAGCCCCGTGAACCAAATGCACTCAGTCACCCCGACTGGCGACAATAGCCCCACCCACTGCGAGATGGACATGAGTACTGCCACGAAGAATCCAAAGAGAAGGAGCCATGCGAATAAGGCGATCACGATGCCCGCAGGATCCCATACAAACCACAACACACGGTTAGTTCGGCATACACGATGCAAACGCATTCACTTGTACTCTTTTTCTGCTCGTTATGACCAGCAATCGCACAGAGTATAGCGTTGAGTATTGACAGTTGTACAAATGCCTGCAAATATCCAGAAGGACTTTCTTGTCCCCACGTTCTTCTGACTAACTGCAGTCAAATCCTGTTGATTGAGAGCGTTTAACTAACGTCTTGGTCCCAGTAGCGCCGCAGCAATAGACACTGTAACAACTACACCGCTGTGCTTTTTCGTTTTGGCCCTAAACTTGTCCATGAGACCACCGTCGCTCGCTTCTGCAAGGCCTACTTCACCTCGTTTTTTAGCTTGACTAAAGCCGCGTGATGCGAGAAGTAAGTCAATCAGTCGCTATAAGAACTTCATCTAGCCCCTGGTTCTGAATGATGACATCACTGTAATGATGTCATAGTACTTGCTCTGCGTACCGTTCGCGCTGACGTCATAGAGCGGTACTCGCACATGATGCAGAGCTATTCGAATATGGTACATGATCATGTGCACGATCTCCTAATCATTCTGACGCTTTCTCTGGTAGCTCAAGCCTACGTATCCAACACGGGCAATTCTAGTTGTTCTCTTGCTTTAACCCACGCCGTTGTCGGCGATGCACAAAAGATTCGAAAGAAGCATCGCCAACAACGACTGTTTTCACTGCCTTCAAGACGTTTGCATTCCGGGGTCAAGTCGAGAAAAGTCTGATGGTTTTGCTTTCTTTGTCTCTCGTTGAAAGATGAGAGTGGATGCGCCTAACTCGTCAGTTGTGGTTTGATTAGCAAAGAGATGAATAGCGTCTAGTCCTACTCTTCCACGAGCAGCTCCAGGGAATTTGGCGTAGAATGATCGGTAGCATCGGTAGCAATACATCAGAAGTTCCCAGCAGAATTCCTTCATTCATTTCTTGATACGCAGCAAAAGCGAAGCCAGCGTAGATCCGTGCGCTCTCGTACAGATCATAAACATGACAAACACTTGGTACGTCACCTTCCCAGTCTATCTACTGCGCCTTGGAGCTGCCAGACCAACCGAACGTATAACACCATACCATTCCCCTGAAATGTGGTTTGCCAATGGTTTGAAAACGTTTCACATCTGCAGAGCCATTCGTGACGCACATGCGGATCTGTTGTACACGATCAACTTGATCTCTGGAGTGATCGCTACACAGCCCGTATTCGTAAATGATTTACACGTGAAGACGGTCTGCTCGAAGTTTTCCAGCATCTACATCACATTTGGGCTGGCCAAACTTTGCGTACAAAGTTTGTCTTCAGGTCAAGAGTATTCAGTGCACGCTAACAACCGGGATGGTGCTCGTTGTCCCCAGTATTGTTGGATGGATTGCCGCAGTGTAGGATTGTTTGACAGATGAGATAAGGACGAGAAGAGTTGCCACGTCTGCGCAGCGTCGAGCGGCAAAAGAGTCTTCATCTGATTAGCAAAGAAGCGAAAACGTTTTCGTCGAGGCACCGGAGCGTGCATAGGTTAACGAGTAGCCACGCCTTCGTCTGGCTTTATGCATCGCACGTCCACTGCACCGTATCTCGTTTGCCATGAAGATTTGATCCGATTGTGTTGGTTCGACGACACACTTTCTCACCACGTTCTCCATGATCGTACAAGAAGATTATCTTCATTGCTGCCTAGCTTGAAGCTTTCGTTCTCAATGACATGATCTTCTTCGACGTTTTCGATAGCGTGAGCGGATAGACCTCTTTATTTTTCTGTTTTGGAGCTAGGGTGAGATGTCGGCCACGAAAGTCTTGTCTTCGTCAAGGAATACAAAGCGTTAAGCCAATGAGACTTTCTAACAGTTTATTTAGAAGCTTCAGGATTGTTAAGGATGCGAAAGTGTCATTCACGATAGATAACACTTGACATGTCCTTCAATAATACGACGGTGTCTACCTCGTACACTCCATTCGATAGTAAAAGCGAAACGATTCCACATGCAATAAGGACTGTATGCAATCATAAGATGATAATGTGACGGAGTAGTTCACCGAAAAAGTAAAGACATTCTTTCTAACCTGACCAGATTACATTTTTCTTTCGTGTCATGCCTCATGTCCTTGCTTTACAACCTCTTTTCAAGCTGATCTCTTTAATTATCTTGTTCCCATTTCTCACAGTAACAACACTACACTTCGTGTCCTTTTTCAATCACTAGACAGTATAGTTAAGTACCAAGTCAGTTCTCCCAATCGACTCTGTAGTCATTCCACACACCCACATACGCACGCCGATTTATTCCCTCCCCCATTTCCCGTCTTCTTCTCCTTTTCATCAAAGGGTTGTTCTTATTATCTCTCTCTCTCTTTCTCTCCTCAGTTCATTTAACCATCAAGTGAATGAAGCTCTGGTAATTCATCCAAACAATTCTCACGGGTTTTTTATTGCGTGTCAAAAATGACCTCATTGACAAATGACACCAAATCTTCGGGTATTTGGCTCAAGAGCACGTCGTCATTGTCCATGTCGCTCATTTCTGACTCTCTTTCGTTCAGTATTGACTCAATTCCACCAGAGCTTCGTGGTGATCCATATGCACTTCGTCATAGTTTCACACTCGATCCGTCCACAATGGATGAGCAAAAGGCGTATCATTGCTACGGACTTGAGCAAGATGGGGCTCTACGACCTGGAGGACAGATATCTCTGTTCACACGACGGACAATCGGTCTCTTGTTAAATTACTTTGCTATCGGTGCTATGTTTGGTGGTATGAACAGCGCCATTGTCCCTTTCTTGAGAAAGTATCTTTTGCTGGAACAGTATCAAGTCAAAGGTACAACTGTGGCAGTTAATCTAGTGTGGAATTTTAAGGTTTTTGGTGGATTGTTGACAGATAGTTTGAGGATATGTAGATACAAAAGAAAACCATATTTGATTCTTGGGTGGGTCTTGTGTATCACGTGTCTGCTATACCTTGCAGCGTCAGGAGTACCTGAGGTTGGGAATTCACGAGAAGCGTGGAGGTATGTATTACTGATGACAATTGGGACGATTGGATACTTTTTGGCGAGTGTGGCGGCCGATGGCATGATGGTGGAGGTGGCACAACGGGAACCACTGATGACACGAGGGCATACGCAAATGAGCATTTCTGTGGCGAGGACGGCTGGCTCACTCTTTATGAGCCTTTTTGTGTCTGGAACGCTCAATGGACTGGAGTATGGAGGAAGCTTTTCGTGGTCGTTAAGTTTGAATCAGATCATGTTCGCTTTTGCAGCGTTTGCATTAATACCGCTTGTAGGGTCCATTTGGTGTTTGCATGAAGACTTTGCAGTTCAAAGGGCACTGGTTTTCTCGTGCTCCGATATTGTCTCGTGTTCTGCTGCACCGCCTAATACGACCTCCCTCAATCCACCACTGAATTTTAGCGATCGCTGTCAGCTCGTTTGGAGACTGATACGAAGTCGGATAATGTGGCAACTACTAGTGTTTGAGCTTATTTCGAGTTTTTGCTTGACGATCAACTCAAGTGCAAAACCAGCGATTGAAGAGATTTGGATTGGTGTAGGTGCCTGGCCAAATGCACTCGGGACAGCAGTGTGGAGTGTGGCTTTTATTGGTGGTCTATTTATGACTCGGTGTTTTTTTATGCATTCGGGATGGAGGCGTCTTTACTGTGCTGCAATTTTATGGATGGTGGGCGTCGATGTTGTTATGGTAACATGCACAATTTCTGATGTGATGAGAAATTGTAATTTTTGGATGTACATGCAAGTGCTTGCGGCACCAGCAGTGGGGATGCGCTTTCTAGTTCAGATATTGCCGATTATTGAGCTTGCACCGCGTGGAATCGAAGGTACTGCTTATGGTCTAGTGATCACATTTCGCTACATTGCCATCCCATTGGGTACAACAACATTTAAAGTCATCGGTTCGTATTTCTCGATCTCGGACGAGGACGTGCATCGTGACTCCGACTCTACACGGCTACAGATCGCCTACACATACCTTATTGCGTGGGCTTTCCAGCTTATGAGTCTCGCCTTCATAGGATTGTTTCCATGTCAGAAACTCGCGATTCAGCACTTGCGTTACCATGGAGGCTACAGCACTTTAGCGGGGTGGCTTGTAGTTATTGTGATGTTTTGTGCTCTTATTTACGCGACGACCGTGAGCATACTATTGCTTTCGAAGAGTACGTCTTGCCTTCGTATGGCTGGGGGCTCAGGGTGCTGAAAGCGAGGCTCATTAAGGCGATATTAGAAAAGAGCGTGCAAGATCTGAAATCCGTGCTTCAAATTCAGATATTCATGTCAATACCACATTGCTCATTACAGCTTATCGTGATCGTATCGCCTACCTTACCTCAGCCGCAAGTTGCGTTGTTTCAAATGTAAGGTCGACAATCACGTATGGGTTGTCATCTGAGCTTCTTATGTTATCAGAGTTAAGAAGACGTCACAAAGCTGAACAAATGAAGCAGTGCATGAATAAGTACCAACGTCAAAAGCGGGGCTGTTTTTTGACGATGGCTAGAACTTCTAATGTGCGCCTAACACAACCATCGAATTGCGAATGAAGAGGCATCAAACTAGAAGACCAGTCAACTATGAAGAGGAGATGGATCTGCTAATTGGAAGCACTCAGCAAGTGCTGGCCGAGGTGATAGTAACAGAGCATTCATTTGCTATAGATGCCACATATTGCAGTAAATGTCGATAAGCCGCTGCCGTGATGGCGAGCCGAATAATGATCCGTGAACATGTCGGAAAAGACTGCTAGCGATGTCGAGTGCATTAATAGCTGCGAGACAGTCGATGGTTTGTTCTTTAGCAGGTAATCTGCATGCGTGCGTATCAATGTAAACCACGATTTTTCCATGTCATTACCGTGATACGTCCATATTTCAGGTAGTTGCGTCAAGACTTTGTAGTAAAAAGACTACAAGGAAGATTCTGCACGCGTTGATGTGATGATTCTCATCTGCATTGTAAGTGGCAAGACAAGACGCAAGAAACAAACGAACGAGTGCAACGCGTTTCAACGAATGAACTAGACGTCTTCAAACCAACCTAATGAACCGATGAGATAAATGTCCTTTCGGCTCGACATCATGGTAGGAAAAGATGCGTTAACGAGCGTTATCATTGCTAAGACGATGCAATAACCTCCAAGACATAGGATGCACGAGAGACTAAACTCTACGTTCAGGTCGATCAAATAATTGAATCAAGCTCTGATCCGTCAAGATTGATAACAGAATGGACTATAACTGTTATCCTCACAGCACTCATAACGAGATCAATTCCTCCCTCATCTTGCTGGAATTGACTGACACGTGTAGGTTTTCTTCTACTGTTGTTGGTCATGTAGCATCTTCTTTAATTGCTCGTTCTGTAATGCCACATACTTGGCATTACTGCCAGCAGCTTGACGAATGTCCATCTCCTGCATAAAAGTACCCAATTACCGATCGACTTGTACTCAAATACCGATATTTTCTAAGGTTCTTCATACCTCTCGCTGAAAATTAGTGTCAGCACGATGCTCGGCCCACTTCATGACGTAAAAGCCACCAATAATAGGAGCTGTAAAGTACACCAGTCCCATAATACGCTGTCCATTTTTCGAAAGAGGAATACGCGTGTTGTGGATCTGTGTCTTCAACTTCTGATGGCGCTCACTAAGACGGCGCCAACACTCCATTGTTTTGAATTCTGAGACTGATGTGCAAAAAGTACCTATTCTTCAAATACTAGTGATTGCAATGATATACCGGTAAACCGCCCTAAGAAAGTTTTGAATTGTGTCAAAAGTTGTTTACTATTCAATAAAATCTTCCAAGTCAGCAAATGCGTCTGCACCGTCTTCTTCATTGAGAAACGCGTCAATAACAGGATGACGACTCCGTAGACGTTTCTTTCGCTTTCGAACGATCGGGATAATACCCATCAAACGCTGTCGAGCCTTTGTCTTTCCACGTCGAACGTTTGAGTAATCTGTCGGGGCAATTCTCTCCTTCACCAAAGTCATGATGGACTTTAAACGGTCTTTTGTTGCATCAGATATCGTCGTCTGCAATGCATTTTGAAACATGTGAGACTAGAATCAAACACAAATCGAGCATAACTTGATATCAACATGTGCTACATACCTCTTTCAGCCAAGTCTGGACGGTGCTTGGAACTTGCAAGAAAAAAATGTCCATCTTCAGCAAAGTTGCAGATATCTACCAGTTGTGCCAATGAGTCCCATTATCAAAACAAGCACTTCAATACATACAAAGCAAAGCACATAGAAGTACCTTGGTTTTTGTGCCGGAATCTTGACTTGCATCCTTGATACCACCAACCCATGCTCGACTTCTTAATGCCGTTGTGACTGAAGACTCATAGATGGAAAGAATACAGTCATACCACATATCAACTTCAATTGCATCTCTCTTTCGTTGCAACGATCCACTAGCTTTGCCAATACGCAATCCACATTCAATCACGTGTAAAACCTTGAGCAGCACCGTTCGGGTCTCCCACGAAAAATGACAACAGTCGCTTATCACTTTATTCACAAACTCGTGAATCCGATTGTAGCCCAAAATTTCCTCGAAACGGGGAAATGAGATGGGTTTGCTGTCTCCGTTCTTGGCAGTGATGATATTCAGTAGCGTGGATTGAGATTGTTCAAGCAGACCCAAAACAGCAACGATGGCAACGTTTTGAGTAGCATGGGAATGAAGGTGCGGAATGCGATCGTCTTTGGGTGATGTGCCTTGGTTCCGTCTGATGCCGTAGGTCTGAGAGTCAATAAGTGCATCGGAGCTGTCAGAAATGGCAGATTCGGAAGCGTAGCTAGTGTCGGAATCGGAGCCAAAATCTCCTCTCAGAGCGTTGCACGACCTGGCATCAAAGCCTTGCCGTAAACGCTTTCGACGTGCTGGCACATCACTTTTTTTCTTTGAGTTCTTTAGATCGGGTCTGCGCTGATAGCGCGTGCTAGTTGATGCGTCCATATCATCTGCCGAATCAATGAAGCACGTCTGAATGATCCCTTCAATCTTACTTTCCAACGCCACAAACGTCTTCATGCGAAGCGCAAGATGAGTCGGAAAACAGACATTCATCATAAGCCGAAGCAGTCGTGCATTGTACACAACGTTATCGCACAAAATGTCGTAGGCAAACGATGAGAGTCGATACGAATCGGAACCGTCCATACTGCAATCTAAGCTTACAATATCTGCAGCATTATCCAGAAGGCGTTTGCTTAATGAGGCGCAAGACACGGCCAACTTCGTAAGCCCATTCAGCTGAACACATGTCTTGACGTCACACAAAAAGTTACCTGATAAACGGGCAAAATTGTTCTTGTCACCAACTCCTTGCATCTCCGGCAGCTTACGATTTCCGGCCCACGAAACCTTAGACAGCGTTTCACCAAGTATATCGTGCACTGAATGGAGACCTGCAGATTTGATCAAAGTGTCTAGCGTTCGCTCTATTGCTGCACAAACGTGCTCCAGCATCTCTTCTCCACCTTTCGTATCCAACATCACAACTGATTTGGCACCTTTTCCAGGCTGAACAAGATGCCGCGCTGATGCTGGAAATTTGGCAGAGATGGAGTCTGCGTACAGAGAAAATTGCTGCCCGCAAGCAGACTCACTGCTTTCTTCACCTCCCTTGTCTGCACCGGAGATATCCGATCCTGGCAAAATGCGATCGCGAACATTAATGTACACGGAGAGCAGCATCTCGAGAATGGTACTAGCTTTTCTTAACACGTCAGCTTCATTATCCCAAGAATAAAATGCTCCAAACAAGTTTTCATCCCCGAAAGTACTGCAACACGAGTCTAAAGCAAAAAGAGCGGCTTCAAATGACATTCCATTTGGTCGTTTATCCTCCCCCGCCTTTGACATTTCTGATCTCTCCAGGATACTCCTGATAGCTGTCAAAATCTGCAGCATCACAGGTTGTAGCACTCTATGTAACCCGTATGTAGCCGACCTAACGTACTCCTTCGACAACGTCATTTCCGTTTCGTTTGCGTAATATGAAGCAAGCTTCTGTATCATCCGATGCAAACTAAACTCCACTTCCATCAACGACCAAACTGAAATCCCGCAATCTTCAGTAACGAACGCAGCCAAGTCCTGGTTGAATATAACGTGTTCACTAAGATTTGCAGCAGACCATTTCCACGTCAACATGCCGAGTGTAATATTACAAATGGCACAACCGATGTAGATGCGAGCAACAAGTTTCCACCAAGCGCTCTTCTCGCAAGCTCTACCCTGTGCTGACTGATTCAGCAGCTTATCAGAGTCTTGGCATATCCAGTGAAAAAAAAATTTCCAATTGGAAACCACGTCGACAAGCCACTGTTTGATGTCGCTGTCGCTCTCACTAAGGACTTCAATTGGTAAACCCTCTAACGAAACTTTTGACAGGAACACACCTTCCTCAAATCGTATCAAGCAAGATAGCAGTTTCTGGAACACAAACCCGGTCGATGCTGCACCATCCAGACTAGCATTTTGTTGATAAAATGCGTCGAGTGAGCTGAAACAAAACCGCGATAAACCTGAATCCTCGTCGTCGTCCTCATCTGCACTATCTTCACCATCTTCGTTCTCATACCCAGCGATACCCGTTAACGTTGGCAAAATAAACTTGCCAACCTCTTGAAAGAAAAACCTCTTGAGCTCTTCCCACGAGCTTTTCCGCAACAGGATGGCAGGTCCTTCAACGTTATCACCGCTACGTTGAAACACTTGCTCCAAACGTTCAAATGACCAAGCTTGGATATCACGAGAAGCTATCACGCTGTTTTTAAGCGCTGAAACGATCTCTTCCTGCAAACAAACAAACATATGTCAGCAATTCCGCAGGATCATGACTAGAAATATGTCACGTACTTCTTGTTGCTCATTAAAAGCTAGCCGATGATCTAGCCACGTACACCACATGTCTACCGCAAATTGTTGATGCAGCCGATTGCCACTTGACAGTAACTTTCGTAAAAATACCATCAAAAAGTTATACAAATCTACCCAATACGATATCGCATGCGTTGTTAGATCTCATCCCAGCACATTAGTCAAAATAGACCAAATGCGTACCTTTGTACACTGTGGCCAGACGAGAAGCAATCAAGAAAATGTCGCGAGAGTTGTCAAAGGACTGTTGAAATTGCATACTTTTTTATGCAGCCGCACAAAATGTGTTAGACCCGCGTACTTCACGCATTGTAGTAGCTCATATTCCTTACCTCAGCCAGTCTTGAATGGCATTGAGGTGCGGGAAAAGCTTTCCTGATTGTAAAATAAATAGTTGTGAAAGCGTTACTTTGGCAATCTGTACGGAAATACAACAAACGAGCACGCAAGTTGACCAGGACGTAGTATAGCTTTATAGTCGCGCCAAGTCTCGCCACCGTACCTTCCTCTGCGCTGGACTTTGAGAGCGCTCAAATAAACTACTGAGTATTTCAGAGCGGACTTCTGGTGCCTGTTGATATCAGACGAGCAAATTAAAAACCAAAAGCAGTCAAAATTGGGCGAATTTGCCTACCGTTTCAAATATCGCTTGTAAAAGCATAAATGCCAACGTAGGTTTTGAAATCACCATGTTATCAACATCACCGGTTGGGCTACCTTGCTCTAGCCAAAAGAGAGCAACATCCATCAAGAGCAGCGCTTTCCATTCGTGAGCATGGATCTGCTTGCCACCAAAATTAAGCACCAATTCTACTCGATCAAGCACATGCTTCTCTAAACTTTTTATCAATTCTCCTGAACGAGTTTCGTGCGATGAAGCAGAACTCGTAAATGCTCTAAAATCACTGTGTACAACCATCCACGCAAGTTGCTCGATTTCTGTAAATATGGATGCTTCTGTGGCGACGCGAGAGGACGAAGTTCGGTGGTGCAAAACTGGCTTTGACGCCTGAAGCAAATGGAGGAGAAGGAAGAAGTCACGCCAGTCTAACTTGAGACCTGCTCCACCGCACTGTGCGTCGTTATAGTGGCTGTTAGCATCCTTCATGATGGCGTCATCTTTTTCTAACACTTTGCTAGCTCGGATGGATTCGCAGACAAGCGAAACGATGCGTGGAGACTGGTTCAAGATCTGTAGGAAAAAATGTGTGTGTCAAACATTCAAACTCGTTTGCAAATAAACATTATCGTCACAAATACCATTTGCAAATTGAACTCTGCTTCTTGCCGCAAATTGACGGGTAATTGTCGGAGTAAATAGCGCGAAATACCAATCCACTTATGATCACCCGTAACATTTGCCACCAGAACACACTCTCGGATAATCGGATTCATTGTCTCGCTTGTCATCTCTGGTGACGTCGTCACCATCCGATCGACATTTTCCTACTCTCAACACATTCATCAGTATACTCCACATGAACCAGTCCGTCCATATCAAATCATCCATATATCTTCCAGTCTTCATTCGCACCTGTAATTGCTGCCAACTTTCTCTCTCCATCAACGAGACATCACTGACCAATACATCCAGCAAACTTGGCACCGTCTGGCAGCTCCAGGGCATCTCCAATAACTTGGTCAAGCTCTAATTAGACACCATTAAAAACTCTCAGCTTTGTGCAATTGTTTTCCTTATTGTATCCGTACACAAACCTCTCTCTCTGCTCTCTCTCCTCCATGAATTTCTCGAATCAGACCTAAAAAGTACGTCACAAGACCGAGTAATTGCGGTAGTACTTTACCCTTTTCTTTACTCCTCACAACGTCCTCTACGAACGAAAAGACCATGTCCAAGACGACGTAAATTTCGTCCAGTAGTTTTTTCCTTTGGACCAATTGCCTTGTCATTACTGTCTGTAATTCCTGTACTTCATCCAGTGCATTCGAATAGCCGACATTTACCTCTGTAAGTAGTTGCATGCTTTCTAATTCACTTGGACTCCCAAGTCGTAAGATATGAATAATACGTGAAGTAGCACGTAGACGTGTCGCTTCACATTGTATTAATAGTCGAACTAATGGTAACCAATCATCTTGGACAAGAAAACGGTTTTGCTTTGTCTTGTTTTTACTATTGTTGAATGAATGAGGAGCTATACCGTCTAATAAACCATCAAGCTAGGGATTGAATCATGAGAATAAATTAGAATGCATTCACTTGATAGAGAGAGAGAGCTAGAGATAGATAGATAAGTAGATTGATATTAACGTACTTCATGAGCTTCGATTGACTCTAGATAGTGACGCACAGCGTTAGTGTCAAGAACACTTGCACGAAGCAGTTCACGAGCACTGCGTTCCATTCCAAGTGCCCCAAAGACAATTATTGATTCGTCAAGGACAAGATAGAGTCGTTATTAAGGGTATTGAATTAACTGACGGTATGACAGTATGCGGTATGACGGTATGACGATATGACGGTATGACGATATGACGGTATTTCGGTATTTCGGTATAACGGCAAACTGTAGCTTGCTTGTATTAAACGCTTACTATATGGTGCCACTGAGCAAGCGGTCAACGGCAGCCTGTACGTTACCTAGTGTCGCTTGCAGCGCGCGAATGTTTTGGTCACGATCAGAGAAGCCCATGTCATTGAGTTGCGTCAATTGCAATGCGTACAGCTCCTCTGGGTTGCCTACAGGTGCTGCAGGGGTTGTTGCACCAAAACCAGCACCTGGAAAGCCACCAAACATGGCAAACGGGTTCACAGCAGCTGGATTAGACACTCCAGCAGTACCAGTGTTGTTAAGGTTCATGCCTTCGAGTCTACATCACAGAATAACAGTAGTTAGTATCACATCATATTCGTCAATGTCAAAAGTGTCACATACGTACCCTGCAATAAATCCAGACCCGCTTAATTGACTCATGGCGTTTTGCATCTGCATCATCGCCTGCATGTTTTGCGGATTCATGGCCTGGCGCAAGAACTCGGGGTTTGACATCATTTGGCGCATCTGTGGATTCGCGTTCATCACTGCTGCAATCTGTGGATTCATCGCCTCCATTTGTGCGACAAATTGCTCCGGGTTACTTGCAACCTGGTCTAATGCCGCTTGGATTAAGGGGCTCTGCATCATTTGTGCTATCATCTCGGGGTTAGTACCCATGCCTCCCATGCCTCCTATCGCTCCAAGGCCACCAATACCGCTCGTACCAACAGTACCCCACGGATTGACAGCAGCTCCAGCAGCACCAGTAGATGCAGTACCACTAGCTGCGCCTGGAATAGCCCACGGATTGCCAGCCGCAACAGAAGGTGTTGTCGAAGTCGAGGTTGACGTCTGCGACTGCGTTGTGTTGGCCGAAGAGCCGCTAGTACTACTGTTTCCTCCAGCTACGCCGGGCATTGTAAATGCCGACCCGCGAGGAGCAGATACGCCACTTGCTGCAGCGTTCATGAGCGGCTCCTGCACGTCGTGATACATGCGTCGCAGAGCATTAAACCCTTCAGGGTGGCTCTCAATGTTCCGCAGTGCCGTATCTTGGTTCCGCATCATTTCTCGCATGGCAGCAGGATTGCGCATGGCCTCCATGCTTTGCCTCAGCAGCTCGGGGTCGTTCATGATATGATTCAACTGCGGGTTTTGCTCCATCAGTTGCTGCATTGCCGGGTTGCTTTGCATAATGTTGCGCATAATGTCAGGATTGTTGAGAATGTTTTGCATCATAGGCGAATCCATCATTTGCCGCACCATTTCGGGGTTTTCAAGCATCTGTTGTTGCAACTGCTGCATACCAGGCGGGCCTCCAGCTCCCATCAAATTGCCAAACAAGTTTCCACCAGTATCACCTACAGCTCCCATAAAGCTGAATGGATTGGATGCCGTAGCAGAAGTAGCTGCAGCAGTAGATGTAGCAGCAGCAGTAGAAGCAGCAGGGGTAGCTGCAGCTGATGTTGCAGTAGAAGGTATTGCAGCTGCAGCAGTCGCTGATCGTGCATGTGCCGACCCCTTGACAAAGTAAATAGTATCTTCTGCTTGAATACCTATACATAGCCATCAAAACCGTGAAGCAAGTGTCAAGTAAAGTGATAGACACGCTATGATGTCGTACCGTAGCTTTGAAGCGTCTGATCGTCCTTGAGCACTTTACCCTTGTAAATAAGACGCTGAAGACCAATAGGTACATCTGTAAATGCCACAAGCATCTCTTTGCATTGTAATACAAAGTTCTCTAGCTCCATATCAACTGAGAACTTTTTCCCTGCCGTCGTCTTTACATGCAGCGTGACCATCTTTTTTGTGTATTAATAAAGTGAATAATAACGTTTGGGAATTTATCTACCTTCACTCTTCTCGAAGTATTGGTTTACAAAGGCTTAGGTAAAATGTCACTAAAGACGCGCCATGTCACTCTAGTAAAACTAACACACAACTATGGCCTAACTAATTACCCTAACCACCAACTACCGGTAAAATTATGGTAAACACGAGCAAGGATGTGTGTGTCACTCCAGTGGAGGAGCCACCCGCCAAGCGCGTGAAAACAGAGACAATGACGACAGTATCACGTACGTGTCAGTTCTGTACGAATAAGAAGCAAGTGTCGGCCAGTTGCATAAGCTTGGCCTGTAAGAAATGCTGCCTCATGCGGTCTCAAGTGTGCATTATTCATCCAAAAGGTACTAATTGTATCGTTGACCATACATTTGTCAAGTGAAAAGCAAGTATTGACAATTGATGGTACAAATGGTCGCTGCAACTTTTGACAAAAGAAGAAAAGCTGGAGCCCGAACCTGCGAGACCTCAGAAAAAACGTGTGCTCAAAAATGAGTTTCGAGAGACTAATTTTCATTGTATGAGAATGATTGTCAATTTTAATGACAGTGTTACAATAAATATTGGTTAAGTGTATTATCCTTTACTCTGTAGATTATGGTGAAACAGTGACAATCTTTTGCGTGCGGGATTTCTTTGAGATGAAAAAGCTGTGCCAGGGCGTGCTGAAAGACCAGGAGCGGACACAACGAGTATCTGGCAACACGTGCGGTCGTCGGAAGAAGAAAAACATCGCTAACTCGAAGATTAAGGAGCAGATACAGTGTGCACTAGGAAAGCGACCAGCTCCCGCGGGATATGGAGATGTCGAGTTACCTGCCAAGATCGCAGTCGCAGATACATAAGGAAGATTCAACCCAGCTATTATTCTGGTATTTTTATATGACACGTCAGCTGCTGCTTCAATGTTGAGGACAAATACTTGGTCTGCGCGCTCGTCTGCCCTTTTTGGGTTTCCAGCTCGACAATTGTTACTCTTTTTAGCATTATTGCTGTTACGGTGTTGTTATCGCGCCGGTTCCTGCTCATGTCCAGCTGTGTAAATCTTGGCTCACGTCGAGTAAATGAAGCATATTGGTTACGACTTGAAGAAAGACTGGCCATACCACTCGTTTTGCCTGCGTTTGTTTGCCTTCAAAGCATCTTCAATACTTTCTATGTACGTCGGCCAGTAAGCAATTGAGACAGCCAGCTCTTTTTCATCATCGCCTTCAGCAGACACTTCATCGCTTCTGACAGCCGCCTGTCGTTTCAAAAGGGTCCCCATATCTGCGATGACAACGTCTTCCGTTCAGTTTGACAGCTCGTGACCATGCGCACCACAGTTGACAATCGCAAAGTTGACTCCCTTAAGAATAACTATCGTTCCTTCCATTTACCATGTTAGACTGATATTGCAAAGTTTTTGTCCCTGGAAAAGCCAACGGACCGGCATCTTGAATTTCAACGTTTACTTCAGTCTCGGAGTAAAAGCTTAATGTAACGGCAGTAGATGGCAGCAACACTTTTACCGTCACATGTTGATCAACCACATTCTCAATGTCGTTTTTAGTACAGATGGTTCCGATGCAAAGAAGACCAAGACACTTCGGGTAATATTTTATCGCGAATCTTTACCAAAAGTATAGTTCAGTAGTTCATCAAGATGGATGAAACTACTACTTCGAATGAAACTGTACGCTACCGTCGCGAATAAGGTACTCGGATAAACGATATATCCTTTCCATCGAGACCACAGCTTTTTTTCCGTTGCCAAGCTCAAGCATCACCTCATGCTGATTATCTGCCACCGAGATCACTTTCACTAGTTCTCCCTCATCAATCAGTCCTGGTGCTGAGTCGGGATAATGCCACAAGACCTCACCCAGATGAACTCTATCGCGTGCACCCAACCGTTTTGGCCATGTCAGTACAATCGCGTGCAGTTTGCCAACATATCCTCGATGTTTTCCACGGTGACTGAACTCGGAATACTCAGCAGCAAACTGTAAAGGTAAATTAATCCCGGAAAGGCCGAACACAGGAGCGAGATCGTCCGAAGAAACAAGTGACGACGCTGACATTGCTGAGTTTGTTGGACTTACCGATGGCTCTTCATGATGTTCCCAATCCTCCACTTCATTCCCTTCTTCATCACATGTTATGTGAACCTCTTCCTCCTTGTGGTATGCCATATAGTTTAGTTCACTAGCTAAATTATCTTCGTCTTCTCCGATCAAGTCCTCCAACACTGTTGACGAGTTTAAAACTGTTTCTGTGCTTTGCTGTTGTGAGTCTTGTCTCTGCTAACAACGAGTAACATAGTTTATCAACATCCAATCACTTCCACAGCAATTAATTGAGCAAAGTCGACCTCCAAATCAGCAGCTTCTTTCCATTTGACGCTATTCTCAGCACCTGAAACTGATCCATCCAATTGATGAAGTTTTCGCTTACCTCCAAGCTGCTCGACATACAGGTTGATCAAATTCAATCAAATGTTCAATCAATGTTCCATTTGTACCATACTACAGTACTAACATTGCTGACAAAACGCGTACCATTTTGGCAAATATCGACGATGTCATCGATGTTGCTGCACTTGGCTACATGATCCACCAACCAGAAAAATATGATCATCTATTTGCAAACATTCTTCGTACAAGGCAATTCAAGTCGCACCAACTGCTTACTCGGTCGACCAATCGCTTGCTCTGAAACAAATGCCGAGTCGGGAGATGAACACGACAACGACGACGATGATGATGACGATGACAAAAATCCGTCACTATCACTGTCGCAGTCCTTTTCACTCGATAAACCGACCAGATCGACCGCCGCGACGTCGTCATCTTGCGCCACTGTATTTGATAATCCATGCTTTCCCGTATACAGCATTAATTTCTCCTGCCATTTCTACACAATATGAAAGCAAATGATGACATGATCAAATGAATGAAGGACTGAAAGGAGGTCAGGACGAACCTGCTGCAATCGAGCAATGACTTTGTCTGTAGCGGCCTCACTCTTTTCTTGATACAAAGAGCAAACGCGATGTATCACGCAAGTGTAGAACGCCTGTAACGTCGCTGCATGTGACTTATAGGGACTGCTCATTTGTCAGCATTACCGTTGACGATGAATGAAATCGTAAATGTATGGACGTTTGTATCAATTATATTAAGTACGACTGGGGGGGACCAATAGCAGGTATGACACGGCAGTGCTACATGAAGATTGACGAGTGTCATTTCGACTCTTCACTCGTCTACATGCGGCAATCTTTTTTCCTTCCAACAAAGTGAAAAACCAGTGGCCAGCAGCTACACCAATTATCTGCCGACAGATATTGAAGTAAACGAATCTACTCGACTTTCAGTCATCTTCCCTCCACCCGCTCCTCCGTCTACTGACGAAAGCTGTCTGAAGTGCCCTTATGCACGATGCGTGTACGCTGTCCACAAGAGACACGAACAAAAGCAAACGGTCAATGATTGCCGTCCTAACAGAGGGTCTACGGGCAAGTTTATTTAGCTCGTACACGTTCTTCGGAGCTCAAGACGTAATAAAGCGTAAAGGGAAATATTCCCAAGCCTACGATAGACATGAAGAACTTGCCATTGAGCTCAAAACGCTTCTCTGAGTCGCCTCGCCAATTGTTCCAGTTCTACAAGGCAAAAACAACAATTCATGTCAGTATGCTTGCAAACTCAGTTTGAACGAGATTCTGATGCAGTTGAAAATGCAAAATACGCATAACAAACACCTCAATGTGCTTGTTCTTTGAGACTGAACCACCGTGGCGGCGTTGGCTCTGCAATTGCACAAGAGCGCGGTTTGAGGCCGCTGTGCGGCGCATAATTGTAGCCAGCATCGTGATGATTCCTACAGACCGCACAATTCGTATTCTGCACAACATTGGCTAAAACGTAAACGTAATGATGACCAATCATATCAGCTGCTGTAACCTGCTAAACTTAGTTACTGTTTACCTTAGCATGTAAAAAGATTTATTCTTATAGGATACAGGATTTAACAGGTATATTTTGGCAAGTAAAGCAATAAATGCCATCGTTTTAAATAGCATTATTTTATAAAACTACTGTTTTGACGCTGACCGTCCTCATTCCGCTCAAGCCATACAAAGAATGAGTCTACAGATGCTGAACAAGAAACTACTGAGTCGCGCTGTGGCGCCAACGTTTGCGCGCGCCATGAGCACAGAAAGCTATTCATCCACCCAGGCCGCACTGGGCCGCCCTATCTCGCCTAATGTAACAATTTACAAGTTTCCAGTAAGTGCCATCTCATCCATCGCAAACCGGTTCTCGGCCGTCGGTATGTCATTTGCCTTTGTGGGTGGCAGTGCGCTGGGCGTCGTGGGTGCCGATGTGCCCGCACTCATCTACATGGCGCAGGACAGCATCCCTTTCTTTGTGCCGGTTTCCAAGCTGCTTGTGGCCTTCCCTGCGAGCTACCACGTGCTCTGCGCGGTGCGTCACAGCCTTTGGTCATACAAACCTGAGCTTATTAATAACGTGGACGGACCTACAAGTTCATACGCTATCTTTGCCGCGGCTGGAGTCATCAGTCTGGGTGCCGCAGCCTACACCATTAAGGCACCTACGGAGACGAAGAAAGAAGCCAAGGACGAGTAACATTTTCTGCTTAGCCGCCCATTGTGTCTTGTGTTATTCGATTCCGATGGATTGATTCTGCCCGAGTATATTGGAAGGGAGAAGAGTTAAGGGTAAACACAAAAAAGTCAATGTTGTTGACACTCGAGAGAGTGAAAAGCAGATAAAATGAATGAGCATAAGACATAACATTTCACAGCTTACTATCTATACCACAACACTGTGCAGCAGCTTGTTGTAGGGCGCCAAGAACTAGACCTCTGTCGTGTAAATACACAAGCCTAATTTTTTGCAAGCCTTGATACATGGCGTGCTTGAAATCCAACGACGCCTCGGGCTCGTGACGTCAGCAATCTGAGCCAATGGCCACCGACGCAGATGTTGCGTACACTTCGGCGGTCTCAAGTGCTGACGACGCCGACCAAAGTTGAAATACAGATTCTGACGACCAACAAAATACGGTTAAGCGGGTTGTTGCTTGCTGATATTGCTCTAGCCGCCTCCATGTGAACGCAGATCGAGCATCCGACCCACTAACACAAGAACATTCAAAAAGTCTAATTATAAGCTAACACAAGCCTACTTACCTGACGAAACCCTAAGCCAATTTCGACTCGCACGCGAGTCCCCATTTCAGTGGGGTCCTCGTTTGCGTCCGCTGTCAGTACATATGTATGCATGTTCATGGCGTGATATCCATATCCAAAGCGGTAGGCCTTTTTGCATGTGACTATAGTTGACATGTGGTCGGACGAGTTCTTGCGCCATTAACAAAAGTTTGTTAGTGGCGCTTATTTACAGTCGGATGACTGATGACATTCTTCCATATCAATCGCAAGTGTTCGATTCTCATGTTATTGCAGCTTGATTTTCGTGTAAGTGTAAGTGTTGGGATCTCCATGTGTTTCAATCCACCCAAGCATTTTGGCCGGCTAAGCTTTAACAGGTGCGCATCGATTGATAACAGGTGAACGCATCGATTAATACCTTGATGCGTGAAGGCACGCAATGCCAAAGTATTAGCCGGCGCAGTGCGACGCGCTTCAAAGTTCGTATACGCCGCGAGCTGGGTTTGTCATGTGTTCAAGTGCGGGACAGTCTTGTTTTCAATCGAACTTCACGGCACCGCCAATCATGACTAATCCAAAGCTGTCTAAAATCGAAAGCATGCGCTGTTTTATTGCAAATACGTTTCACGTGTCTGTCTATTCCATAGAACGAAACGTATCTTAGTGGTATGTATCCATCGATCCAGATGAGATTATCCCGTTCAGCAAGAATTATTTTTTTTGCTATCCGCTACGACCATGTAGACCGTTGTAACACAGTCTGCTTCCTATCTTGCGAACAGCCAAACCTTTGTTTGTAGTTGTTAATTATATATACATGAATTTTTGTTGTCCATATTGAGCACTAAAGACGGTATTTTTATATCATGCGCTTAATCTATTACCAACAGTGTAAACATTTGCTGCTTCTAGTGTCATTAACTCAGGTTTCTAATGACTTTTTCTTACCTTAATGGATGCAATTGGGTTTATTTGAATAGATTCATTGATTACTGTAGTAAAAAGCAAAAGTCCTGAAACAAGGAATTCGTTCAAGCTCAGAACAAATTGGATATGCTATATTACGCATATATTGAAATTTTATACATTGATTATTTATTTTTTCTTATACAAATATAAATCATAAAAGTATTATAAAGACACAAAAGTGTAGTCAGTATTGACTACAAAATTAAAAGTACACAATACAAACGATCAAAAAAACTCCAATCTAAAAAAACCTTGAAAAAGATAAAAAAAGCAATTGAACAAATGCTTTATTTACTTATACTTAATCACCTATAAAAAGTACTGAAATATGGAACAGTGATGGCTTGCTTCTTTGCCCAGTTCATGTAGCCATATCATTGACATCACCACAATGCGCTATATAACGTACAAAGGTGTCATTCTATAGGAGTGTGAGTATGGTAAGTCGATGTCATGTTCGAAATAAGCGTCGCGTATTCCATCAATTTGGGCAAATGGAAGCTACGTATGACACCGTCAGGTATCGGTTCTGCGTGGTCGCGGTTGTAGCGGACATATTGACATGACCCTAGCATGAGCCGCATTTAGCATTTTGACGTATTAGAGATGCGTATGAAACCGGTAGATTGAATTCTGTGGTGCCACGCTCACAGCGAAACGGTTTGACCATAATGCTGTCATGAGCTGCATGTAGCGTTTTGACGCATGGGAGCTGCGTATGACACCTTCAGGTATCGAGCCTTCTGTGCCACGGTTGTAGCAAATATGTTTGACCATGACACCGTCATGAATCGCATTTAGCAATTTGTATTACCTGAGCTACGTATGACACCGTCAGGTCTCGATTACGGTTGTAGCGTGGCACCACAGAATCCTCTCTAACGGTGTATGACGCAGCTCTGATACGTCAAACGGTTAATGCGGCGCATGACGGCGTCAGGGTCAAACATGTTCGATATAAACGTAGCACCACAGTATCCTATCTAGCAGTGTCACACGTAGCTCGGGTGCGTCAAATCGCTAAATACGGCTCATGACAGCGTCAGAGATGCGTATAACACCATCAGGTATCTATTTTGTGTCCTTTCAACAAGCCATTACCTGGAATCAGGTGGGGCCGGGCAGGATTTGAGGCACTCCTATCTCCGTCAATTCTTATCGACTTATAAATTTAGAGCTTACTAAATACCACAATGGAATAACTGGGGTTTTCTCCGGTGAACAGCCGCTGATCTAGAGGACTTCCAAATCATCGCATCCGCAGGCACCTGCCACACCAAGCTTTTCAGGCGACAAGCGTCGTCTCGCGGCACCGCTGAAGTATGTCTTTAATAGACTTTTCACCAAGAGCCAGAACACGCGGTGGCAACACGCAGCTCTCGATGTCTCGCCGGCTCAGATATGGAATCACGGGCACGCGGTGACGGAAAATTAATTGTGGATACGATACCGTCATGCTACAGGTCAGCTAGCTTTTGATACCAGGATCGGCCTCTAGACACTTGCATCTATCGCAAATTTGTTGGACAGAAGGAGGAGACCCAGAAGGATCTTTTTTTGGGTGTGTCCTCGTGCTCAAGCACTTTAAGCTCGGCTCATCAGTCATTTTATTTGGAGGGCACACCTCACAATCCAAAACACTTGCTGAATTACCTTGCACACTGCGCTGACCGTAGCGTACCACACATTTCACCGCAAGTTAAAGCACAGCTGCTCGCCTGTATACCCAGAAGACATGGATTAGTCCGCCACAGTCTGGCGAACGATTGGGAGGTCGCAGAGACCGTCATCATTACAATAATCTGGCAATACCGCGTCGACAGTGTGCTTTACCATGCGGCTACCACGTCTTAAGCCAGCGAGGCATTAGTTTGGGGAAGCATTCAGCTCCAACTGCGGGAGCTCATCAAACGCCTCCATTGCAGAGCTTATCAGCCGTGCATGGAGCCCGAATATCCGCTTGTTATAACATATCTATGTCAGAACCGAGAAGTCATCCGGTTTTTATAGCCGTCTGCCAGCCATGGGCACTGCCATGACCCTCTCGCGTTGCTGGAAAACTAATTACCTGATATCTTGCACGAATCAGTAAATCGACTATCTGCTCTATCTATCCCTAGTTTTTTTACATCGATAGTCAAACGGATTTAGATATTACATCAGTAGGCAGAAGTTGTACCCGAATAGTAGGTACAGTGCAACACTATCTTATTGGCTGATGTTAGATCCAGTATATTAGCCTAGACTAGAAACACACTCGTACTTAAGATAAAAATGCTTGTATAGTTTAAGTAAACGAATTGCCACTCATAGTAGTATACCATAACTTACACAGAGAAGATATTGCGAACCCAGGGGCAGGATTGACTACAAGTGATACCAGGTGTAGCCGAGCTACTGTAGCTACGCTACTTATGCACTATGTGCAGAAGAAGTAGTCAAACTACTGTAGCAAAGCTACGTATGCACTATGTGCAGAGGAAGACAAGCTCAGAGAGCTTCTACGTCTTAGGGTGCTTAACTCTCCTAGGCTAGCTCGTAAGCTTGTGCCTATCGGTTGTTGTAACCGAGTCTCAAAGAGACAAGTATCAAAGATACTAAATTCCTTAGAAAGGAAGAGAACGCTCAAGCAGTGATGCTTACAGAGCAGGTTTGAAACTGATTTATATTTATGTTTATCTTCTAACACTATAGTGCTAGTCACTATTTACTGGCTCTATAGCCTACTATTATTATGCAAACATGCATAGTCACTATACATTAAATAAATAGAGTGACCACGTGGCTCTCTGCCACGATGTGACCCTTCGTACTTCAGGTACGGTCACATCACCTACTTTTGTATCCAATGTACAGTCACACCACATTGGTGTGGCAGGTGTGTATGTAAAATACACACCTTAGTGTAACCCCGTTTTCTTCACACAATGATACATATCACTTAGCTATACTCTTTCTGGCTATTGACGACTTGCCTTGCACTTAGCACCTTTTCGACTGATGCGCCGCCTTCGTTTGTCAACTCGTTCCGTTCAAATATCCGCCGTTTCCCTTGTTACGTGCTACCACCAAAGGTCAACGTACTTAAGATGCTCCCACGGCTTCCAGTTGGAAACATATCACAACATAGCTGACATAATACAAGCCAAAACGTGACTCGTACGAGCCCTACACGTAGTTGTCCAGGAGCGATCACGCCGTGTAACCAATGACTGGGACATGTCCTTCAGTGATGGCCTTGCGTACTTGGTGTAGATAGGCAGTGAAGTACCACAGCTGGTCTGGGCTATCGATTTTGTCATCTCCACACCAGCCGTTCTCGGCGGTCGATACTCGGCAGCCCCGTGAAGCGGTATACGTTGTGGCTATTAACATAAAGTCGTTTTTGTAGCGATGAAAGCAATTCTTTGCAACATATTGACTCATCTGAGATTGGTGTACGTCCTACATTTGCTATCAAATTACGTACAACTTGATGCAACAAGGTAATTAAACCCTTATAAAGTTTCCTTGCGTAAAATTGTGCAGTGCAGCACTGCCATTGCCCAAAAGGAGTCGACACCAGGTATACATATTACACTATATTCTTGCCTTCTATTCCAAAAACCGATACAAAGATACGCTATGAGAGAATATGTACGTACCGATTTACTGTTTTTCCTTGCCGCTGCTCAGCTCTAGTTAGCGCTCAATGCAACATTACACATATATCAAATTGGAGGAATGCAGTCTAAGTAATTATCTGGGTTACTGTTGTAACTATTTAATAATCAGTCTAACACGTTAAGAGTATTGTTGGGATTGTCAGGGCAAGAAAAGCTTTTGCGCAACACCTTCCGCAAAAACTAATAGGCTGAATGCACGTGCGTCACCACACGATCTTGAATATAGTGCTGTGCAGCTGACATTCGTCGAACGGAGATGAATAATGGAGGGCTCATTTCGTACATACCCTTATAACTTAATATTGTATAATTCGACAACTCATTTCAGTAAACTAGGACAAAGTAAGAAATCATCGAGTGTCGATCCTGTGAGAGTATGTAACGTGACCCCCCTCCCTCCCCTTTATCTATGTATCCTAACTTCAACAGCTCGTAAGCCACTCATCAGTCTATAGCAAGCTGAAAAGCCCGTGGGTGTTCATTATTGGACGCTCCTACTTGAGAACTGAACAAAATGCATCAACTTTTTTGTCGACTCGCAAGTGCAGCGGTCATAGCATTTGCAATGCTACATTTTAGCATTGCTGCCGATACGCATTGTTTTGCAGACGATTTTCTCTTTGGATCGGCTACTGCTTCATACCAAGTCGAAGGTGCCGTAAACGAAGGTGGACGTACGCCAAGCATCTGGGATCAATTCTGTCGTGAACGACCAGGAGTCAAATGTGCAAATGTGGCTGACGACTTCTACCATCGTTACAAGGACGACATTCAGCTGATGGCTAAAATGGGAATGCAAAGTTTTCGATTCTCCATCTCCTGGTCCCGAGCTATGAATTGGGACACTGCAATGCATGGCATGCGTCCAAATCCAGAGGGTATTGCGTTCTACCACTCGTTAATTGATGAGCTCAATCTGAATAATATCGAGCCAATTCTGACGCTGTATCATTGGGATTTGCCGCTGGAGTTACACACGAAGTTGTCGCCTCAAGGATGGCTGAACTCGAATATTGTCCAGCATTTTGCAGAGTATGCGACGCTCATGTTTCACGAGTATGGCAGCAAGGTGAAGTTTTGGACAACATTCAACGAACCGCTGTCATTTACGACAGGTGGCTACGCTACTGGTAGCGGGGCTCCAGGTTTCACTGGTTCACCAACTCAAGTCTACGAGGCGACGCACAATGTGCTGCTCTCTCATGCGATAGCAGTTCAGCAATTTCGAAAGTTGAAGAGTACTCGTGTCATTAACGACAAGGCTCGGATTACCATTGTACTAAATGCTGACTATGCGTATCCATTGGACGCGTCGAACCCTGCTGATGTGAGAGCTGCCTCACGTAAGATGCAGTTTGACGTCGGCTGGTTCCTCTCTCCAATTGTTAATGGAGACTACCCGTTGATCATGCGCCAAGTTGTAGGCGATCGCCTCCCTCGCTTCTCGTCTGAACAGACAGAGCTGTTGAAGGGCTCGTACGACCTATTCATGCTCAATCACTATTCGACTCGAGCTGCTACGTATTGTGACTCTAGTACGTCAAGAACTAGCTGCCACAGTTTAGCAGTTGGTTGGGAACGTGATCGTGGTGTCGACATCTCTCAAACAGTCCCAGGTACCAGAGAGCGAAGCAAAAAGGCAAAACAAGATTCGCACTGCGCTTCATTTACTGCTTACCCACCAGGATATCTCGCAACTATCCAGTGGCTGCACAAGCACGACACAGCTGCTGACATTCTGCTTACCGAGAACGGTTGGTGTGGAGACGACGAGATCGATAGCCCAGACCAGCTGTGGTACTTCACTGCCTATCTACACCAAGTGCACAAGGCCATCACTGAAGAACATATCCCAGTCATTGGTTACACGGCGTGGTCGTTCCTGGATAACTACGAGTGGGGCTCGTACGAGTCACGTTTCGGCTTGTACTATGTCAACTATACGTCCGAGTCTGGGTCTCCCGACTTCTACAAGCCAAAGCCGTCTGACCTCGCTCGTATTCCTCGTCCGTCAGCTGAGTGGTTCAAGAAGGTGGCAACAACAAAGTGTCTGAGCGTGGATGAAGCTTCGACGACGACTACATCGACGCCCAAAAATGATGGACGCAGTCACCACGTGTGGCATTGGCTCTTTGCCATCGTTGCGATAGCGGCCGTTGGATTTGTTGCAGTCGTTGTGCTCATGTTTTTCGCTGGTCGCCGCCTCTGGCGTCACTTCCGTGGCCACGAGGATGGTGTAACAGGTGAAAGAACCCCGTTGCTTTAACTTGGTCCTTACGTAGTACTAGCTCCAGTTTATAGGAAGTCTTTAACGGTGCTAGTGCGTTGTTAGTGGTACTGCGCTATAAACAAAGCTTTACTACTATTCTGCGTGCTCTCTAGTATCTCCTGACAAGCATTGGTTGGATTTCTTAGTCAACTTAAGCTTTGCTCAAGCCTCGACACAAATGCGCTTGATTAGTTCGTCGAAACAACAGGAACATGTTGGTACTTACTTCTGTGTCGCAATACAAATGCTACTTCATCAAGAAGAGCCACACGAGCTTTCATCCAGTTCAGCTACATCTTCTTTGTCGTATACTTGAGAATGTAGGAGTCGTGCTGCTCGATGAGAGAACAATTTTACTTGTCTAGTCACGTAGTTTAGACTAAAGCAAGTCTTGTAGCTTCCCCATCAATAGCTGTCCAAGAATGGTGACGCCGTGTCACTACGTTGCAAGCCTTGATAGCCATCAAGACCGCTGAGTCGGCAAAATCATTGTAAAGCATGCGCCGGGCGTGTATTGTACCTTGGTGTCGTGAGATTCTCGATAAGGTGCCCTTTAGCACGCAGCTGGAACAAAAAAGTCTCGTCCCGGCTCAGTGTTGAAGGCATCATCAAATTGAAGATGCAGCCGTGATGACGCGACAATCGAAGTCATCTTTAGCAGCTTCCTAATGTCTATCTTGCAAGGATCCTATGCGATGTACGGTCAAACTCCGTTATATCATTGCCGTCCTGAGGCGGGACGCGTAGTTGGGGCGCTATTGCGGCGGCAGAAGAAATTGCCAATCAAGCGGCATTAACAAACCAAATGTTATTAATAAAGAGGCATGCAACGTAATGCCCGTTCTCAGAGCGAGCCGGGCGATTTTGGCTCGCCACGACAGAGTTGTCAATGCCGCTGCTTTAACACAACTGTCTTAACGCGAAGTAAAGCTGCCTAGGTGAAGGGATTTACATCGTACATTGTAGCTTGGAAAACCTGTTACACCTGGCCACCAGAATTGTCGGCGGCAGTAATATCGATCCACAAAGTAGCGGTTCCAACGGCTACTGCGGTAAGACTCTGCTTTATTCAAGAACAAATCACTACATCACTCGAGCCAACGTCCGCAACATTGGCGCTTGCTAGTTGTTTTCTAATGTAGCGTCAGCATGGAATATTTTCTGTAGCAACGTATAAGGGTAGCGCTCAAAAGTCTTTGCCTGGCGTTACAAAGATCAGTGCATGTACCTGCGCTGTTCCAGTAGTTTATTTTGCATCATCATCGATCACGACAACTGCTTCCCACATGTTCCCCCCTCGGCAAATCGGCGAAAGGGACGGACCATGAAGTTGACCGTTTTTTCTGATACCATTTCCGGCGCGTGCCCCATCTCAGCGAGCTGTCTGTCAACTGTATGCCGCATGCCAGCCCCATTTTAGAATTCGACACGAACGATTAGCACGAATTGACAGACAGAACCACATCAATGCTTGCCGACGGCGAAAATCCGGGAATGGTCAGCCAAACAGTGTTCCAGTGCTCGGTGCCGTACTGCGAGCGTTCGTTTGACGACAGCTACACACTGACCGAGCATCTCAAAAATCACGCGGATGAGAAGCGCCACATCTGCCCCGTTCGTGCGTGTGGCCGTCGCTTCAGCACGCAGGGCAATCTATCCCGTCATAAACGCCTGCATGGCCCCATCAAACCCCTCAGATGTCCAGTGATCGGCTGCATCTGTACGTTTCGGAGTGAGAACAAGCTTTCCAAGCACATGAAGTTTCATTTAGGCAGCTCCGTGCATGTGTGCCGGTCACCCACGTGCGGTAAGACATTCAGTACTGCGGGCAACTTAAACCGACACATTAAGGGGCATCACCCGGAGCTGGACTTGCGAAAAAAGAAGAAGATTTTGGTCTCTAATATGATGCCGCTACGGAAAGCAGACCCTTTGAATGGCAGCCCCACTGGCTCGGATGAGTTGCTACTGACTAATGTGACCTATAATCCTATGACAAGGCCCACATCGTGCGAGTCAACTATGTCACCGCTCCATGCAGCTCCATCCAGCCCGGCATCCCGATCTCCATCGACTTCGCCTATTGTATCATTGACATCAAGCTTGACCTTACCTGATCCCACATCTGATCCAAAACAGTTCGACGCACTAGTGTCCACTCTGAACGAGACAATAAAAGTTGAAGACCTAGAGCCGCATGTTTTACAAAGTGAGAATCTTTGGACTGAGCAAGCAGTAATAACTCCTCCAAGCGTACTCGATGACATGATTCGATTTCATATTAATTATCTGTAAAAATGCATGAATACTTGTTGCCGAGTAATTTTTTTTACTTACGCAACCTGTAACTTATAAAGCATAATGTGCATGTTCCATTTAATTAGCAAACATTTTGTTGCTAACAGGTCATGTAAAGGTGGGACGACCATTCTCTCATCTCCCCATGTGCACAAGGACGGTGAGGTTTATGCCCTGATTACGCACTCATGCGCTCATAATCAACCGGTCACTGGACAAGTACTGGTAGTAGTTGCTACCGGTAGCTAACTGGTACTTCTATACCAGTTCTCACAAGCAAATGTCGCTTGTAGACCACCCCCTCCCGGTGTACAGTGCTTCATACGACCTTTACTAGATCTCTTCCTTAGGATATTTTTTTTCTCATAGTAAAGCCTCCTCTCTCCCTCCTCCTCATTTCAATCTTCCAAGAACCTTTGATCGATCATATGAGCGCACCTCTTGTAAACCTGAATTTCCTTCGCGCTGGAAGACGTGGTGCCTCCGTAAATTACGGTGGAGCAATGCCGAACATGAATATGGCTGCCATCGACAATTTGTGCGGTCACGCAAGCGCATCCGACGTCTTGGCTGCAGGTTTCATGTTACCACCTGTTGCTGACCCCGCCGCTTATTCACGCGAGCATTTTCAAGTCAAATATACAGAAGACAATGAACAATCACTACAATTTGCAAAGGGTACAACTACGTTAGCTTTTATATACAATGGTGGGATAGTTGTAGCTGTGGATTCACGCTCTACAATGGGTCCATTCATTGCGTCGCAACAAGTCAAGAAAGTGAATCCAATTAATGAGTATATCTTAGCTACACTTGCTGGAGGTGCGGCTGACTGTCAGTTTTGGCAGCGTAATTTAGCAGTCCAATGCCGGATGTATGAGCTACGCAATCGTCACCGTATCTCGGTACGTGCGGCCTCGAAGCTGATTGCCAATACGTGCAATTATTACAAGCGCTATGGCATGTCACTGGGAATGATGATGATGGGTTATGATAATGGTAAACCTGTACTGTATTATGTGGATGATGAGGGCTCTCGTATTCCAGCAAGCAAGGACGCTCCTAAATTTAGTGTTGGCTCTGGATCCACGTATGCTTATGGCGTGCTAGACACGAGTTGGCGTTGGGATCTTACGGATGATGAAGCTGTGGAACTTGGCAAACGAGCCATTTACCATGCTACGCACCGTGACGCTTACAGTGGTGGCTTCTGCAATGTGTTTATCTTTAAGCCAGAAGGATTCAAACACGTTGTACACCAGGACGTTAAGGAGATGCACGACTACACGCGCGACATTTAAGTGGTGAGACGGAAACACCTGACGTTGTTATTGCTGGATGGGTTAGAAGCCACATAAGGAGACTAGGTTTTGAGAAACAACTACTGGCTTAATGCAGCTAATACACACAACTATGCGCACAAGTTTAGAAGATGGAGGTGCTAGCTGACTGATTGCCAAGTTCAGCCTTGTCAAATTACCGTTACAGTTCGTACACAAAAACGCTAATGCTCCATGTTTTCTGTTCCCTCGATTTACAGCTCGACTATCACCACTGCAAGTCTACGAGCAGCATCCCCACAAAGCCTGCACCGTCCGCTACAGGTGTAAACTGATAACCTTCACCAACTAGAAAACGCTCAACTGCCGGTAGCAGACGAACATTACCGTTCGGGCCCTTTGAATGATGCCCTGAGCCTGTGATCACGTAAATTTTATCCACACCTTCGTCTGCAAGCTTAGGCAACATTTGTGTAAGAAACTCGACAGCTTCAGCTACATGCAGTCCGTGTAAGTCCATCAGTCGATCCATATACAGTTGGTTGGGCGGGTTACGCGACTCAAATATTTCCGACGCTGCCAGAAAATGAAAGTGCTTCATCTTAGCATTGTATTCGTGCCCTTGTTTTGACAGTCCCTTAGCCAGCGCTTTGTTACCACTGCGCATAAACACACACGTAGCGATGTGAGGTCAGCATCTTCTCAAACTATCCAATTATTTTCTGTTAGCATTCCGTACTTTCGGTATGCCTGTGTAGCACCCATAAAGCATTTATTGCGCGCGCAAGCCATTTCATAGGCCTGCTCACGCAGCTCTAGGTACTGTGTCGCCACAGCCTGGCCCGTAGAAACCCACTTAGTACCAATGCCCTCACCGCTCCCGGCCTTGTGATACAGCGAGCGACACACAGGAGGTGGAGTTGGCATTCTTCGTGACGGATCCATTCCATAACTACCATTACCAGAAGAAGAATATGTGAGTGCTGCAGGTTTTGGATGTAATGCCACAGCGCGAGCAAAGTTCATGCTACGATTTGCCACTATATCATCCGTCCTTGTGTACGTATTAGTAGCAGCGTCTGTCAGCAACGCGTTGCTCCGTCTTTGCGGTAGTAGCGGTGGAGCGAAAGACACTCTCGCGGTACTCTGAAGAGACGGAAACATATCCTCGGCTTGGACATCCAAAGGCGCGCTGTTCTGGTCCATCTCGTCTTCGCTGTCGTAATCACGCTGGCCCAACGTGTCATCGTCCATTGAGTAGTATTCGCAAAAATCGTGTGCAAAAACGCACTGCTGCGCTTGCAAGCACGTGCCACGCAGCCAGAAGCGGCACGTGATCTTGTCCGTGTCGTGCAGAAACTACAGCCGCAGGCACATCAACGTAAGCCGCAACAAGAGGAGCCAGAAACTTGTGAGAAACCAATACGTCACTCTGCCGTCTCTAAAAGAGCTCGAGTCTTATCTTGAAAATGACAGACGCACCATGCAGTCCGCGCGACGACACTCGCCCTGCAAGTAATGACGGCACACTTGGCCAGGACCAAGCAACTCGCGCTCGATCGTCGCCTTCAGCACGGCATGTCCCTTATCCACATCCAGTCCTACAAGCCGCAGGAGGTCGCACAGTCGATTGGGGTCAACATCAGGGAATTTGAGTTGCAAATGGCTCACCAGCTACCAAAACACAACACACTTAGCACTCGCTGTTATACTATTTGGTCTACCGCAAGAATTACATAACAGGAGCGTAAATCCTATTCGTCACAAAGTAACATCCAAATCCAGTTCACTCTACCTCGTAGGCCACAGACCAGAAAAAGCTGTCTTCATTTTGCATCACCGCACTGTCTTCTTTTTCTTCACTTTTCTCTTCTTCATTTACCTCCTCCTTCTCTTTTTCATATACGTCATTGCTATGCAAATGAGATGGAGAAGGTAACGCTGATTGTATTTTACCAAACTCAACCTTTAGACGTCCCGTCGGGTGGAACTCCGCCACCATGGGTGACAGATACATGCGAGGTACAAAAGTAGGTGCTGAGGCTTTAAGCTCTTCACCATGATCCATTGTTATTTGATTAATATCGTTCTCACTCTGCTTGTCCTCGCTACTTTTTTGCCTCGTCAATACCATCACCACGTCCGTGAGCTGCCTTGGATTATTAGCAAACTTGACAAGCTCGTCCACAAACTTCCGTGCCCGTTCCTCATGAACAACATCAACATTCTGATTAGAAAGAACAGCAATTGTGACGACTTTGAGCAGCCGTAACAAAACACACTTCATCTTCTGGCGCCAACCAGCCCATAAGCACCTGGTGAATATTAAACTTGGCGTCTTGTACGTTCTCATCGATACGTCCATCGGATGGTAGCATACCTACAATATATGGTGCAAACACAGTATCTACACCTAATGCTTCTAACTGCATCATTGCCCACGTCTCTAGTAATTGCATTGATGTAAAGTTTAAACCAGAGCAACAAGCGAAATGAATTAATTCCTAGCGAGATGGTGAAAAAAAGATGGAAAGAACAAGACACCATCTGACCTAGGAAACAAAGTAATGGAGGCTATTTGAAAGGTTTAGCGCTGAACTTGCATCGAAAATATGGTGTCGTAAGGTTTGAACTTCAAGTATATTTAACCCTGTTGACTAATAGTACAAAAAATCGTTTTATGGGGAAATATGGTTTTGATTGAGCCTTTTCATTGTCTTCACGAGTCTAATGTCACTGTTAGGATGAGGCCCGTCATCACATTGTAGGAAATGCATATTAAGAAACTTCGACAATATACCGAGGTTCTTGAACTCAAGTACAATCATATCCGTAAGGAATGATCCACAGCATTGACAGTTGTACCCGCGACAATCAAATCATCCACGTACACGCCCACTAAAGTCGTCTCGCGCCCGTCCACTTTGTAGAAAACACATGAGTCGGTAATGCATTGGTCGAAGCCTAGTGTAATAAGAAGCGTTGAGAACCAAACTTCCAAATATGCTCCGATTGCTTAAGCCCATTAACGCTGCGCTCCAGTTCCAACGCTAGCTCATTGACACTATTATTGACACCAAATTTGAAAGTGTTACATCGGAATCTTCATACCGGGCGAAATTTGAAGATAAATCTGAAAATATTCTCTAGTGTTGGTTTTACATTAGCACTTGGTACGTCTGCATGACTGCTGGGACGCACCATAGAATCGAGAAGATTACAATAGTACGGATACTGACCATCGATAATGACAGCTGAGTACGTTAACATACAATTGTCGCCCTTGATCTGCAAATCACTACGACCCACCAGGTGGTGTCGATGTCACCGTTTCCAAGCCGCTTGGTCTTGTAAATTCATTTTGTCGGTAGTATGAGGTATTCTTTTTTTGGACGGACTACGATGTTCCAAGTGTTGTTCTCTTCCAGTAAACGCAATTCTTCTTGCTCGGCGACCTTCCACAACTCGTCATTGTCACTACGACGGGCTTGGCCGTCTTTTATAAGGTCAGGATCATCTACCGGCCGCTTAATACTTGGTCAAAGGAGACATTACCGCGAATGCCATTAGAGGGGGTGACGCTTGACTTCGTGGTGCAGCGGAAATAACTGTCGCAAGACTTGCGGATGACTTATCATCCTGATGCGGATATTTGCCGTCCGCCTCAGCTCTCCTTTGTGAATTCTTTTCAGTACGCTTCAATACACGCACTGGTGTACTTGGCGTCATTAGAGTGGTTTGTATCTTGCTTCTTAGATTGATGACCGTCTTGGCTTGCTTCTCCTTCGATCACGCCGCGTCTTAATGATATTGCATCGAAAGATCATGGAAATTTGCTGTGTCCAAATTAACATCAATGTCACGTTTGAGTGCATCGAAAAGAAGCTTGTATGTCGATTCATCATATGCTCGATGTCTGAAATATGACGCGTCGTGAACACTGAGCGGTCATCATGTAGTAATTCCCCTGTAGCCTCTGGTCCTTTCGTCCTTACCGAGAACAAAATCACCAACCGTATGAGCTTTTAGACTCTTCTTGAAAAGGTGCGCCAGACCTGACACGGTGAGCCGAAACCAACGACGTCTTAAAGATTGGGAGCTTTGACCGTGAAAGTTTCTATCGCAATTGACGTTGGCACATGTAGGGCTGCGATTAATATATAAGCCGCATATTCGGCAGCATCACTCCAATAGTTGAGTGGAACACCGGATCCGAATAGCATACACCGAGCCATATTAAAGATGGTGTGATTCATCCGCTCAGCCTTTCCGTTAGATTGGGGCGTTTCGGCTTCTATCGTCTGCCGTTTGATGCCCAAAATTTTTGGCAAAATGGGTCCACTGACATTGTGTCACACTCGCTATCTCCATCCGTCCTTAGGACGCGGATGCGGCAATTAGACTCAGCTTCGAACCAGGTAGCAAAATTCAAAAACGTGGCGGCCGCCTTGTTCTTATAAGTTGCCACGAATACTCGCACGTAGTTTGACTTGTAGTCGATAAAGCTAACCATGTACCTGTTATCGTGCTTTACTGCGGCAATATTGGGCCCTTGAGATTACCATAGATAACCCCTCTGATTCTGTCGATTGGAGAGTTTGCACCAGAGTGTTTCTTCGGTTGAGCCGTGCGTGTGCCGTTTCCTTTCGAGCAAGTTACTCATTTTCAGCGCTCGTGATTAGTTACCTTGATTTCCGAGTTAGGGTCTTTTTTCGCCATACGCTCGATTAGATCGAAAGCAAGATGACCCAACCGTGTGTGGAATTGCATCAGTGTACCCACATGTGGCTCTGATAGCTCTCAAGTTTCTTCCATAATAGAAAGTGCCATACCAACAAGCAAGTCTTTTGTTATTAAAGGCTTCTTGCTGCGGAAGGTCCTACTAGACATTAATAAAGCGTTTGGCCAAAGGCTTTATTGTTTCCTACTGTACAGCACCAATGATCATACCTTTTTCTTTTCCCGTAGGGTTGAATTGATACATACATTCATGATTTTACCTGTCTAGGGACCGCTTTCCAACTATTGTAAACTGAAGAGTAATAATCTCAACAATAGAAGATTAAAGGTCATTTTTGCCTCTCTCTTTCTTTTCCTCACATTGTAACTTTATATGAAAATGCAGCAAGAGCGAGAAAGCGGCGAATTGTGTTTAAATGGTTGTGGGTTTTTTGGTGCCCCAGGCAGCGGTGGAATGTGTTCAGTATGTTGGAAAATGACCATGTCGGACCGTCACGTAGAGACAGCGTTGACTTCACCTTGTTCAATGGAGATGAAGATGAATGAGTCGGTTGTAGTAGAGTCGACTTCTACTACTACTACTATTACTACTAGTACTACTGCTGCTCCGTCTTCTGTTGAAACAGAAGAGAAATGTGCGAAGAAATTAGTACAAAAGAACAAAAAACGCTGCTGGGAGTGTAAGAAGAAAGTGGGACTCACTGCTATGGAGTGTCGTTGTGGCTATGTGTTTTGCAATAGCCATCGATTTGAGGACCAGCACAAGTGCAATTTTGATTTCAAGACGGCGGATCGTGCTGAGTTAGCACAACGTAACCCTGGAGGTGGCACCTTTAGTAAGTTGGAAAAGCTATAAGTGAGTTTGAGATGGTTTGGCTAGTAGAAGACTACAAAGACAGACTATGGATGTGGTGACAGGTTGAGAGTCGTCAACTGCTGGCTATGCGGGTATCGCTTGACGGATATAGCACACTTGAATGAGTTGACGAGTGCGTGGATGAAAGACAAGACAAAGAGAGGAGAACGTGCTTAGTGTGGCAGCAGAACGTTGATGGATCGAAATGAAGATGTAACCGCGAGTCATCATCAATCAGCACTGTGGCCACAAGCTTGCAGAGATCATGAGCTTGTTGTCATCTATTCACATTTGATGCTTTCTTTTTTCTTAAGCAAATGAATTTGTTTTTCTTTTCAATTAATTGAGGCAGCTCAATTAAGTTGTGCATGGCGTAGTAGCATCTCATGTTGTTATGGAATGGCCTGGTAAGTAGCACGCGGTGCTTTGTGTTCCGTGCCTCAACGATCCTGCACTATGTGTCGAGTACTCTTGCAACTCGAACACACACCAGCGCTTGATCAGCTTCGAGATTGAGCGGTAGATGGAAGAGGTAGCATGATCAGTGGACTGGTCGAGCGCTTGTACTCAAGATAGTCTGGATCCAATCCAAAGCGCTCGTCATAGCGATCCTCAGCCAGCTACATACCTGAAAGATGTACGGGTAGTAGGAACGTAAACGTTGGACTGATGCACCAGGCACAGTAATACCAGGTCTTGGTACCATTACTGTTAAAGTTGGTGCTGGTGATGATGGATACATTATCGCACTCCTGCGCTCCACGACACATACGGTACGTCAGCTTTAGTCTGGCGACCAAAACAATTCAAAGCCGTTGTTCTCCTTTTCATATCGAAGTTAGTCCAGTAACAGCTTTGGGAAAGCCTTGCATATGCAGGAATCCAATCTGTAAGAGAACACATGTAAGCATCAAGTGGTGCTTCATATGTCACATTAAACGACAAACAACGAAGCCTTACGGATATACGTAGCATAGTCACTGTTGTAGCCGCCATTTACACCTGCTGGCGTATCATCAACGTAAAGGCAGCTTCCACCTCGCGCATAACAGGATTTACAACATGCTGCTCTTACCATACAGCGAAGTACGTCATGAAGGGCGATCCAATTTACCGTCAATGGCAAATATGTCTCTATTAGTGCGCTCTACCTCCAACTCCTTCTTGTCTTCGAATCAGCGCCATCACTGAAGCTGATAGGTGTAACGCTTACAATTTCTCAGCTCACCAGAATGCCTTTTGGTCAAGTAAAGCATCGTCACCGGAGCAACACAACGTTTTTGCCTTCTCTAAACGTGTCGTAGGAAAATACTGCATACAATGCATCAGCATTGGATGGAGCAAACAAGAAGTCAAAAGTAAGTATACATTACTTTGTACACGGAGCCAAATCTCATAGTGCAGCAAGCACGAAAATTCTCTCGGCAATTCCTTTATCGAGTACTTTCTTCTGTGTCCAGTTCGGTAGATTATCGTTGAAATAGCTGTCCATATCAGTTAATTTCTATACCCGCCATTACGTTAGCAGCGCCGTAGGCTTTTATGTAGCCGAGCTACTGTAGCTACGCTACTTATGCACTATGTGCAGAAGAAGTAGTCAAACTACTGTAGCAAAGCTACGTATGCACTATGTGCAGAGGAAGACAAGCTCAGAGAGCTTCTACGTTCTAGGGTGTTTAACCCTCCTAGGCTAGCTTCTAAGCTTGTGCCTATCGGTTGTTGTAACCGAGTCTCAAAGAGACAAGTATCAAAGATACTAAATTCCTTAGAAAGGAATAGAATGCTCAAGCAGTGATGCTTATAGAGCAGGTTTGAAACTGATTCATATTTATGTTTATCTTCTAACACTAAATATAAAAGTAC